AAGAAGCTGCTCACTAATGCAGAAGCTGACATCAGGAAGAGCAACGAAGCTCTCGGCAGTTAAGTGGCCAAGATAGACGGACCCTCTCTGCAGCCCTGACGTCAGGGAGCCTGGATTCAGCCTTCACCCCAACGCTTCCTGGCTGCGTGAACTTGACCTTGATTTAACCCTTTTGGGTCATCACAGATTGTGGTAAGCATTTCGTGAGACGGTGCGGGTAAAGCACACATCACAGTCCTGGCATTTAGTGACCAATAAATATTAGCTGCTAGTGTTATCATGCGTGGGTGACCTACTCTTCTGGCCACATCAGGCCAGTGTACCTGTGTGCCTATGGTGACTGCCCACATGAAGGCAAGCAGTTGACCACTTCACTATGCCCTTCAGTGCAACTGTGCTCACATCATCACTGGAGTACATGTTATTTTATTATGGGTGTATTATTCTCCTTCAATGCCTTGTTTATATGAGATAAGGCATTATGTTTTGATTACATGTTAGATAGGTTATAATAATACAACTTTCATAAAAGAATAATTAATAAAGGATGTATTACAAAATATAAAAAGGGGGCATCGGGTGTGACAGGAAAGAACCATCTTGGGTAAATTATGGTTTTAGAGAAAGCAAGTATGCAACATCATGAGTTAGGATACAAACCGATGAGAAATGGCATTGCTAGAACACACAGATACTGTACATCACACAATTATCATGTTTTCAAATCAAATCCACCCATCTGTGTGCCTGCTGGCTGGCTTGCGGCTGGCAGAAGTATCCTCCAAACCAACAAGATATCTCTTAACTGAAGAAAAAAAGGGAAGCAGGGTTGGACTCCTTTCCCTAGAAGACTGATTCTCACATATTAGTGTGCATGAGGATAAACCGGCATGTTTAAGGAAAATAAAACTCCCAGGCCCTTTCATCAGATTCTTTTTGTTTTTCAGATTCATCACGTAATATTGTTTTATTTTTTTCCTCCAGTTTCACTGAGATGTAACTGGCGTGCATCACTGTCTCTAGAGGTCCTGACTCAGCAGGTCTGGGTGGGGCTCCACCGCTTCAATTAGTAACGGGAGTCACACTCCTGAGATGCAGCGTTTCTGCACATCAGTGCTTTTCACACCACTGTGCACAAAAATCTCCCAGGGACGTTTTAAAAACGCAGATCCTGATTCAACAGATCAGGATGGGCCTGCCTTCCCGACAAGCTCCCAGGGGCTGCTGACGCTTCTGGTCCAGAAATCACACTTTTGTCCATCTGGGGACAAAAGATTCTGGAGCACGCAGAGGGGTCAGGGAGCGAACGCACGTAAGCACTCACGTTCCTCACTCCGCAAGGCTGAGGCGGACATTACTGTAAAGGAACAGGGCTTTCACTGACCTTCCCACCCCACAGACTGAGGCGCTGCACTGCAGTCGGCTGCATGACCAACCCTGGGCCGCCGAGGAAGGTGGTGCATTAGCTTCACCACAAACCCTGGGAGTTTGTCATCACACTGTCCTGAGGGACTTGCCGCCACTGAACCAACTGTGCATCTGGATCTCAGCTGTGAGGCTGACAACTTATGCAAACAGTCCTAATTCCGAAGCGCTGGCGCTCCTTTACGCGGCAGGGGATCCCTGTGCACCCACGTGTCTGAAACCATCTAGAGGCTGTCCTAACCGCAGGCGGGCAGAGGCCTCGGCAAGTTCAGAGCTGGGCAGAGGACTATGGAATTATTGCAGGTAGTCGGAAGATCCATGGCTACGGACAACGGTTTTCCATGTATGTCCTATATTTTAAATGTGTGTAGAGATCATTAAGATAAACGTTTAAAAATACCCAAAGTATGGATAAGTTCAGATTAGTTATGGGACACTGTGTCTTTTCTCAATTAGCGTTTATTAAAAGGCACCATATATCACACGGGGGCTTCACAATATTCTGACCTTAAGAAGCGGTTCTCATCTTCCGGAACATTCACAAGAAGTGGCCTGACAGAAGGACATTCAAATCTTCCAGGATTTCAGAGAATAAGATATATATGTGTCAGCATTAAATATATAAATTTAAAGAAAATAATGCTCAAATTCTAGACGGCGGAATCTCTCCCTTTGTAAATCAAGAAAGAAAATGTTGGCAAAGAATTTGATCTCAGATGTTTTAATAGGGGCTCTTAGGCACTATGTACAGGATTCTCTGCCAAAGGTGGCCTGGTCGCTAGTGACCCGAATGACACCAAAAAGCAAGGGCAGCTCAGGGGCCACTAAACAGTGGCTGTCTTGGCCGGCTTCACATCTTCAATCTCAGAAGACAGCCAGCGGTACGTGCGGTGACGTCGCAGCACCTCGATGGCCTTGAGCTCCAGGGGCGTGGCCTGAATACCCAGGTCTTCCAAGCCGGGCAGGTGAGGCAGGGTCATGTCTGTGATGTGAACCTGTGAGTAAACAAGACGCGCAGAGAGCACTGAAAAGCGGCCAGGGACACGGAGTGCCGGCCTCGCAAACACTCCAACCCGCAGCCGGCCTGAGTCCCGCTGCTGAGACTTCACTGGGTTCAAAGGATACGGGGCAGGGGCTGATGCCCAGAACCACTGAAAGCAGACCACAGAAAAGGGCTTGTGGAGGGAAAGGCAAGTGTCAGCTCAAGGTCTATCCGCGAGTACAAAACACAGGCTCCGGTGAGGGTTAGACAGCAGTCAGTCTGGGCTGGAGCAGACAGGTCGTCACATCTGTGAGGCTCAGTAAAGGAACAGGGGCTGAGGCAAAACCAGCCCGTCCCGAGCATCCCCTGGGCCTGTTCTCCGAGCACAGCTTTCTGCCTCGGTTTTGCTGAATCGAGATTATTCCGCGACAATCCAAGAACCTTCGTCTCCAGCTCTACTCAACCTGCCTGACTAATGCTGACTATAGATCTAAAAATCCAAGCCCACCTTGTTAGGAGGGAAGGAGGGTGAGCCCTGAGATTCCAGAGGCCCCGGCTCATCCGCAAGCACACGAAGAGGCTCGGTCCACACCCAGAGCCGCACGCACCCCCTCCTCCCACCCGAGCAAACGAAGAGGCTCGGTCCACACCCAGAGCCGCATGCACCCCCCTCCTCCCCCCCGAGCACGTCTGCCATCCTTCCACCGAAGAGCCGTCGAGCTGCCTCCCCAGATCAAATCCCAAACCCAGCACCTGCTGCCCCAACACTTCCTCAGCGACACATGTAAGAGGTGCATCCGTCAGACACGCGGACGCGTCCTGGCCGCCAGTTCTCCCGCCCGATCTTTCCTGAACGCAGAAAGGACACCTTGGGATAACAGCTGTCTGCTCACATCTGTTCCCCAAGGACTGTGTTTCCATCTTGCTAACATTTTAGCTTTTAAGTTAACATTCAGAGGACACCCTGGCTGTTGCTTGTTGGTAAAGGGCCAAGAGATTTTCAAAGGGAGAGACGGCAGAGCGTGTGTATTTTGTTTTGTGACCTCCCTAGAAACACTTCGACACAAACACTTCTACACACAGTGGGCAAACGATCAGTGAGGGAGACCAGCTTGGAGACGGCGAGATGGGAAGGGATCAGCGCATTGCAGGGGACGAGAGGCAGCGGGAGCTGGTCCAGAGGCTACGGAAGGAATGAGCTACCCTCCTGGATCAGAGTGGGTAGAGTGGAGATGACTATTTCCTCTACCCTTCTGGAAGTGGAGAATTTTCAAGGCTATTATAAACATTTTCATAATAAAAAGCTGAATAAAAAGGTAGGAAGAGGGAGGTGAGATCGAGCATACAGTTGGTTTGCCATCAATACCTGCTGATGGGCCAGACCTGTGCTGTCCAACACAAATTTAATAAAACTCACATCTTATTTCTGCAGTCACACTAGCCATATTTCAGGCGTCCCACAGTCACTGTTGCTAGTGGCTACTTTCTGAACACTAGAGATGACAGAACATTTCCATCACAGCAGTTAGGATGGGGCAGTACTCTTTAGATGGGTAAGGAAAGGAAGAAATCATGGAGGATTTCCAGATTTCTGGCTTGAGCAACAGAGAGAACAGTGATATCATTAACTGAGCTGAGAGGGGCTAGGAGAGAAGCGGGTTTGCCATTGTACTCTCGGACGAGCCGTGTTTCGGATAACTATTACACAGCTAAACAGATGTGAGGCCTGCCACTGGGTGGGCGGGGAGGCCATCCAGGGCTGGAGTTGAAGCCGCTGCCAGGAGCTCACAGACAGCAGCCGGAGCCCGGGGCGAGATGAGGGTCGCTCAGAGAAAGAGCAAGGACAGGAAAGGGCTGAGGACAGAGCCCTTGGTCCCCACCGTCAGAGACCAGGGACGGAGGGTGAACCAGGGAGACCGAGTGAGCACGAGAAGCAAGAGAATGTGGAGAGCGCAAGTGGAAACCGGGGTTTCAAGAGGACAGGAGCGGCGCCTCTGACCAACGTGGCTCACAGATTGGGTGAGGGCAGGTCAGAGTGCTGACCGCTGGAGTTGGCGGCACAGAGGTCACAGGTGACCGGGAACAGAGCCGGGTTCGGGGAGACAAGGAAATAAAAGCCAGGAGTGGGTTAAAGTGAGAAGGAGGTAAGAAGCTGTCAACCACAGGTAGAGGCAGCTCTTCCGAGGAGTCTGATGCACACGGACACAGACAAACAGGGCAGCGGCCAGACACGATGGGCCCAGGGAGGGACTTCGGCCTTTAAAAACACACAGAGCTAGTGTTAGGGCTTGTCTGTCTGTACGTGGATGGAGATGATCCAGCGGAGAAAGGAAAATTGAAAATGTCAAAGATAGGACCCCGGAGAGCCTGGGCCTGGGTGCATTTTGTGCACGAGGACGGCAGACAAGCACGTGGCGCTGAGCCAGGCGAGCCCGGGAGCTGGCTCGACACTCACCCACCCATCTCCGCGGCTCTCTGCCCGGCATCCGCCCGGGCCAGTGTCCATCACCTCATACTCACCCGCTCCACTTTGTCCCTCGTGGTCCAGGGCTCAAACGGACTGATTTCAAAGAGTCGACCTAGCCATCTGGAGAGAGGAATGAACATGGCACGTGGTGAGCGTCTCTGCTCAAGCCAAGCAGCACGGGAGGCTGCCGGGGAGCCAGGGAGTCACCGCAGGTTTTTAAAGAAACGAACAAACATCCGAACCTCCTGGCCCCGGTGCCTGGGAGGTCGCCTCGCCTTCCACGCCAACAGCCGCATCACCTCCCTGTGGCTCTCCTAGGCACCCACCAGAGGGACAGTGAATCGGGAAAGCTTACGGTACAGCTGCCTCAGCAACAAGACAAACGCAAAAGATCCAACGTTCAGTGACACCTGTCACATTCAATCAAAGTTAAGCCCCAGACGTTCAAACACGCTTCCGTCAAGGGCACAGGGCGAGCCAGGTGGTATGCAAGATACAAAGCGTGAGCTTAAAAGTAGGGGACCCGAGAGAACCAAAAATCCAAAAGTAAGGAGATGCCTAAGATCTACGGTTCAAATGAGGAAGCCAAGAGAGAACCCGGACAAGAGGGGCCTCCTGCTTCCTCAGCACCATCTCTTCACCCTACTGAAACCCGGGGTCTCCTTATCTGCCACCTGAGTTCCGTCTCACGTGTCTTCAGGACAGGGAGGCCCCTAGGAATTCCTCGGGGCCCCCACAGAGGACTGGAGGCAGAGCTGGGAGCATGTGCTTTGAGCAGCAACCATCCCTACGGCCAGGTCGGCTCTGCTCTTATCTGATTGTCCTAATGGGCCTTTAGGTCAAAAGTCATCAAACCCAGGGTTCCGCAGCTTTTTAAAAACCTGAAAAACATCATCCCAAAGGGAGGTATAAAAAAATGAAAAAGGAAGCTGAAGATTGGTCAGAATTTCTCCAGGAACATAGCAAGCCTCAGAACCTGTTCCAATGGCAAAAAAAAGGCCACTTCGCTGGCTTACAAAAACGAAACAAAACACACCGCTTACAATCCTCTGCTCTGGTCCTACGCTAACAGATCACCTCCAGTCTGTATTTTCGGGTCCTCAGGGGCCACGCCATGGGCATACGCAGCTCCAGGAGAAGCCTCAGGCGTAGGCACAACCACGAAAGCAGCTCCCTGCAAACTGGCTGATACCCCTCCACTGCCCCGAGGCCCCCACCACAAATGACCTCACCCCTAGCCCCAGTGCATGCCCTTTTGTCTTTATCTTACCTGACTTTTCTACAGCATTTCATTCCATAAACATTAACAAAAGGCCTACTGTGTGCCTAACACCGTTCTAGGTGCTGAAGACACAGATGTGAACAAAATAGCCAAGCTCCTCTCCTTAAACGGCATTCCCTCCTCAAAGCACGCCCTTTCCTTTGGTGCCCAGGAGGCCAAAGTCTCTCCCTTTCTCACTTGAGCCTCTGGTTACTCTCTTCTGGCCCCCCTGACAAACTGCTCTTGCTCCGCTGGTCCTTTAAACGGAGATACTCCTCAGCCCTGCTCTTCCACTCAGTCCCCACTCTGCCCCGCTCACCTCAGAGTCGCGCGAGTGTTAAATGAGATGAAGAGGCAGCGTGAAAGACGGGACACTCCCAATAAACATCACCGTCACACTGCCTTCTAACTGTCATCTCTCTGATACTTCTGTTAGGCCAGAAGCTTTTTCGAGGGTTTACTGTAACATCCTGAGTGCCTGGTACATTGCCTAAGACACAGTTGGCAACAAGAAATGTTTGTTGAATGACTGAATGACCAAACGAATGAAGAAGTGAGCTGCCGTGTTGCTTCATCAGTCAATCTCTGGCAAACTGGATGTGAAAGTCTCCCTGACCAGGACCTCAGTGTGTGATCATTCAAGATGCTAAACCTAGAGAGGGGAGAAGTGCAGCAAGAAGCAGGAAGAGCAAATAAGGCAACTGCAGGAAGCGACTGAATTGACCTGGCTCCTTTCCCCAACCCCAGGATCAGACTGCCTTAATGAAGGAGGGCCCCTTTCCCCTCCTGGGTGAGTGGATGAAACAGGAGGCAACTTGACTGCTCCTTCACGTGACCTGCCAAGCAAGACGCTGCCAATTAAACCCAGCGGCTTCTAACGGGAGAATCTGAAGACCTGCAGATTCAACCTTCCAACACAGTGTTTTTCTCACCCACAAAGCAACATTCCCTTTCTTAGACTCCTCTGGCTCTTTCCTAGATGACTGTCAAGATAACAGAAGCTCCTCCTGCTTAGAGATTCCCAGATCTCACCGCAATGGCCGTACTCCCTCTAACCCCTGGGTGGGAGCATTACAAACGAAGTCTCTAGTTAGCTCTTTTCTAGAAGGCACAAAAGGTAGCGCTTTACTTACCGATAGACAAAATGTGGCAAAGGGTATGCCAGGAAGGGTCTGTGAGCCACGGCAAAGATGTACTGCACCAGGTCAAAGAGGACGTACCGACTGGGCCTACAAAGAGAAAATTCACATTTCTTCAGATTATTTGCTCCTCACAAACTTTCGTTCTTAGTTTTACAAAATAACATCTTTCTTATGAAAAAGGAAACACATACGCACTTTAGGAAATACAGATTAGCACAAAGAAAATCCACCCACCAAAGATGAAGTTAATAAACTTAATATATAATAATAAACTTAACTTCTCATCCGCTTATATTTAAATTTAATTTAACTTATTTTAAAATTTCATTTATTTATTTATTTTTATTTATTTATTTTTTGGCTGCATTAGGTCTTCATTGCTGCGTGTGGTCCTTCTCTAGTTGCAGCGAGCAGGGGCTACTCTTCATTGCAGTGCGCGGGCTTCTCATTGCAGTGGCTTCTCTTGTTGCAGAGCATGGGCTCTAGGTGTAGGCTTCAGTAGCTGTGGCACACGGGCTTAGTTGCTCCGCGGCATGTGGGATCTTCCTGGACCAGTGATCGAACCCGTGTCCCCTGCATTGGCAGGCGGATTCCTAACCACTGAGCCGCCAGGGAAGTCCCTCATCCCCTTATACATTTTTTGCTTTTATAAATATAAGATCACACAGGTCATCATATTCTGTAATGTCTTTTTCATTTAACGTTAAATCCCAATCATCTTTCTGTGTCACTAAACATTCTAGTGCATGCTTAATGGTTGCCCGTATTGTATTGCAGGTAATCATAATTATTTTATCACCAATTCTCAGGTTTTGGATATTTAGGCTACTAAAAATATTTTTCTTTTTTAAAATAATGTTTTAATGAACATTCTTGTTGCAAATATTTCTATATATCCATAATTATGTATCTGTAATATATTCCAGAAATAGAACTAGCTCAAAGTATATTTTGACATTTTAAGGCTTTTATCAAACCCCTTCCAAAGAGTTTATATCAACTTAATAGAAAATGCTAGTAGTCCCCTCACCAAAAATGAGTTTAGTCATAAAAAAATGAGCAAACAAAATTTTGTCCATCTGCCAGGTAGAAAAAGGTACCTCAACATTTTAATTAGCATTACTTTAATATTAGAGATTAATTTTTTTCTTCATATATTTTTGGCCATTTACATTTATTGCTTTTCTCTCTTTCCTCCTGGAGTCTCTTTCTATAAGAATGGTTTGTAAAAATTTTTATATTTTAATGATATAGTTGGAAATGTCTTTTATTGTTTATATTACTGCCTTTTAATGTTTAATTGTCTTGTGGCATACAGAAGTTTAAACAGTTCATTTAATCAAAACTACTGACTTCTTTTACTTCACTGTTTGGTTTTATGTTTAGAAAATCCCTCTATAGTCACTAGTGACATAAATAAATGTCCACATATTTATTCTAATGCTTTGTTTTTTTACCCAGAAAATAAGTCATCCTGCCATGTATTTTTGTATTGATATAGGATAAAGATGTTATCAACATTTACTGAAAAATCTACCCTTTCCCCAAATTTTGAAATATCACCTTATCACACTCTATTCTTACATATATTTGAGACTGTTTCTGGACTTCCTGTTCTATTCCACCGATCTGAATAGTTCTGTACCAGTATAACCTAGCTTTAGTAACTATTATTGCTTATAATACACTTTAATATCTCTTCACCCATTTCCTAATCTCTTTGCCTTAGAAAGCCTGTGACAGCTGAGAGCTGAATTAAGGCAATTCTGTGAGAACCTCATTATTCTGACACTTTCACCAAAAAAAACCCCACCCCAAAACAAAAAAAAGAAGAAGAAAATGTCAGCTAGAGGAACTACCAGACAAAGCCCTCAGATAGCTTCCTTCAAGTTCCAGAAATCACTGCATATAATACATGCTATGCCAAAGAACAACTGCAATCTTCATGATGACAAGCAATACTGGTATCTTGGGCAAACTAACTATGTCATACACTTGCTCTTCAGCTCTTCTAAAGCCCTTTGTGTTCCATTAACTGTGAATCAAAGACTGGTCTATGTGCCCCTGCTCAGAGAAAGGTACACTGAAGGCCGTGTCCTTCCCAGCTTAGATTTCATGGTTCCATACTGTAGTCATTCCTCTGCAAACATCCTCAGCAAAACCTTGTCCCCAGCACCTCTCCACTATCCTAGCACAGCAAAACCCCTTCTCGGGTTAATCCAAGTATCTGCCTTCTTTGTGCCTGAACCCCCAGCAAGACACAGTTGCAGAGAAAACAGCCCTGGGCTAACTGGCTTCCCCTTACATTTCTGATCATGAATTTCAAGGGGAAGGCTCAGCTCTGCTTTGCAGTCCTACTGTGCGCTCCCAGGAGTGCTCTTTTCCTCTTCTCTCAGGGAGCGCTTCCTATCTTCTTCTCCATCCTCAAATTTTCCATATACCTCTCTCACCCACCCCATCCTGCCTTTTAGCTGATGATCTTGTCTTTTCATCTTTTTCTTAATGATGTCTTATGAAGTACGGAAGTTCTTAATTTCAGCGAAGTGTAATTTATCCATTTTTTCTTTGATGGAGTATGCTTTTGATGTCGTATCTACAAAATCTTTGCCTAACCCCAGGTCTAGAAGATTTTTAAACGTTTCTTCCAAAAGTTTTATAGTTTAACCCTTACGGTTAGGTCTTGGATCTATGTTAATTTTTTGATGTATGCTGTGAAATCAGAATCTATGTTCATCCTTTTGCATGTGGATAGTACCATTGTTGAAAAGATTATCATTTCCCCATTGCAATATCATGGCACCTCTGGCAAAAATCTATCGTCCATAAACATAAAGGCTGATTTCTAGACTCTCAATTCTGTTTAATTGACTTGTCTATTCTTATGCCAGTACCACATTGTCTCTATAATTATTGCTTTCAAGTAAGTTTTGAAATTGGAAAGCTTAAGTGCTCCAACTTTATTTTTCTTTGTCAAAATGGTTTTGGCTATTGTGGGTCTTTTGCATTTCCGTATAAATTTAGAATCAATTTGTCAATTTCTGCAAAAAAGCATGCTCAAATTTTGATAAGATCGAGTTGAATGTACAGATCAATTGGGGGAAAATTGCCATTTTAACAATATTGACTCTTCCAATCCATGAACATGAAATGTCTTTCCATTTACTTAGGTCTTCCTTCATTTTCCTCCTCAATGTTAGGTGATTTTCAGTATATAAGTCTTGTATTTCTTTTGTTAAATTTATACCTAAGTATTTTATTTTTTTGATGCTACTGTGAATAAAATTATTTTCTTTATTTTATTTTCAGACTGTTCATTTGCTAATATATGGAAATTGATCTTTATATATTGATATTGTGCCTTGTAACCTTGCTGAACTTGTTTACTGGTTCTCAGTTTTGTGTATGTATGTGTGTATCAATAGATATTTAATGGACGGTTGATAAAATGGACCAACATCATGTAACTAATAACTACAAGAAAACTACCGGCAAAATGAAAGTCATGCCTCTGCCTTAGCCTCAGGGAAATAAACCAAGTTTTCCCTGGGGCTGAAGAGAAGTGTGCACACACATTTACAATGTTGCGAGGAAAAATGCCTACACTTCCCTGTGTCTCTTACTTTTCCCATCACTGTGTCAGATAAGTATGACCTACGGCCGCCTGGCACAGAGGCTGGACTGGCTGGGCAAAGGTAAAGAGGACAATGGCTAACTCATCCCAGAGCATCTCCACTGAGCAGTAAGCAAAGTCTGTAAAACCATTTCTGCTCCTCTATTCCTTGGAATCCTGGTCTAAATATCTCTTGACTAGAACCTGGTATCTTTTGAGCCTAGTGTTTTATGGAAACCGTGCTGAACACTTTTTTTGTAAATAATTTTCCTAGAGTATATAACTGATTACACACTAATGTACTAAATAGGGAACTCAGGGAGACATACATCTTCCAGCAGCTGGTTGACATGGAAACACAATACAGAGTTTTTTGCACTGAAAAAAAACTTTACTAAACTAAATCTATAGTGATAGTGAAATGTGACAATATATGAATCCATAATGCTGGGAAAATATACCATGTCTCCTGGCTTGGAGAGAAGAATGTCTTTTCTCAAGAAGCAGGTAGGACTTTTCTCAAGAAGCCAATTATCAGGTGAATTTGGTACTTTTCCACTGGGCAGATTGAGTCCTAGTGTTTTGTTTTGTTTTTTTAATTTATTTTATTTTAATTTATTTATTTTTGGCTGCGTTCGGACTTCGTTGCTGTGTGTGGGCTTTTCTCTAGTTGCAGTGAGTGGGGGCTACTCTTCATTGCTGTGTGCGGGCTTCTCGTTGTGGTGGCTTCTCTTGTGGCGGAGCACGGGCTCTAGGCGCGCGGGCTTCAGTAGCTGTGGCTCTGGGGCTCTAGAGCGCAGGCTCAGTAGTTGTGGCGCACGGGCTTTACTGCTCCACGGCATGTGGGACCTTCCTGGACCAGGGCTCGAACCTGTGTCCCCTGCACTGGCAGGCGGATTCTTAACCACTGCGCCACCAGGGAAGCCCGGGTCTTAGTGTTTTAGTTTTAATTAATTCAGTAAAAAGGTCCTAAACCTAGCTGTGAGATGATTGAATAATTTCAGGTAAGTCACATAGCTTAACTGTGCCCCATTTTTCCTGAGAGCGAATTTCAACAAAGAGAGCATATAACAAATGATCAGTCTTGCAAAGCCCTAGAAACTGTACCCTAAGCCAGCCATTTCCAACCTTTTGGGGCATCGTGATGATCTAGCAAAATTCATTTGATTTTGCAACTGTACTTATTCCCTAAAAGTGTTTCGTTTGATTATCCTTTGATAGATTAAAAACATCACTGGAGTAGCACAAAACCATCCTTGGGAGTCACTGGACTATGGCTACATAACAGTCTAGGGCAGGGGTTCTCAGACTTTGGTGACAGAAGAATCATTTACTCAAGCGGACTCCTAGGTTCCCTCAATTCGGACTTAATATAAGCATTCAGGAGCTTCTGATAATGATGGCCTTTGGATGGTTCTTTGAGATATACTGGCCTCAGGGCCAAGACAGTAAGGTTTCTGGAATAAATATCATCCAAGAAAGACACTGAAACATGTAACCAACAGACCTGTGAGCAACAGGTTTAGAAATCATTGTTGTTGTAAATCACAGTTCTTTCATTTTAACAGGCTGCGCTATTTTAAAGTCAAACTCCAGCCACCTACCCAACAAAGGCAAAAGTTTTCCCTCTGGCACCTGGATCCTTAATTGCATTAATAATTCCTTTGGTGACATCCACAATCTACAAGAAATTATAACACATGTTTAAGTAACTGTTGAAAGAGAGAGAAACAGAGAGAGATGGGGGAGAGAAAGGAAGAAAGAGAGGAGGGGAGGGAGGAAGGAAGGAAAGCAGGCCACATGGATCACAACAACAGAATGGTAAGATTAAGATGACGTCATTGTCTGTTTTCAGAACGCTCCTAAAAGAACCCACATCTCAAGAGCTCAAATAACCTCCACATGGCAGGGTCATCTGAATACCTTCTCCAGTCGGAGCGCGTTAGCTTGGCGGGCATCCGGGCCTCTCCCACCGGCTCCAACCTCACCCCCTCCTCCTCCTCCTCTCGCTGTCACTGTGCTATCACAAAGCATTAGTCCAAACCACACGGAACTGCCAATATTCTACCATTTTGACTTTTAAAAATCTTACATGATTTCAGACCCCGTGGTTTTCACTAGGGGTGATTTTGGCCCCCAAGGGACATTGGCAAATGCCTGGAGGCAGTTTTAGTTGTCACAGCTTGGGGGGTGCTACTGCCACCTGGTGGCTGGAGGCCAGGAATGCGGCCACACATTCCACAGCAGCCGCCACGGCAAAGCGTTACCGGCCCAGGAAGTCCACAGTGCCCCAGCTGAGAGACCCTGGTTCAACACAACGTGGACTCCGACATGCTCTCTCACCTCTGGGCCCCTGTACACACCGCTCCCTCTGCATGTGAATCATCTTTAGGGTCTCACGTAAGATGTCCTTTCCTTGGAGGCCTTCCCTGACCCTCAAGTCTGGAGTAGGTGTCCTCTGACATATTTACGTAAAACCCTCTCCTGTCATAGCACTTATCACGTTTCATGACGATTGTTTTGCTGACCTGCCTCTGACCATCTTGAGGACAGCAACGTGTGTCTGTCATTAGCATCTCAATATTCCCAGTGACGTGCAGTGTGCCTAGCACATTAAGGGCTCAATACAGTTTTCTTGAATGAACAAGTGAAGACAGAGAATACATGTACCTCTTAGGTAAACTGAGAGGCAACCAGTCAAAGCAAGCTGACAAAGATGAAAATGATGGAATTACAGGATTAGGATAAAACTGGAAAACTGATCACCTGACTCTTGAATTCAGAGAAAGCTCCTTTATCCAGGGTACTTACATATACTGGTTGTTTCACTGTCTTCTTGCCCAAGGAAATAAGAGGGACACCACCAAACCATCGAATACCTGGCAGAAGAAAGACAACATTCTTAGAAGGCCTAGGCTGCCTGAAGACGCACGCATCTCCAGGTGCCCCAAGCTGGCATAACCATTTTGCGTAGTAAAAATAAGGAAATAAATGTAGCTGACTCTGAGGCAGTTAATGGTCCTACAAGGGGCAGCCATTTGTTTTTCACACAACAAACATAGAAAGTAAAAGGGCCAAATACTTAGGGACACAAAGAACAAGGGAAAGTAGTCAGGTGGCTTGTCTACCTGTCTTCCACTCTGCAGTGCTAAGCACATGGCCACTCCCAAGACTGCACTCTACCTGCACCCTATTCTAATCAACGGATCAGCAATACAACTAACCCAGAGAAAGATGCAGGTGAAAATAGGAATTCAGTGTATGATGAACGCAGTACCACAAATACGTAGAGAATGGAAGTATTTAATAGATGACACTGAGATAATCATTCTACTCTTTGAAGGAAAAAAACGAAAAAGAAAGAAATGGCTCACATCGTGCCATAAGCCAAAACAAAATCCCAAGTGGCTTAAATGTAAAGGTAAAAAAAGATTTTCTCAAAAAAACTTACTTCTTTTTTTTTTTGGCCACGCCATGTGGATTCTGGGATCTTAGTTCCCAGACAAGGGATTGAACCTGTGCCCCCTGCAGTGGAAGCGTGGAGTCCCCACCACTGGACCACCAGGGAAGTCCCTTAAAAAAAACTTTTAAAAGTAGAAATTATTTATAAGAGCATCCAAAAGAACAAAATACTTAGGGAGAGACTAAACCAAGTTGGTTAAAGACTTGCACACTGAAAACTACAAAACATTGCTGAAAGAAATTTAAAAAGACACAAATGGAAAGACATCCCATGTTCATGGATTGGAAAACTTAATATTGTCAAGATGTCAGTACTACCCAAAGCAGTCTACAGCTTTAATGCAATCCCTATCCAAATCCCAATGGTGTTTTTTGCAGAAAGACAGGAAACTCCATTCTAAAATTCATATGGAATATTAAGACATCCCAAATGGCCAAAACAATCTTGAAAAAGAAAAGAAAAAGAGTTGGAGGTTTCACACTTCCCGATTTCAAAACTTACTGCAAAGCTACAGTAATCAGAACAGTGTGTAGTGATCAAAACAGTGGCATAACGACAGACATAGACCAATGGAATGGAATAGAGAGATATAATCATTGCACATCTGGCCAAAAAATTTTTGACAAGGTGCCAGCACCATTCAAAGGAGAAATGATAGTCTTTTCAACAGATGATGTTGGGAAAACTGAATATCCACAGGCTAAAGAATGAAAGTGAACATTACCTCACACCATACACAAAAATTAACTCAAAATGGATCTAAGAGCTAAAAGTACAAAACCCTTAGAAGAAAACACAGGGGAAAAGCTTCATGACAACAGATTTAGCAATGACTTCTTGGCTAGGACACCAAAAGCATAGGCAACAAAAGTAAAAATAGATAAACTGAACTACATCAGAATTAAAAACTTCTGTGAAACAAAGGACACAATTAACAGTGTAAAAATGCAACCTACAGAATGAAAGAAAATGTTTGCAAATCATATGTCTGACAGGAAGGGGGTTACTATCCAAAATGTATAAAGAACTCCTACAATTCAACAATAACAAAGAACCACCCAATTAAAATATGAGCAAAGGACATGAATAGACATTTCTCCAAATAAGATATACAAATGGACAACAAGCACGTGAAAAGATGCTCAACATCGCTAACCATTAGGGCAAAACCATCAGATATTACCTCATACCCATTAGGATGGCTACTATCAAAAAACAGAAAATAACAATTGTTGACGGGGATATGGAAAAATTGGAACCTTGTGCACTGTTGGTGGAAGTGTAAAATGGTACAGACATTAAGGAAAAACACATGGTAGTTCCAAAAATTAAAATTAGAACGATATGCTCCAGCATTTTCACTTCTGGATATACATCCCAAAGAACTGAAAGTAGAGTCTCAAAGAGATATTTGTACACCCATGTTCATCAGCATTAATCAGATAAAATAATGCAAAGGTGGAAGCAACCCAAGTATCCACTGACAGAAGAATGGATAAACAAAATGTGGTCTATACATACAATGGATTATTATTCAGCTTAAAGGGAAGGAAATCCTGTCACGTGCTACAACATGGATGGACCTTGAAGACATTATACTAAGTGAAATAAGCTAGTCACAAAAAAGACAAACACTGTCTGATTCCACTTATATGAAGTACCTAGAGTAGTCAAATTCATAGACAGAAAGTAGAATGGTGTTGCCAGGGGCTGCGGGGAGGGGGGAATGGGAAGTTGTTTGATGGATACAGAGCTTCAGTTTTGCATGATGAAAAGAGTTCTGGAGTTTGTTTGCAGTACAACGTGAATACACATAACGGTACTGAACTGTACACTTAGAAATGGTTAAGACTGTGTGGTCTGCTCGGGCTGCCACAATAAAATACCACAGACTGAGTGGCTTATTTAAACAAGAGAAATTTATTTTCTCATAGCTCTGGACGCAGGAAAGTCCAAGATCAAGGTATCGGCTGATCTGGTTTCTGGTGAGAGCGCTCTTCCTGGCTTACAGGCAGCCGGCTGCGTTCTCACATGGCTTTTCCGCAGGGCGCACAGGGAGGGAGAGGATGATCTCTCTCTTCCTCTTTTCCTAAGGCCACTAATCCTGTGGGTTAGGACCCCACTCTTATGACCTATCACATGTGTCTGACAAAGTAGGATGCTACCTCTTTGTCTTTCAAAACCAACACCTAAGTGACTTGGAAAACAGACTGAAAGTGAGGCAGCACTAAGAAAACCGGGGCTTCGTAGGCCAAGTATAAATGAGGCACTGACCCCATGCCAGGTGCTGTAACATAAGCTAGCTACTCCATTAACCAGCACACTGGTCCTCAGGGGGACATCATCATGTTCATCTTAACAGATGAAGAAGCTGCGGTATTCAAAGACCTGCCAGAGTCCCAGAGCTGGTTAGTCCCAGGACCCAATTCATAGTCAGGTCTCGAACTCCCAAGTCCATGCTCCTTCCAGGCATCTAAGCTGCTTCTTTTGATACAGAGTGACGAAGATCAAGAGAGGGACCATGCTGACTGGAAAAAGAGAACCTTTGGGGAGAAAAAGGCAACTCGAGGAGAAAAAAATTCAACCTCCATCTTCCAGTCAGAGAACATAGTTTGCTTGTGATTAACTTCAACCTGGTTAACCAGCATTCCCCCTCCTACTATTAAGGAAGAAGACCTACTTGCAAAATAATTGAGGAATCTATCCTCTCTTCCAAAGATGTCCGATGGCTTTATGATGGTAGCTTCTGGAAATGCGTCTCTCACTTCTTTCTCTCCAGCAGCCTTAACAACCAAACACAACAGAGTTCTGCGGTGAGTTAACGAAGCTCCCACTCCTTCCACTATGGGGACGCTACGCATATTTCCAGGTCGTATTTCCTCCAGGTTAAGGGAATCATATTATTCATAACACTCAGCTACAGTCACCCCCCGCCCCCGCCCTTATATTCAGTTTCGCTTTCCACAATTTCAGTTACCCGCAGTCAACTGCGGTCCAAAAATATTAAACAGAAAATTCCAGAAATAATTCGTAAGTTTTAAATTGTGTGCTGTTCTGAGCGGCGTGATGAAATCTCATGTCATCCTGCTTGGGCCTGCTGGCACGTGAATCTCATATCGTCACAAGAAGAAGGGGGAGTACAGTCAGCAGATATTGAGTGAGAGAACGGGGGGCCATTCATGAAACATTCATAAACATTCATGAAATTTTTATTATAGTCTATTGTTATAACTGTTTACTTTATTAGTAGTTATTGTTGTTAGTTGCTTACTGTACCTAATTTATACACGAAACTTTATCACAGGTATGTGCATATAGGAAAAAGGGAAGTATATATGGGGTTTGGTACCATCTTCGGTGTCAGGCATCCACTGGGGGATTTGGAATACATTCCTCATGGTAAGGAGGAGACAAGTCTACACGGAAATTTTTTTAAAAATACTAACACATAAAAACGCTCCACCTCTTATAGCTCTTGCTGGGTTTCTTCCCATATTTATTCTAAGGAAGTTTATGCGGAAGAAGAAAGAAGAAAACAGAGTAGACTCACTTCCTAGACAAGGTGCAGATACCAGCACCTGGTTCAGCCATCCTGCCTACCCGCACCCGCTGGGGGTGACATCAGAGCCCCGGTGGACTTGGACCTCCGTTTCTTGAGCTTCTCAACTCCAGGGACCTCGTCTTCACCCCACTTCAGCCACTCTCCACTTGGAGGCCTCAGACCAGAACAACCCAAGTGCCCCTCCTCTGAGCCCTACATGAAGACGTGCCGCTTTCAGAGGACCAGCTCCTGGGCTGCCAGCCTGCTTGTTCTCTGCTCCTCTGCTCCTGAGATGTGTTCCTTCAACTTCTCGGAGACCCCATTCCACTGGGTCTGCCCTCCTCCACACCAATCCCTCCGAACGTCCCTTGCCCCAGATTAGATTCCATGGCCCAACTTGTCCATCACTCTCTTAGCGATACTGTAGACTACCTGTCCCCTTGTCCTTTACTCCACCCACCAGGCAAAAATCCCAATCCTGGAAGAACCCACTAGCCTCCTTTAAGCCATGCACTCCTGCTGCCTTCAGAGCTACAGGAAAATAAACAAGTGCAAATCATCAATTGGTGACACATAAATTCCCGTCCCCAGTTTTAACCGGGCTCGTAACATTTCCCAGAAATAGGGTTTCCTTCTAATTAGTTTACATTTCCAGTTGACAAATTTCAAACCTTTTCTGTTCTATTCAAGTTTCTCCCTTACTTTCCCCTCTTCCTTCCAGTAAATGACTTCATCTTCTAATTCAGGGAGAAAGTACAGCAGCAGAGAAAAACCACCTGGTGCTCCCAGTGCTGAATCTACAAAGCCAGGGGCATTAGGCAACATTCTCTCCTCCTTCCTGACCAGACTGGAGGAACTCACCTCCTGTCACTTTCTCAGAAACCTGCCCATTACTCCAGCCCACACATCTGCAGTCAGGCTCCCCTTACCTGCACCTTCCCACCAGCATTTCAACAACGTCAAGATCGTCTACCTTAAAAGAAAAAAGAAATTCCAACTCCACATGCCCCTCCAGCCTCCTGCCCCCTCCTTCCTCTTAGTAAACCACCTGAGAACGATGCTGTCTTACTGTCCCTGCTGCCTCCGCCCCTGCCTGCTCTTCACTCACTGCTGCCCCGACACCTGCTCAAACTGCTCTTGATAAGCCCACCGAGGACCTGCGGTGTAGACCCCGGCTGACCCTGCAGCTCTGACTCACCTCTTCACCTTCCCCCTGCTTCTGTAACCTCAGACTCTCCTGGCGTCCCTCCTGCCCCTCCGTCCGCCCTGCTCAGTCCTCTTGTTTGCTTTTTGCAGGAGCACCCTTCTCCTCGTCCCCCACACCCCCCCGTCAGTGCTCCTCTGGGTGCTGTCCAGAGCTCTCTGCTCTCGATTCATCCCCATGAGGCCACCTGGTCCCCTCGTGTTGCTTCAGTTAACAACAAACAGTGGGGACTCCCACGTTCATATCCCCAAGCACGCTCTTTCTTCGGAGCTCCAGGATCTTAAACCCCATTCTCCACTGGGACCTGGGTGACTGACATGCACTTGAGCTGCAACCTGAGTCCAAAACTGGATCATCCTCTTCCATCCTCCACAAATAATACCTCTCAATTTGTGCTACACACTGGGATTACACAGGGGGAGGTGTAAATACTGATGTCCGAGTTCTACCCCCAGAGCCGCTATTTCCGTTGGTCTGGGTGCCCTGGGCATCAGGATTGTTCAGTCCCCTCCATGATTCTAATGGGCCACTAAGGCTGAGAACCCCGCCCCCAGCACCCGGTCCTTCTCAAGGGTTCCTCATTTTGTTCAACAGGAGCGCCATCCACGCAGGGGTTTAAGCCTGCGGGCTGGGCACCGCCGAGCCCTCCCTCACCCTCACCACTGACTACCCCACCTCCGCCCCCTCCAAACAATTGCGAACGCGGGTGATTCTCTGAATGCTAGGGCAGGGGCAGGCACGGGCTTCACTCTCTCACTCCCTCTCCCTCGCTCTCATACAGAGAATAGTGTGTACGCTGATTTATGACTTATAGTAAGCCTTACGTTAAGTACGGTAATGACGGTGAGCAGGCCTGTAAAAATTTTAAAAAGTATTAATTTTGACTTCAGGTTAAATCATTGCTACTTAAAAGTGTAACTATTGATATTATGAATTCCAGCAACAGTATGAAAACCAGCTTATCACAGAACGCTTTGAAATCCCGAGTCAGGTGTTCTTAACCAATTCCTATTTTTTCCTTCCAGAAACTTTGATTTTGAGGTTGTTTTTGTAAAGATTCCCCAAGCTACTTTGCAACACCTAGTGCATCTGGAATTATTTCCCTCAATGGACTAGAAACTAGATGTGGGCTAAGACCATGTGTGTTTTATTTACCCTGTATCCCCAGCACCTACTACAACATGGAGCACACAGTAGGTGCTTAACAAATAATTTGGTCAATTAAGGAATGCAGTGGAACCAAAAGCTGGAGCCAGTGTCAAGGAACTCTGCAGTCCTTATCAGTCTGACCCAAAGCAGGCTCCTTACGGCAGGAACCAACTGCTGAAGGCACTCCCGGGCACCACAATCCCTACTGAGTCCCTGATGATAAAACATTGCAGGTTACAGACCGACTCCAAACCAGGCTGCTCAATCCCTAGGCACAATCTGGACCGCAGTGGGGTTTCTGGGAGTCCAAGAAGCCTGACTACAATGTGAACAGCCATTTTCCCTGGCAAATACTTACCCTGTCACCCCCAGCCTTCACATTACCCCTCCAAGCATGGCATAAGATCATGACTATGCAAGGGGTCAGAGAAAGAAGGATGGTCCTTTAGCTTTGGTGGCTGACACAGGTATGACTCTTATGCAGGAAGCATACTCTACCTTTTGTGTTTACTCTGTAATTCTGTGATGTACCAAGAAACTTTACACCCTGGAGGGTGGGTAATAGTATGATCTACCCATCTTTGAGGCCGCTTAGCACAGTTCCCTGCAAACAGAAGGCACTCAGCTACAACTCAGCCGCACAACGATCACATCCTGGATATGGAGAATCAGAAATCCCCCTTGATTCTGGATACATCAGTGAGAAACCTTTCTCCCTTAAACTCACGTTTCCAACGGGCTAAGAAACTCAAGCTCTGTGAACCACTTCCCAAATCAACTTGTTACTTACCTTATTTCTCAGATATTTAGAAGAGCTTTTAATATCGGCATTCAGATGTGAAACGTGAATAAATTTTTCAACTCCAGCTTCCTTGGACGCTTGAGCGATTGCTTGGGGAATCTTTACAAAAACATCCTCAAAACCAAAGTTTCTAGCAGGAAAAAATAGGGATCGGTTAAGAACACCTGACTCAGGACTCCAAAGCATACTGTGATAAGCCGGTTTTCATACTATTGCTGGAATTCATAATATCAATAGTTACACTTTTAAGTAGCAACGATTTCACCCAAAGTCAAAACTAATATTTTAAAAACATTTTACAGGCCTCCTCACTGCCATTACCATACGTAATGTAAGGCTTACTATAAGTCATAAATCAGCATACATACTATTCTCTGTCCTCAAGGAATCCCAAGGCTGAGGCCCTTCAAAAACATCTGGCTGCACTGACTGGGCGGGGAGGGGAGAAGCGCTGGGTGCTGGAGGGGAAATCGCTGCTCAACCCCAGGCCTTTGCTTTCCTCAGGGGAAAACAAGGAAACTAAAAAAATACATCAGTGCTTGCTTCCACAGCACATATACTAAAATTGGAACGATACAGAGAAGATTAGCATGGCCCCTGGCCGAGGATGACACGCAAATTCATGGAGCGTTCCATGTTAAAAAAAGAAAAAAAACGCATCAGTCACCAATTAGATCCAACAACACGAACAAAGTGTCTGCCCTGTACAAAGCACTGCTGGTCATCACGGGCGCTATAAAGTTGGATAAGACCCTCCAAGTCATCAAAGAACTTAAAAATATGTGATGAGGCAGACGTCCTTAAATGAGTCTCAGTCAAACTCTCATAAATGTGAAGAAAGAGGCGTGAACAGAGTGCTGCGGAAGCACAGGATTCAAACATTATTTGTTGATAAACAACCCACACAAGGGCTAAAAAGAACTGCTCAAACTGGTACTCATGCCATCTTTGATTAACAATGTGGAGAATAGATCGAGAACACTGTTCACGCGAGAAAACCCAGTGTTCAGCTTGCCGGTCAGTGGGACAGGAAAACCCTCCTTCCTGACCCCACCCCAGCTGGTGATGACTGGCATAATCACTGGCACAATCGCAGTGGCTTTTTATTGCTTCGTATACCAGACTTACCACCAACTGAATCCCCGGCTGGGGGAGGACTGGGGTTAGGTGGGGAGGGTGGTCACTGGCTGTGGAAAGGTTGTTCAGTCAATACTCATTGGTGAACTAATGAAAAATGTCACAGCTACAATCCCTGGCATGTTACGTGCCCAACAAATGTCTACTGAACCTTAAGCCAGCTTTGCAAAGGAGAAACGAGGGTCAAAGACTTACTTGGTTTCCCATTCTCGCCCAACGAGATTGATGACCACGTTGCTGTGCTCCACAGCTCTTCGGATCGAGTCCTTGTCTCTCCCGTTCCATTCCTATAAGAGCAGGAGCCAGTCACATGAAAACATCAGGGGTGCGCCCTGGCACAAAACACGTCTGTAGCTCCCCCCATCAGCAAGACTCACAACGGGCCCTCTGTTGTCGTCGCGAGACGGTGCCCTTTCACACCGGCTCCACTGACTACAACAGAAACGCTGCTGAGTCTCTGGCTCTTCCGGAAACAAAGAGGTCAAAGCACATTTTATTCAGGTAATAGCAGGTGACAGAACTAGAAAAGACACTATTCATTTTCACGGGGCAGAGCAATTTTTGTCCTCCCAACTGCCCCGCAGAAGCCTGTAAAGGAATCTAGCAATCCAGTCTCCCTTCCTGAATGAAATACAGCCAAAGAACCGAGGATCATTTGGGAGGCAAACTGACTTTCCCTTGTTAGCACCAACCAGTCAGACGGAAGATAGGAGGGGTGTCTCTCAAAGGTTAACGTTAAATTGGGAATCCTCATGACTATTTTCTTATTTCTTTTTAACTCTTTACTCTTTATAATCCCAGATCTGGTCATTTTTGCTTTAAAGACATGAAAACAGCACTCAGAGAGAAGTGACCTGCCTATCAGTTCAGGGTGAGCTGATGGCAGACTTCGGTGGAGACCTGCACTTGTGAGCAGGCGTTTAGGACTTAGGTCAGATCAACGTGTCTTGTCCAAAACAGTGACAAGGGACTAAAGACCCCCGGACAAAGGCAGAGCATCTTCTATGTTAAAATGAAAATAAAGTTTGAAAGCATTTTGAAGGAAGATAATAAGTAGTATGGATTTCTTAGTTGTATCTGTGAGTGAGGGGGGTGGGAGGGAGAGTGAGAAAAGAGGGGAGAACGGAAGAGAAGCGGGGGGCTGGGGGAGAAGGAGAGACAGCGAGCAATAGAATGCCTGTGCAATTTAGAAAAGAGAGAGAGGGCTACGGGAGTCAGATTCAAGAGCAAAAAGATGAAGCCCTCGCCAGGCAGCACTGGTGACAACTGACTGTGGAGGATGCAGTACAAGAGACGGAACGCAAATTCCACCGTGCCATTTACTATCAGTGTACAAATGCTCTCTCCAGACTCCATGCAAAACTTGAAAATACGACCTACCCCACGGGGTTGCTATGACGAGTAAGTGAAATATACAGAAAATCTGCAGCACAGCACTGAGCAACACACTCAACGAAAAAAGCGCTCTACACATAATGAGCTTAACGCGGCCTTTTCAGAGAAGATGACACAGGCGGGAAAGGGTGAACCCAAGAAGACTCAGAGGGGAAGAGCTTGCGGCATAACTGCGTGAATGGCCCAAGAGTGATGCCCGGAGAGGAGCAGTCAAAAGGAAACCAAGTTCCCAGGAATAAAGGCCCAGGGGCACGATCAGGCTGGTGAACCAAACGGCTGTTCAGACGGCAGTTTCCAACAGAGACTGAAGTGGGGAGATCGGCACCCCACACCCCATGTGGTCCCTCCTTCTCAAAAATAAACAACAACAATATAGTGAGGCGTCCCCCCTGTTACAACTTTCCTGGGCTTCCCCTTTCATAAACATGACCGTATTCAAAGTTATGCACTTTGTGTCTGTACGCCCTGTTAAGACTGAGTTCCCTGTGGTCTTGTTCAACAAGACACACTCAGAGCTTAGCTCAATGCCAGGAAGGGAGCAGACACAATAAACCCCCATGGAAAGCATGGAATACATGTCATTCAGCTTAATTCCAATGACTCCACATTTGCAAGCCGGTAAAAGTTTTCATCCATCACTTGTGAGATACGTCAGTTTTGAGGATTGACAAGATGACTGATGATCTTCAGTCACAGAGAACTAGGAAAAGGCTAGGCCCCTCTGACTGTAATACCAAGCAGATACTTGAGAAAAGAGATTGTGGAAAAGAAAACCACTTCAGAAATAAGAAATTTCCAATATAAATATTATATTTCGCTTGTGAACCTTCAGTGAAGAATAAATGAAAATGCCATTAAAAATAAGTCAAAATTTAATGAGGTCACAAATAATCTGTGTGAATAAAATAGATTGTTTCTCCACAGGAAACTGCAGGCACTGGGACAGCGTCATTCTCTGTGGAAAGGACCTGCGCACTGTAGGGTGCTCTGCATCCCCGGCCCCTGCCTAATAAACCAGTATGGTCTCCGGTCACTGCGACAGCCAAAAGGGCCCACACACTTCTCATCACTCCCTTGAAGGTTCTCCCCACACAATTCCCCCTACCCTGCTGGCAACTAACTATTGGCCTAAAGGAAGAACCTGCAGGTTGAAGAATAACGACAGTGAATGCTCAGGAAGAAGTGCTGGAAGTCAAGTCTATCCAAGCCAACCAAGTTATAAAACACCCTACTTGTGATTTTCTCTGTCGAAGCACTGCCCAAGAGAAACACAACACGTGGCACATATGTAATTCTAAATTTCCTCTTAGCCACTTTTAAAAGAATAAAAAGAAACAGGTGAAATTCATTTTAATAATATTTTATTTGACCCAATTTATCCAAAATACTATTTCAATATGTAATAAATGTAAAAAATTATTAACAATATATTGAATATTATCTTCTTCGAACCAAGTCTTTGAAATCTGATGTGTAATTCACACTTACAGCGCACCTCAATCCACACCAGCCACATTTCAGGGACTCAAGAGCCACACATGGCTGATGGCTACTGGCCAGCATAGGTTTAGAGCAGAGGTTGGCAAACTATGGCCCACAGGCAACTCTAGCCTGCAATGTAGCTTTGTAAACAAAGTTTTATTGGAACACAGCCATTTGTTTATATATTACCTGTAGCTGCTTTTAGGCTACAAGGGCAGAGCTGAGTAAACATGACGAAGAGCCTATGACCTGCAAAGCCTAAAATATTTCCTATCTGGCCCTTTAGAGAAAATGTTTGCTAACTGCTGGACTAGGGTTTACAAGAATGGCCTGTGAATGGAGGATGCCCTTGGTCCACTCCGGGATGAAGCTGCTGCTTTATTATACTGCCTCTCTATGCTAAAAATGACCTTAGTAATTTACATTTATCAACTCCAATAGTCAGTAACAGGGGCTCTTACCAGAAAGATAATCTGGCCCAGGTCACCCATTGGGCGAAGGTGCATGGTATCATATGGCTCACACCGGTAGGGGACGATCACCTGTGACCCCATGCGACCTAAAAAAGAATGGATTGGAACAAGGGTCAACGTTAACATAATATGGTTACATTATACAACAGTGATTTTGTGACATTTAAATTCTAGTATGATAGGTGAATTGATTCTATTTTTAGTAAGAAACATATTTTGCCATGCTAGAGATGTCATAACTTTTCAGAGCCCCCTTTCCTGTATTAACGTCCGATATAGGAAGTCTGGGCCTGTTCATAACATACAGCAGACCAAAATTACATAAATCCAAGATAGGAGTAATTCAAAACACCGTTACAATGAAAAGAAACAGTTCTCATTAGGCTTTGGAGTACGTTGAACGCAAGGAACTTTACCAAGGTGGTTGACAACATAGCGGCCCAGGAATCCCGTTGCTCCAAACACAGTGGCCACAATCCCACTGACTGAGGAACGCCCACCTTTCCCATGAGGTGTGAGTGCAGGATGAAGCTGGCGCTGGGGTGGGCCACGAAACACAGATGTGGCTATTGTAGTAACAGAAGAACCTTAAAGAGAACCCCAGAATATACACAAAATTGACCATGAATTCAAACAGCTTCTTTTCCTAGAAACACGACATTATTTTGCTATCAGTATTTTCATTTACTTAGGTTACAGTTTAAATTTAACTTTTATAATTTAAGTAACAACAGCAATAATAAACACAAATTATGGCAACAAAAAATCCATAGGACATAAGGAAATGTATAAAAGTTAGAAAGCAAACTCCCTGCCCTATAGGATATAGTTTACCTAAAAAGATAAATCACGTTAAGAAAGATAATAATAAACAGTTACAAATTAAGAGAGTATAAATCTCTACATGAAAGGAGCAGAGAGAATGCAAAGTAAACGTGCCATAAGTTAGGGAATCATGAGGAAGGACTCCTGAATAAAGGGTTTTGAGAAAGATCTGAAAGAGTAATAACAGGAAAGATAGATTTGCACGTGAAACACATAACACATCTAACAACGTAGGGGTGGGAATGAATAAGCCCAGCACAGGGAACAGCAAAAGACGTACCTGGAACAGACTGTAAAACTGATGATGAATGAAAAACAGAGTTGATGATATGGGTTGGAGGTAGAGGTAAGAGATTATTATTATTATTATTATTTTTTTTTTTTGAGGTACGCGGGCCTCTCACTGTCGTGGCCTCTCCCGTTGCGGAGCACAGGATCTGGACATGCAGACTCAGCGGCCATGGCTCACGGGCCCAGCCACTCCATGGCATGTGGGATCTTCCCGGACTGGGGCACGAACTCATGTCCCCTGCATCGGCAGGCGGACTCTCAACCACTGCGCTACCAGGGAAGCCTAGAGATTATTTTTTTAAAAGAGTACAGTTCAGGGGCTTCCCTGGGGGTGCAGAGGTTAAGAATCTGCCTGCCAATGCAGGGGACACAGGTTCGAGCCCTGGTCTGGGAAGATCCCACATGCCGCGGAGCAACTAACTCTGCGAGACACAACTACTGAGCCTGTGCGCCACAACTACCGAAGCCCGCAGGCCTAGAGCCCATGCTCCGCAACAAGAGAAGCCACCGCAATGAGAAGCCAGCGCATGGCAACAAAGAGTAGCCCCTGCTCACTGCAACCAGAGAAAAGCCCACGTACAGCAACAAAGACCCAACACAGCCAAAAATAAATAAATTAATTAATTAGTTTTAAAAAAATAAAAATAAGAGTACACTTCAGACTTAATAAAAAACTAATGAAAATCATCAAAAGTAGATAAGTAAGTAACTAAGAAAGTATCAATAAGTCTGTTCTGCTTTCTAGAGCTGACTTTCCGGTGGCACTATGCCCAGAAACCACTGATTTTCCCATCTAAAAGTATGGAATTGGAGAAAAAGCCTAGCTTACCGAATAGTTACTGCAACCATAGAGACTAGAAACAAACAATGCAGATCAGACACATAATAGTAACAAAATAATAATGTATAAATAACAGCTAAACTTACAAAGGCACCTGGCATCGTTCTTAGCGCTTAATAGATATTATTTTATTTCACACTATCTTTATTGCCACTTTACAGATGAGGAAACCAAGGCTCAGAGGGGTTACATGACTAACCCAAAGAGCCTGCAAAGGAAACTGAAAAGTGGCCCAGTGAGGTGAGAGGAAAGAAACAAAAGAAAATGGTGTCCAGAAGCCAAAAGAAGAAAGTGATTGATGGAGAGAATAGTCAACTCTATCAAATGCTGCTGAAAAGTGAAGTAAGAGGAGGGCAGAGGACCCTAGGATCTAGAAAATGTTGGCTGTAAATGGCCTGAACAAGAGCAATTTGATTGGATTAGGAGAGTGCGGCAGGGAGGTCCTAAGAGGAGTATCGAAAATTCTTCTCTGGGGATACGATGTAAAGGGACAAAGAAAAATGGGACTAGAGGAACAGGAAGACAAGGAAGGGTTCTTTTAATATGAAATATTATAACATATTTAGATGTTGATGGGAACGACCCAGTAGAGGGGAAATGTTAATGACTCAGGAGAGGGGAGGAAGAGGGAAGGGAGGATGGGATCAAAGGCCAAATGAGGGAACTGGCCTTCCATCAGACCAGGAGAAGCTCATACACTGTAAGAGGGGGGAAAGCAGAGAATTATCCCAGCTCAGCTATTAGATTTTCATGGTGGGAAAAAGATTGTTCCCATCTGATTCCTTTCCGTTCTCTGTAAAGTTAAGAATAAGACAGAAACACGTGTTAAAAGTTTTAGGAGACTGGCAGTGTTAACTAGTCATATGGAGAAAGGGAAAGCAAATTTCCTAGAAAAAATATGCTGAAAATCCACTTGAGATTTGCATTCATGGATTTAAAATAAGGACACTCAATTCGTTTGGAGTTTTCCTTAGCTTAGCCCTCAGCCGCTCAGGGGCAGGCAGGAAATACGTGGAAAGCATATGTGGAAAGCTTGCTCTAATCAGCATTGATTTTTTTATGTCAAAGGGATAAGGGCTGGGGAGTTGAGAATGTATGAAAGGGAATGATTAGAATGATGAGTAAGGAAGTTAGGGCACAGGATAAAGGACAGAGCAAATAAAATGAGAAGAATTACTGGAGTCTAGGTATGAACATCTGCAAGGACTGTTATGAGGATTGGGGTAAATGTGTGTAAAGCGTTTAGCACGTTACCCAGCACACATTAAGAATTCCAGGAGTATTTTACTATTACTTTGAAATTCCTCAGAAAGTAATATACTAACCTCACATGGTTATTTGTTTTTTCAACAATTACCAGCCAAGCATTATTCTAGAAACTGTGACTAACATAGTAAAAAAGACAAAGTCCCTGGCCTCATGAAAGTTACATTTTAGAGGGCTGATACGAAAATTAATAATAAATGGGTAAGGGCTTCCCTGGTGGCTAAGTGTTTAAGAATCCGCCTGCCAATGCAGGGGACATGGGTTCGAGCCCTGGTCCAGGAAGATCCCACATGCCGCGGAGGAACTAAGCCCGCGCACCACAACTACTGAGCCTGAGCTCTACAGCCCGCGAGCCACAACTACTGAGCCCACGTGCCACAACTACTGAAGCCTGCGCGCCTAGAGCCCATGCTCCACAACAAGAGAAGCCACCACAATGAGAAGCCCGCACACCACAACGAAGAGTAGCCTCCGCTCACCGCCACTAGAGAAAGCCTGCGCACAGCAACAAAGACCCAACACAGCCATAAATAAATTAATTAATTAAAAATAATAAAAATAATAAATGGGTAAGTACATCACGGTGCCTTGCACACTGTAGGTTCTCAATAAATATGTTATTACCCTCTTTGGCTCCAGCCTCTCCATTTTCTTCCATTTATTAGGAACACCATTAGGAAAATAATATCCTTTATTCATTAAACCTACTTTGGTTTCCTACTGTTAGTATCTAAACCAATAGCCTCCAAACATATTTGCTTCCACACCGTGTAAGGGTTTTTTTTTTAAGTATTTATTTGTAAATTACATGCACGTTCTATGTAGTACCAAAATGTTATACACATTTTGCAACACACATGAAAGCCCTTAGAACAGTGTCTGCTATATAGTTTGAACCATGTGTTAGCTATTGTTACTACTACAGAAAACTTTTTTTCTTTAAGTTCTAATGCTGTATTTTTATACACCACTGGTTCCTCTTGCAAAATCCACTTGGAAAACCACTGGTCTAAACTCTGCTTGGCTTTCAAAGGCCTCCATTATTTGAGCCCATCTAACGTATTCAACCTCCTTTCCTACTATTCCAGATCTTCAGGTAGTCATCTCACTGCCTCCATTCTCACCCCCTTGTCCTTGCCAGTGCCAGGAAAATGTCCAACCCCTCTGACTTTCCAGATCATAACAACCCTAAAAAAAAATTTTTTTAAATCAATGGAAGCGCTGCAATTCTCCACTGCCCTTTCAATCTTCCCTCCCTACTTCGGATGATCTACTTTTTCCCTTTTCTGATTTCCTGTGGTACTTAATAGTCTCGCCACATTTCACTATATATGTTTTATACAGTTCTGTAGTGTTTTGATTATGTTACACACTAGACTTGCCTCTCCCGAGTTTACTCAAAAGCTTACTTTACCAGAGAGTGTAAAGCAGAGTGGTAAAGAGCACAAGCTACCGTGTCAAGTTAAAAAAAAAATGTTAAAGGAAAAAATTTTATGAAAATGTCTAGAACTGTGGTTAGCCGACAGCAGGAACTCAGTAAATTGTCGTTATTACCATTCACAACCTACACTATGTGGCACCAATGTAACAGTTTAACAAGAACCAGCAAATGTCTTTGCAAAGAAGTGAGCGCTACAAAACCATCCATTATAAGTGATGTGCACCAACCACCTGCCCAGAGGCGTGGAGGAGCTCTACCCAAGATGGAAAAAAAAGAATCCTCCAAATACTCCTAACTCTCACCTCTGGCTGAACATTAGAAGTACCTGTGGAGCTTTTTAAAATTTAAGGTACAAGGAGCCAGTCTCAAAAATTCTGATTGAATAGCTCTTCAATGAGTCTACATTTCTTTTTTTTTTTTTTTTTTTTTTTTGTAGCGCTCGGGTCTCTCACTACTGTGGCCTCTCCCGCTGCGGAGCACAGGCTCCGGACGCGCAGGTTCAGCGGCCATGGCTCACGGGCCCAGCCACTCCGCGGCATGTGGGATCTTCCCGGACCGGGGCACGAACCCGCGTCCCCTGGATCGGCAGGCGGACTCTCAACCACTGCGCCACCAGGGAAGCCCCCCATTTCTATTTTTTTATAAAGCTCTAAGAATGATTCTGACATGCACCTAATTTTGAGAGCAAATGATATTCTGTAATAACTAAAATACACTATGGAAAAACGCAGTTTCTGGAGGTTGATGCGGGGCATGTTTGTGAAGGAGAGGAGGGTGAAATAATGATGATGAAGTGTAACTATATTCCCAATTTCCTTGCTTTTCTAGCCTCTCTTAGTGAGTGTAAGAGCAAATGCGTGTTTTCAACTTGAGAACCACAGCAGATCCGATCAGAGTAGAAGGGAAAATAAACTACACTTAGACAAATCCTAAGATATTCTTTTATTCTTCTTCCTTTTTTTCCACCAATGTCCTGATTCTTCTCTGTCCTGAGCATCCCTCGCTCCCCGAGGCCTCAACGCCTCCACATTTGTAGGAATGGTTTTGATTTAGAAAGTGCTTTTATAAATACTACTTCACTGAATCTTCTCGGAAACTCCCTGACGTTGTAGTATGATCATTTCCACTGTGATGCGCAGAATCTGAAGTTGAGGCCGATTAAGAGTTTGCGCAACGTCATAAAGTCAATTCATGAAGAACCTTTTCTCCACTACCCCTTTTCCCCCCATCATTTTCAGATTCCTCCCCCGCCTTCCCCCCAATATTTCTTATAATCCCAAACGCTTACAACCCTATCAGTACTTTCTCGGTCTTTCACATGTCCCCCTTTTTCCTCTCCCCTTCGCGTTGCTCACGTTCTCCCAGCGAAGACCCCTTCTCAGGTGCACAATTTAATACGTGAGCCGGGGAAGGGGAGAAAAAAGAGGAACTGGACAGAGGCAGCTCCGGACCTAGAAAAGCCAGGGTGCCCAGGGACTCAGCGTGACCGGCGCACCACGGAGCCACTCCCGAAACTTTAGATCCGCATCTTGGACTCCCGATCCGGGGCCGCCGTTCCCGGTGACACTTACGTGACATTGGCAGGGCCCTGACAACTCGCGGGTGAACGGCGGCTGCCATCTTCTCCCACAATGCCCCGCCGCCGGCGCTCGGCCGCCTACGGCCACTAAGCTGGGTCAAAAGGTATCTTTCCCGACTGTCTGCGCAGGCGCTAACCGGGAACGGAAGGGGCGGGTCCGAGGCTAGGGTGAAGAGTGGGCGGGAAGAGTGTTGGGGAGAGAGCTGGAGGGGCTGGGGGGACGCGAGGGAGACGGGGAGGAGGGGAAGTAGAAAGAAAGGGGTCTTGGTGTCGGAATCCCCGGGCTGGAGTGCACCGTACAGATAGCCTCGTATTGTCGAGGAACCTGAAGTTCACAGTGGACCGGGGACTGACTCAAGGGCAAAATGGCAGCACCGCAGCTCTCCCGACTCTCAGTTCACCGTGCCCTGAAAGTGTCAAATGGGGCGGCCCCGGTGAGGTGGGGAAGGAGGAGGCGTGGCCCCTGCGCTCGGGACGCTCTTCAAGGAGAAAACTCGGGCCCAGGGGACTGGAGGGGGCGGGGACTAAGAGAGAAAAAGTGAGGATGAGAAAGGATGCCGTCGCGGAACCGGAGCAGGTTCCGTCCGGAGCCTTGGCTCTTGCTGTTCCTTTTTCCTGGCGTGTCACCAGCTCAAGTCTTTGCGGGTTGGTGACTTCGGAGACGACTTGTCTGACGTCTTCTATCATTCCACCTGTCCTTTAATTACTCTGATTTATCAAAGCCTTTATCTCACCACCTGACATGAATCCAGGGATTCTTAACTTGGACTGCCACCCAGGAGTGGGCTTCAGGGGACTTCCCTGGTGGTCCATTGGTTAAGATTCCGTGCTTCCACGGAAGGACCCAACACAGCCACCCACAGGCGGTGCCCGTTCGAACACTGTTCTGGGAACTAAGGTCCTGCAGGCCGCATAGAGTGGTCAAAGAAAAAGGAGTGGGCTTCAGGAAGTCTGCGAACTTCCTGAAGTGTCATGTAAAAGTTAGTGGGCGTGTATGCCATCTGCACGTTTTTCTAGGAAGAAACTTAAGATGGCTCTCTCTAGGGCAAAGGTTTGCCATTTTTTTTTTAAACTGTGGATCCGTTGGGAGTCTACATTGTTCCAGAAAGTATAATAGTATCCAGAGCTTATGGAAATTCCAGAAAGATTTGCATTTTTGAATACTTTCTTCGGGGCAACCTTTCAAGCTCCCTGAGTAGGGACAGCGATCAGCAACCTGTCGTGAGACATCTCCCTAGGGCTTACCAGAAAACAGAATCGTTTGGGGGAATCTTTCTAGACTCGGTCATTTCTTCAGTGCTTTGTGTTTTCAGGAAGAAAGGAATGTGCGTTGCTGGGATAGACAAAAGACATGTAGTGATCACAAGTGGCCTGTCATTAGGCTTGTAAGGTTGGTTGGTCCCACTCTACCCCACCCCCTCCGCTTACTGAAACGTCATCTTCCACAGTGAATTGGAAGAGGAAAGAAACTCTTGAAGAAATTTTATCAGAGAAGTTTACTAATGCTACACTATCACATTTCTTGGTCTCATCCTATGTTCACTCAGCACTTACATTTTGCTAATATTTGATTCTGGAGTCGATATGAATAAAAACATACCTTCCTGATTCTGATGAATTGATAGATCCCATTATCATTGGCCGCATCCTAACACCTGTGTAATATTGCCAGTTATGTTTCATCTCCACGTCAAAGAGTGCTTCACGTTCTCAATACTACTTTCAAGGTGGCATGATATTGCTGAAACAGCATCGACTTAAAACTCAAAAACTCAGAATGTTAGAGCCCAGTTCTAGTCTACCAGGTATCTGTTGTGAGCTGGGTAAGCTTCTACATCTGTCTAACAGGGAAGAGAACACTTGTCCTGTTTCCTCAGAATGCTACCGGAAGGATCAAGTGACATGGACGTGAAGGCGCTTTGTCCGCTGCAAAGCGCTGTATGAGTGTACGTGTGTTCTGTTCACATCGCACACAAGTGTCAAAATCACAGAATGTTAGAGCTGGAGGGGATCTTAAGAGATCAGCAAACTCAATTTCTTTATTTTAAAGATGAAGAAACTGAAACAATATAAAAGATTATCAGTAGATAAATAACCTTGTTGAAGGAAGCTTGTAAACCAGTAAGTCGTTTTTGAATTCATTAACAATTGTAATCTTTATCCTGTAGCGGTGTTCAGAGAGTCATTAAGAGTACCTAAGGTAACATTCCAAAGAGAGTGTACTGCTAATAAAGTCTCCTCAAGCCTAGAAATGGCCAACCAAACGCTCTTGGTCTGATCAATCTCAGTATGGTTCCTCAGGTCGAGAATTGCAGAGGATGGATTAGTGCTACTGCATCTGACCATCTAAGATTTATTATCACCCAGAGATGGTCAGTTTAGGCAAAATATCTCAGAATTTTTTTTTTATATAAAAGTTAAGATGCTTATAGTCAAGAAGAGTCCAGGCTGGACCCCACAAAATGAAGTGATTCCATGGGCTTTGCATAAAAAAATTTAGTAGACCCTCAATTCCTTAATTTCTTATTCTCTGCACCCATCTGGATTTGTTCATGTGTAATACTTTCTTTGTTCTTTTAAATGGAATCCATTGGCATAACTTCCGCCTCCCATATCCCCTACCAAAATTAGACACTTAAATGAGAAAATTAATCTGGAGAAAGCAAGGCCAGTCCTTCCAAACTAAGCATCCGAGCCTTGGAATGTATCTTCACCCCTCCCCTTGGCCTTTGATCACTCAGTTTCTGGCAGCCTCAGCACTGTTGCCATGGAGACAGTGATATCACCAGTTGTGATTCTGATGTCACTCTCCATTCCCAACAAGGGGGAGGTACACGGAAGGCTGAGGGGAGGAAACAAGATCTTGAGCTGAGCACGAACATCCCAGCAACTTCATTGACTTTAAAAGTATATTCTGGAGTCTTCTGTGGTTCACTATTCCAGCTCTACAGAGGTAGGAAATCCCACTGGACTGAGAAAACAGCCCATTTTCTGATCCTCTGTGGTTAAAAGGGAGAATTCAGTGATAAGTGCTGGGCTAACTTTTAATGTTCAACCTCGCCTCCCTCTTTGCCCGGTCAATTTTAGTTTCACATCAGAATCTTCTGGAAATAAATGAGCCTCTCCCTCAGTACCATAATAGCTGAATGTACCATCTTTGCTGTTGAAGTTTTAATTTTGTTACAGATTGATCAGATCTCCTTGGCCATACTTTTGGGTACATGAGGGTGTCTTACTGTCTGCTTTCCAATTTCATGATGTGACTGGAAGCTTGACTGTGTGCTGACTTTTCCTATTCATGTGTGGCTGTTCCAAGAGTTGTTGTTTTTGTTTTTGTTGTTGTTATTGTCGTTCCCAGTGCTCTAATAGCAAAGTCAGACTGGTATAGCTCAGAGCCCCAATTCTCATCCACTTCCATCCTCTCACTGTTAGTTCTGACTCGGTGGCTAGACAACAGAGAACTGGGGGAAGGCACGATATATGTAGCTCTGTGGAGAAAATGTCTGTACTAACAGGGCAATGGAGGAAGAGGTTATTACTAAGGGAAAGTGAAACTATAGGAGAACCACAGGAAAGCTGAACAGTGAGTGGTACCACTGAGAAAAAGATACACACACACACACACACACACTTTTCTAATCCTCATTTAAACAAAATCGCATGAAACTGATTTCATCAACAACCAAATTTATTGAGTGTCTACTATACGCCAGGCACTTAGAGAAAGGGAGTGAGAGAGAAAAAGAGAATGGATGTAATAGAATATATTCTTCCTTTTTTAAACTAGTAATAAAAACTAGTCGAGGGGTGGGCTGGGAAAAAAAAACAAAACAAAACTAGTCGAATAAATTTCAAAACTTGATCAGATATGTATCAACCCTGCAAAAGCTTCATTTATGCTGCCTGTAAATTTGAGTTTTTCTGTGAGCTTAGGAACCTTGAGTAAACAAGAGCTCATCCTTATGATGAATACAGGAAACATGTCTCGAGAGGGAGCTGTGGTCTGGGATACAGCACCATAACCAAGCCCCTGTATTGTTGTGCACTCCTGATTCATGACAGGCACTCCTCAGTTATCTCTGAGGTAATAATCACATTGGCATTTTTAAGGAACATTTTAGGTCAGTCCTTCCATTGTCCACAGGGTCCCTCTATTGGCCATAGAAAAAATTCTTCGCTTCCGGAATGTTAACCTGCAGAGCTGTAAATATTTCAATGAATATATCCATTGTGGTTTTTTTTAAATTTATTTATTTATGTATTTTTGGCTGTGTTGGGTCCTCGTTGCTGCGCACGGGCTTTCTCTAGTTGCGGCGAGCGGGGGCTACTCTTTGTTGCAGTGCACGGGCTTCTCATTGGGGTGGCTTCTTGTTGCAGAGCACAGGCTCTTCAGTAGTTGTGGCACGCGGGCTCAGTAGTTGCGGCTTGCGGGCTCTAGAGCACAGGCTCAGTAGTTGTGGCGCACGGGCTTAGTTGCTCCGCCGCATGTGGGATCTTCCCAGACCAGAGATCGAACCCGTGTCCCCTGCATTGGCAGGCGGATTCTTAACCACTGCGCCACCAGGGAAGCCTTATCCATTGGTTTTAATATTCCCTTTATGGGCCTCAATTTCCTAATTTTTAAAATGAGTATGTTACAATAAATGGTTCCTAAGGTCCATTTATCTTCACATTGTATATAGTTAGCCTTCTTTCCTCATCAAATTTAATAGATAACACAAAGCATCCTTTGCGTCTTTTATTTTCCACCCTAACTCCAGGATATTATTCACCAACTTTGAGGTTAAGAAATGGATGAATCCACTCCTTGGCTCCATTAGTCTCTAGACTCTGCTCTCTTTTCCATTTCGTTATGAGACAGGTATACAGATTCAGGAGTCTGAATATCACTATCATCCAAAGGTATTTGAGTACCTCTTTATATACACTATTATCCAGGACAATTTAGGGAATTTAAAGTCTAAAACAAACTTCATGGATGCAGACCAACATACAGAAGCTATAGAAAATAGAATAAAAACCTCAGGACATATGTGAGTGGAAGTGTTTGCTGACTCTATATAACTAGCAGGTGTGAAAGAAGTACAAGAGTGCTTTTGGCATATCGATTTATTTGTTTTATTGGGATAGGAGGTCTATTAGTAAATCATTGGATAAATATTTACACCTTCGATAAGTCCCTGGGGTGAACATATCCCCCAAAAGAGTCAAGCTTCATGCAGGTCTTAACCAGCCTAGCACATTTGAGCAAGTCATTTCTTTTTTTCTCAGATTCTCCACCTTAAGAAAGAAAAATTGAGCCATCTAGAATTAGAAATAGGCTGTATTCGTATAGTCATTCTTTCAGCAGGCAATTAGAAGGAAAATAATTGATCTGGAAGCTGGTTTTGAAGTTAATTATGAATTCCCTTTGTAACATGAGGATGTATATTTCTCCCGAGTCCTCAAAGGAGTGCCTACAAAGTGTTTTGATTTTTTGTTTTATCTTTTTGGCTGCTGCCATGCAGCATGCGGGATCCTTAGTTTCCCAACCAGGGCTCTAACCTGCGCCCCCTGCAGTGGAAATGCTGGAAGCGCGGAGTCTTAACCACTGAACTGCCAGGGAAGTCCAAAAGTGTTTTGAGATTCACGAACTCAGGGCACTTCTTCTCCATTCTAGCTACTTATCTTCTGACTTCCTATTTAAGCCAGGTTTGAGATTAGGCTAAAAACTTTCAGCGCCCTCGTTGTTAAATTAGTCTGTCTACCAATGATTTGAAGGTGGAGAATAACAGTAGTCATTTCAGAAATTATTGGCCAGATGATGAAACCTCTGTTGTCACGTAGGAACCATCAGACTGCACCAAGAATGAGACCTGGAATTTGAATGTGAATGTCATTTTGTGCTCATCACTTAGGTACCCCATGTGAAAAATCATAGGTCAAAATCATTATTTGGTAATAAGAGCAATAAAGTTCATATGTAAAATCAGCCATTTTTATTTGTGTCTTTCCACTGCAGGTTCCTTATATTTCATGGCAGGAGGAGTGGATAAACTTAGGAATAGTGAAGACAACAAGAAATTAATCCAGAGCTTTCCTCATAGCTCAGAACCTGTCCTCAGTAAGAGTAAGTGATCACACAACTTCCTTCCTTTCTGTACTTCATTTCCATCCTTGCTTTTTAATTGTGCTATATAATCTAAGGTCAGTAGATCCTATTGATTTTGTCATTTTCTATTAGAAGTAACTCATTAAGATGAAATGTAAACGGGAGATTAAAAGACCTGCACTGTCAACAGTCCAGGACAGCCTGTTTCCAAGTCTTCTGATTCTTTGGCCAAAGAACAGTGCCCTCCCTTCCTTATGCATGGTAATGGTTCAAGGGTTCGAATATATACACAAAATAGTGAGCTGCTGAGAAACAATACAGGGTTTAACTTCATTGACATTAAAAGCTTCCTTGTTAGGGTTTTTAAAAAAATTAAAATAAGGTACCAAGAAGGTTAGGAAATCTCAGAGAAAATTTTTAAAGAAAAGAATAATTATCTTTCCGGAGCTTGCAAGTCTACTGCGGAGAGGATCTCTCCATATAAGCCCAGGCCCAGGGGTTCTCAATTCTAGATGTACATTAGAATCACCCAGAGAGCTTTTAAGAAATTCAGTGCCTACATTGCCACAGCCTAAAACCACTGAAATAAGATTCTATGGGGATTGGTCTCTCAGATACAGTATTTTTAAACAGTTGATCCTAAGTTTCAGTATTTTTAAACAGGGCGATTCTAAGGTCTAATCAGGGTGGAAAACCCATTGCTTATTCAAGGAATCTACTGTATTGCAGTGTTAGGAAGAGAAAAGAAAGCAGTTTCCCCAGCTCAGTAATCTAAGTTAGTGGGGTGTGAAAACAGGAACGCATTCTTTTGGGAGCAAAGAACAGGTGGCTCTTGAAAGATCTTATATTTTCTTTTTAGTAATTACCCATAATGTTACGTATAACAAAAAGAATAAATCCACTTACAATTAAGTTTAAATCATGTGTAATCTGTGTTTGAGTTGTGTTGGTTTCATCTGTGGGGGAGATGTATAGCCCACCACGATCTAAAGTCCTTTAAAGCAAATATTTCCAATTAACCAGATATTCAACCGCTAATAATGCTCCATTTATTTCAAGCAATTATTTTTACAACACAATTTCATTGTTAAAAAAATTAGGGTAAGCTTTTGGACTTTATTATAACAGAATTTTAAACCAGTATATTTGTTGGAATTAAAATATAAATATATATGCCTGTTTCACAAAGATGTTTGTGAGGCATTGGGGAGGAAAAATTGGCCATCTTATCCCATGTTGCTTATTAAGAAGTATAGCTCTAAGCAACATTTATAACACAAGAAGGGAAACTTCAGTGTGGAAGCCTGGTAATGGCATTCTGTCATGGAAAAAGAGGGCAGAGAGAAGCTGCCCATACTTGTAGATGATCAGTGGGCAAATATGACAACTAGTCCTGTTTCCAAGAACTAGCAAAGATGTGGTGCTGCAGAAAGTGGATGAGACTAAGGCCAAAGGCCAAGGAGTAAGTGGATTAGGGACCATGATGCTCACTTGTGAGATGAGGCAGTGAGAGCAGCGAGTATAAGCAATTCTTCCAAGAAAAATGACTACAAATGAGAGAAGAGAGAAATAGTAGCTAGAGGAGGCTCGGGAGGGAAGAACACATGTACAATAAATTTCAGCTTTCTGGAAGACCAGGTAGATGGCGGTGCCATTACAGAGGTTAGGGAACAGAGCAAAGAGTCGGGAAGCTTATGAAAAAATCAACGTCAGCGAAAGGACATCACTGCCTCCAGGGCCCTTTGGATGGTGCATATGACGTCTCCCTTCTCCTGGCATTCAGATACTTGGTGGAACCTTGGAGAATGAGAATTCCTCGAGGACCCCTGGCTAATTGGAAGAGGGATTAAGGAAGCCCTTAATCTTAAGGAAGAGATACTAGACTTGCTGCTAATATAAGTAAGTTAGTGCTCTAGGAATTAATTACAGTGAAGCCTACATTACTGTAAAAAGTTGGTGGAGGCAAGAACAGAGAGGGACAAGTAAATTAATTCTACTCTGATCACATTGAGCTTTGAGCCTGTACTGAAAATCCAAGATCTGGAAGGTCTGTCAAGCCAGGACACAGAGAGCAGGACACGTCTGCTTAGGTTCATTCATGAGCAAATCTATATCAAGCACCTCTAGAATACACCAGCCTCTGGCCTCTGCACTAGAGATACATATGCTTAAGAAATCTTCCTGCAGTTGGGAGCTGAGGATGAAAAGGTCCAGAGTTAAGTGGGTGTGGAGTAGCTCTTGGGACAGGTCTCTGTGGAGACCTGTTTTCCACATCTCAGCCTTTTACCTTATTTCTCCTTCCGTATAACTAGCCCTTTTGATGACCCATTCTCATTTTTTTTTCTTCTTGCAGATGTCGGATAGGGTTGACTGGTTACAAAGCCAAACTGGAGTTTGCAAAGTTGATGTCTATTCCCCCGGAGATGACCTACCCCAGGACTGGAAAATGGTAAGTGTGAGCCGCCTCATAAATACTGAGTCAGGAATCTGTGCCATTAAGAGTAGCTTTATTCTCTCCACCACCACCTCTTATTCTTGAAGATGAAGTTATTGGGGGAAAAATGAACTCCTTTAGAACAAGTGATATTGTCATTCTGCCTACATCATTCAACTTAGTATCAGGCACCGTAAGTCAGAGTCCTGTCAGAAGATGGAAACCGCACCAGTAACTGAATATTAAAAACCTGTTCAGTGAAAAGTATTTAACTAAGTTAACTACTAAAAGCTGTGAAAGAAGACTCAAAGAGTTCCAGAAGCAGCAAACGCAGAAGGCAGCTACTACCCCTAGGCTGGAAGAGTAAACAAGGAAGAAACTAAGGCTCACGAAAGCTCCCTCGCCCTCAACCAAGGCTGCTTCAGATCTCCTTGGAGAGAGTGAGCTGCAACAGGACAGCCACCTGCATCCCAGTGGTGCTGAAGACACTTGCCAGAGGGTACAGGGGGGACAGAAGGGAAACGCCTCCCACCTGTGATGACCACATAGTGCCCCTCCAGTGCCCTATGTCAACAAAGCCAGCTGCCAAAGGAGAAGTGTTTAGAGAGTCCAGTTCCAGAGTCACAAAGCAAGACAAAAAAGGGTGGACCTGGAGTTGAGAGACAACGATGAATAACTGGCACAGACACTGTGCTGAGTTTTAGGGTCAGAGATAGATAGAAAAATAAATTAGAATTCTCTCCCTTTACGGATCTCACAATCTAATGGAATCCCCATGGTAATCCTCATCCTTAGTACTAACATTTGTCACACATCTACTTGCATGTAATGTTACATGGTCCATATTCTGTTTGTCCACAGTCTATTTGGTCTGCCTTATATAGCCTAAGAAAGAAAACACTAACAAATCTACATTAAGACATTCGGACATACAGATACTAGATATCCAATTAATGTAGAATGAGTGCTAACCAAAACTGCTTCCACTAGATCTTTTGTTTACTTCTGCCCTTTTCTTTAGAAAAACAACAAAAAAATGAGTTTCAATATTAAATTAACAAAAATTTCTCAATTTTTCAATAAGTGAGAAGCACTCTAGCGGATGTAGTAAAGAATTAAAGTTTCTGTCCTCGTAGACCATATCATTCATTTGGGAAAATAAAAAATACGCATGTGCTCTAAATAACTAGTAGACACCAATTATAAGAAGTTCGTGGTAGTTTGCCAAATGGATTTTCTGGACAGCAATTGCTCTGGGTGTTTACAGAACAGATCATTTAGAAGTGGGAGATAGGGAACATTTTATAAAGTATGTTTAATTGAGTTAGAGGTGAAGAATAGGACGGGAGGTGTATGTGTTGACTTAACACTAAGCTACTGAAGCAGAAGACGGCTGAGGAGAGAAAATTAAACCCCTTAACCCTTTTCATATTCTCCTTCAGGGCCATGAAAATTTTCCCTGTTCTTAATTAAGAAAGACTCAGAAATAATGGGGCATCCACCTTCCCCAACTGTTCAAGATGCTAGTCTATAAGAAAGTTAAAGGATGCAAGAGGGCAAAAGGTTTGGAGGAGATGGGTGTTTGATTGTCAACTCCATCAACAGAAAAAGAAACAGGGTTAGTCTTTCCGCCAGTCACTCTGACTTCATCAGCTACTTCTGCAAAATTCTTCTGGATTGAGTGGAGTCATGCACATAGGGTGCACACATTTTAGTTTAAAAAACGTAAATAGAGACAATTGAAAAGCTAAAGCCCACCAAGCTAACACAGCTCTTCAGACTCCATCACGAAGCTCGCTGCTGTGCTAGAGGGTTGTTTTTCCTTAATGTTCTGTGAAAAGGATTGAAAAGTAAAATCTACGTCTGCATTATAATAAGACTGTACATGTTACAGCCTAATTTTGGAAGCAGGCCTATTTGCAAATAGTGTGCCCATCTGTAAAAGTAGGTAACATTAAGGAATAATTTTCAAAAGGCAAAATCGAGACTCTTAATTAGATACAAAAATGAATGCATGGTAAAGATTTTTTCAACTAATTAATGAGGAAATTGGTGAGACGTGTTACAGCCAGGGCAAAGGAGAATTTTTTTAAAAGGTATACTTACAGATCAGGAATGTTGAAACGAATGTGCAAATCAAGGCAAAACTGGCCTCTTCCACAGCTAAACCTCCACTGGACAGAAGTTACATGTTTGTAGACACGTTGAATTATTTTGCATTGCTATCAATTATCTGCAGCCTACAGAGTTGCAAAGTAGCTCACACAGAATCAGAATCAGGTTATGTGGACGGCTATATGCAATGCTCAGTCTACAGACTATGGACTATAGATAGTGCATAGTTTTCTATTGAAGCACAAATGTTTTTCCTACACTTACCTCCATTTTTATTGAAAAAATCTCAAAATAAGATAAATTTTGATCACAAAATAAGGCTAGTCTCGTCAGATTTGGTCTGATTATTTATATACTTGTAGCAACCAGATAAGCCTTAAGTTTGCTTTACTGGAACTTTTTATAAGGAGTCACAGATTGGCCTTTAACAGGATCTTTTATTTTATTTTAGTTTTGCCTGCGCCGGGTCTTAGTTGCAGCACGCAGGATCTTCACTGCGGTGCACAGGCTTCTCTCTAGTTGCAGCATGCGGCTCCAGAGCCATGGGCTCTATAGTTTACGGCAGGTGGGCTCAGCAGTTGTGGTGCGAGAGCTTAGTTGCCCCGTGGCATGTGGGATCTTAGTTCCCCAACCAGGGATCGAACCCACGTCCCCTGCATTGGAAGGTGGATTCTTAACCACTGGACCACCAGGGAAGTTCCAAATTGGCTTTTAAAGGCCTCCATTGTTTGCTGTCCTGAGAGCAGGGAGTCAAAACTAAGAAACTCTCTCCACCAGGTTTCACCTGCAGTCCCTAGAAAAATAGGAATGCATTCTGTTGGATTCCTGTGAAACTATTGTTCCTAAATAGAGTCTCAGCCACTTACATTAATCATAATTTTTAACCTAAGTACTTTCCAATCTATTTCACAAAGAAACCTGGGAGAGAGCAGGTTTACAATGGTGAACTGTCACATAGCAGCTGAAGTGCAGACTAACAGAGCTTATGGACCAGACAGGACGACTCTCTACAGACATACACATCCCTTATACAATCTAAGTGGCAAAAACAAACACATTCATTAACAGACCCAAAGATTTAACCTCTCTATAGTAATAAAAATAGAAAGCAAAAGCATATAAATTATGCTTAGCTATTAGTGTTTCACTGTTCTATCTTACTTAGAAATGATCTAAGTATCCAGTGAATATCCATTAATTAGCTCAATTTAATACCAGTCCAGTGTTTTAAGTTACATAAAGATGTTGGAACTTTATCATCAAGCTGACATACTATAAAACATAATAACTGTTGAAACAAAGTTGGTCAGGATAAATATTCAATTTGATTAAACACATTTATATTTTTCATGATCTTAAACATTAAGTACAAGTAATACTAGCTGATTGGATCTGCATAACCTGTATAAGTTTATGAAGAGCACATCAACATAAAATAAAAACGCATACTTAATGTTATACCTAACTCTGGTAAATCAGAAAAGATGTAGCTGTTTTTATTAAACCAAAGTTATTAAACTAATCTTATTTACCAAAAATTTACCCAACTATGTGAACTTAGACTCCTAAAATATTTCTGAGTTAGGCTCTATAAGAATACTTTTTCCAGTCAGAATAGAGATTCTTTTGCTCAAGAAACGTTATAATATTAACTTGTTAATACCATGTGGAGGTAGGAAGACATTATTACTTACACTTAATGCTTTTCTGAATGGCAGACACATAATGATTCAAACACTGATAAACAGCTTAGAGCCTCAATTCTAAACTTTCATCCAGTAGATTCAAATGTCCAGTTTTTTTTTTTTTTTTGCGGTACACAGGCCTCTCACCGTCACGGCCCCTCCTGTTGCAGAGCACAGGCTCCGGACGCGCAGGCTCAGCGGCCATGGCTCACGGGCCCAGCCGCTCCGCAGCACATGGGATCCTCCCGGACCGGGGCACGAACCCGTGTTCCCTGCATCGGCAGGCGGACGCTCAACCACTGTGCCACCAGGGAAGCCCAAATGTCCGGTTTTTAACCAAAAAAAATTCACAAGCCATACAAAGAAACAGGAAAGTATGGCCCATTCAAAGGAAAGAAAGAAATCAACAGAATCTGTCTCTGAAGAAGACCCAGTGGCAGATCTACTAGACAAGGACTTTAAAACGACTGTCCTAAAGATGCTCAAAGAACCAAGGGAAAGATGTGGAGAAAATCAAGAAAATGATGTATGAACAAAGTGGAAATATCCATAAAGAGATAGAAAACCTAAAGATAAACTAAAAGAAATTCTGGAGCTGAAAAGTACAATAACTGAAATGAAAATATCACTAGAGGGATTCAAAGGCAGATTTAAGCAGGCAGAAGAAAGAATGAGCAAAATTGAAGATAGGACAATGGAAATGATCAAGTCTAAGGAACAGAAAGAAAAAAAGGATTGAAGAAAAGAAACAGAGCCAAAGGGCTCTGTGGGACACCATCAAGAGAACAAACATGCAGCATGGGAGTCCCAGTAGGAGAAGACAGAAAAAAAGGGACAGAGAGAATATTTGGAGAAATAATGGCTGGAAACTTCCCAAATCTAATGAAAGATGTGAATATAAACATCCAGAAGTTCAGTGACCTCCCAATAGGATGAAATCAAAAGACCCACACTGGGGTACATCATAATCACAATTTCAAAAGGCAAAGACAGGGCTTCCCTGGTGGCACAGTGGTTGAGAGTCCGCCTGCCGATGCAGGGGACACGGGTTCGTGCCCCGGTCCGGGAAGATCCCACATGCCGCGGAGCAGCTGGGCCCGTGAGCTGTGGCCGCTGAGCCTGCGCGTCCGGAGCCTGTGCTCTGCAACGGGAGGGGCCACAACAGTGAGAGGCCCGCGTACCACAAAAAAAAAAAAAAAAAAGGCAAAGACAAATGGAATATGGGTAGAAGTGATGTTTGTCACTTCCAGGCCTGGACAACAAAAGTTTCTCATTCAATCCTCCACAGTCTCTGGTGTTTCCCATACACTGGCTCAAAGGAAAGATTCTGAGTCCCTAAGGGAGGGTGAAACCATGCAAAAGCAGAGCCTGAGTCCCTGAGTCACTGCAAAGAAGGCTGCTCATCAAATGCCCTCTCTAAATGACGTTACACACAGACACTATATACATATTGAATTGTTTTATTATAGTTTATGATACACATCATTCATCTCCCCTAAATCACCTCCGCAAAGTGGGCTATCAGGTTGGTCCCCCTGGTGAATAGTTTGTACACTGGAACCCACTGAGTTTTCCATTTCTTGGAAGTCTTTGCTCTGACTCCACCACCTTTTCTCTGTCCCTTTCTCAGACATGCATACAGGCAGCTCTCTTTCCTACAGCTTCTTCTTAAAACTAAATTTTGTCCTTTTAGAAGTTCACCCTCGTTACTGACCTTTGGTTCAGAAAAATAATTTTTTAAAAGATTCATATGGAAACTCAGTAGTCTCTTCACACCTCCCACCCAGGCTGATGGGAATGAATTGCAGGACACACCCCTAGCCATGCTCTCTTCCAGCACTTCTGTTTTCACCCAGAGCACTACTTCCCATACACGTAGGCAAGTTATATTCCCTAGTACTCCACAGTTGGTTAACCGTGTTTCACCACATTACCCTACGATCAAGCGTCTTGACTTCTCCTCCTCTTCTCTTACCCTTCTGAAGTCTAATCTTCACTTGACATGTTTAAGGAGTACTACCTGTCTGATACATTCCATTTCAAGGGTACAGATTATTTTGCGCACATTATCTCATTTAATCTTACAATCATATGAGGAAATTATTTAAAAATAATAGTAACTACCATATCCAGCAATTCCACTTCCTGGTATATATCTAAAGGAAACAAAGTCACCATCTCGAAGAGATATCTGCACCTCTGTGTTCATTGCAGCATTATTAACAACAGCCAAGACATGGACAACAACCCAAGTGTCCATTGACGGGCAATGAATAAAGAAAATGTGGTTCATATATACAGTGGAATATGAGAAGAAGGAAACCTTGCCATTTGTGACAATAGCTGCTATGTGAAATAAGTAAGACAGAGAAAGACAAATACCATATGATCTCACTTATATGTGGGCTCTAAAAAAAAAAAAGGACACATAAACTCATAGGTGCAGAGAACAGATTGGTGATTGCCAGAGGTGGGTGGGCAAAATGGGTGAAGGAGGTCAAAGGGTACAAATTTCCAGTTATAAAATAAATAAATCCTGGGGGTATAATGTACAGCATGGTGACTATGGTTAATAATACTGTAGTATGTATTTTGTATCTTTGAAAGTTGCTAAAAGAGTAGATCTTAAAAGAGCTCAGCACAAGAAAAAAATTTTTGAACTATGTGTGGTGATGGTGGACGTTTGACTTGTTGTGAGATGATCATCTCACAATACGTATACAGATATCGAATGATTACAGGTGTTGTACACCTGAAACTCATGTAATGTTATATGTCAACTATATGTCAATGGAAAAAAAAAACTTTTAGTCATGTGTCAAAGGTAAACATAGAAACCCCAAACTCACCTGTCCGGAGGTTAAAGAACCCTTCTCCTTCCAACTAGGCACAAAATTCCAAACTGATTTGAGCTTAAGGCAGGCAAAAAATACTAGCAAAATAGATTTTCTGTTGTCTGTCACCAACAGAGAATAGATCTCTATAAACCATTAATCCATTAAAGAAATCACCAAATGGTGATACAATAAAACCACATTCTCAAGCATTGCTGCCACTGGTGATTATTGGCCATGGAAGAACCAAAATGAAAACCAAAACCAAAATTCGTAGAGAGGAAAATTAAAACTAAAAAACAGAACGTCTGCAAAGTTCTGTTGCCCTTTGGATTCACCTCTGGGGGCCTAAGGAAAGACGCACCTGGTACACCATCCTCATGATGACGTTTACCTCTGTTAGGCAAAGCTGCTGGACATCTGGCAGAGACTTCCAAAACTGTTAAAAGATCATTTTCAGAGAAAGGTGAAATAATGACTCTCCTATGAATATAAAAATAAATCGTGAAAGATTTTATTTAACTCATTAATGAGGAGCTGGTGCAGTTCAAAGGAGAATCAAAGGAAAGAGACATATATAGATCAGGAATATTGAAGTGAATGTGCAAACGGAAGCAAAACTGACCTTTTCCACAGTGGGAGAGACAGTAAGTAATTCTTCCCTGGTCAGAATTAACATGTGTGTAGACAAGAATTATATTGCATTGCTATCAGTTATCTACAGTTTACAGAGTTATCAAATAGCTCTGAGAGAATCAGAATCAGAAAATGTGGAAAGGTATGCTATAGATTATGCATAGTTTTCTACTAGAGCACAAATTTCCTTATAGTAGCTATTATTCAAATTAGCAGAACCATTTAGGAGGACTCTGAACCAAGCTCGGTAGCCCACAAGCAACTTAAACCAGCCTGTAGAGGTCCAGCTGCTTTTCTCTTCTTCCCAAGTCATCCAAACATAACAGAATACTGTAGGGGTGGAGAGTGCCAATTTTAGAGTCCAAACTAGATTTGAATCCTAGCCCCCATCGTGTAGTAGCTGTGAGATGTTAGTCAGTATTTAACTTCTCTAAGCCTCTTTTCCACCTGTGAAACTGGTAGAGGGATACCCACCTTACAGGGTATGTATGAGAATTAAATAAAATAACACGCATAGAGCACTAAGCACAGTGCCTGGTAGTAGACCTAAGTATTGAACAAATAGTAGCCAGCAATTCTATGATACTTGGTAGTTAAAATAGCAAATTATGCTTTAAAGATGGGCAGTACCTGTGGTCATCGCCAGATAGATATAACTCGTTATTACAACGATCCCTTACATTTGATGGTAAGTAGGATACTTTTACATACATTCTTACCTTAGCCTATGTTCAAGTGAAGATTGTAGATTACAGTAGGTGAACATATAAATATGTCCATGTGCTTATCACAGCTAATGTCCACCGAAGAATCTGCATTCACTCAAAACTAATAAATTGTCCACAGATACTAAGTCCTCAATTACAAATCAGATTTTTAACTTAAGTCACGTCAAAGAGTCCACTGGAAGCCATTGAACATATCAGATTGTGCTTGTGTAGCCCAGTAAAGCGATGAATTGGGCACAACTGTCCTTGACTTTTCTAATTTTTTGAAAACTATGCTGGAATAAAGAGACCTAAACAAAACAGATCAACCATAAAAAAATAACAATTAGTAGCAATACATGAAATCTCTGATTCAGCTCAAATGCTACCTCTGTAGCTGCTGACAGTCAGATCTTTTTTTATATATAAATTTATTTATTTAATTTATTTTTTGGGCTGCGTTGGGTCTTCGTTGCTGCGCACGGGCTTTCTCTAGTTGCAGCAAGTGGGGCCACTCTTGGTTGCGGTGCACGGGCTTCTCATTGCGGTGGCTGCTCTCTCTTTTTTTAAAGTATTTTAAAAATTTATTTATTTATTTATTTATTTTTGGATGCGTTGCATCTTCATTGCTGTGTGCGGGATTTCTCTAGTTGCAGCAAGTGGGGCCACTTTTCATTGCGGTGCCCGGGCTTCTCATTGCAGTGGCTTCTCTTGTTGCGGAGCACGGGCTCTAGGCGCACGGGCTTCAGTAGTTGTGGCACGCGGGCTCAGTAGTTGTGGCACGCGGGCTCTAGAGCTCAGGCTCAGTAGCTGTGGCACACGGGCTTAGTTGCTCCACGGCATGTGGGATCTTCCCAGACCAGGGCTCGAACCCATGTCCCCTGCGTTGGCAGGCGGATTCTTAACCACTGCACCACCAGGGAAGCCTGTAGTGGCTATCTTGTTGCGGAGCATGGGCTCTAAGTGCGTGGGCCTCAGTAGTTGTGGCACACGGGCTCAGTCGTTGTGGCTCACGGGCTCGAGAGCGCAGGCTCTGGAGTTGTGGCGCACGGGCTTTGTTGCTTCTCGGCATGTGGGATCTTCCTGGACCAGGGATCAAATCCATGTCCCCTGCTTTGGCAGGTGGATCCTTAACCACTGAGCCACTGGGGGAGCCCTGACAGTCATATCTTAAGGACAGTTGTTTTTGGAGTCAGTATAGTGCAGTGGCCAAGAGCATGGGCCCTGGAGTCACTGCCTGGGTTGGAATTCCTCCTCCGTCAATGATTATAGCTGTATAACCTGAGGTAAGAAACTGACTTAAATCTCTCAGTTCTTCAATTTCCTCTTCTGTAAAATGTGGGTAATAAGAGAGCTAGCATTTAAGTTTACTGCCAGAATAATATTAAATGAGATAACAGGCCTAAAATACTTGCAGCAGTGCCTGATACCTAGTAAGCACTCAATAAATGTCAGTTACATCTATGGGGCTGACGGAGCAGTTAAGACTTGAGAGAGGCGACCATTTTTGTAACTGCTCTTTGAGGTTGTCCTGAATATCCCATATCTTTGCGTTGTTGTAGTTGGATGAATCCTTGTCTGTTTTTCAGGAAGACTCACATGATCCCATCAGGGTGCTCAGCTGGCTCCGCAGAGACCTGGAGAAAAGCACAGCAGAGTTCCAAGATGTTAGATTCAAGCCTGGAGAAGCATCATTAGGTGGGGAAATGGTCCACTCAGGAGACCCACACAAAAGTTTCTGTGTGGACTATTATAACACCACCAGCAAGGGCAGTCCAGGGAGATTGCATTTTGAGATGAGTCACAGAGAGAACCCTTGTCAGGGCCCCAGTGCCCACGCTGGTAACAGGAGCTCAGTAGACGAAGTTTCCTTCTACGCCAATCGCCTCACAAATCTCGTCATAGCCATGGCCCGCAAGGAGATCAACGAGAGGATTGACGGCTCTGAGAGCAAATGCATCCATCAGTCAGTGTACGTGGGGGATAAGCCCGCACCCAAAAAAAGCCTGAGCAAGGTGGCATCAGAGCTGGTGAACGAGACTGTCTCTGCCTGTTCCAGAAACTCCACCTCGGATAAGGCTCCTGGCTCCTCTGACAGAGCCTCAGGAACATCACAGAGCCCCGTGAATTTAAAATACAAAAGTGCTTTGAAGATCAAGGACAGCACCAAGGAAAGCAGGGGTCCAGACGACAAGCCTTCTTCTAAGAAGTCTTTCTTCTATAAGGAAGTGTTTGAATCTTGTAACGCAAGTGATGCCACAGAGGGCAGAAGGTCCTTACCCGCAGAGGGAGAGATGTTGAGAGAGCAGGAAAAGCCCAATGACTTCACAGCTTCTGTCAGTCAAGGGATCATCACCTATGCTAACAGTGTGGTGTCTGATATGATGGTCTCCATCATGAAGACACTGAAGATCCAAGTGAAGGACACGACCATTGCCACCATCCTGCTAAAGAAGGTCCTGATCAAGCACGCGGAAGAGGTGGTCTCAGATCTCATCGACTCCTTCATGAAGAACCTCCACGACGTCACAGGGGCCCTCATGACTGATACGGACTTTGTCTCGGCCGTGAAAAGAAGTCTCTTCGTTCATGGAAGCCAGAAGGCCACAGATATCATGGATGCCATGCTGAGTAAACTCTACTCAGTGATATTTGCCAAGAAACCTCCTGAGACTGTCAGGGAAACCAAGGACAAGTCTGAGAGTTATTCCCTCATGTCCGTGAAAGGAACGAGTGACCCTAAAAACCGAAACGTCAGCTTTGCATCCATGAAATCTGAAGGTAAATTGAGGGAAAAAATAGGCTCTCCTGCACCCAAACCCGAGAAGGAGAAGACTTGTGTTGAAACTCTGGGGGAGCACATCATCCAAGAGGGCCTGTCCCTGTGGCATAAAAACCAGCAGAAAGAAGGAAAATCCCCAGACCTCCAGTGTGCACCGCTTGCAGCTTCCAACAAACAGCATAAACCTGCGCCAGACTCTCCCTCGGGAGTTCCTCTCGATCCTAGCAACCTCAGTCCCTCTACGCATCACCCAGAGAAACTGGAGAATTTTATGCATGACTCTGAGTCCTGGGCCAGGGACCTGATCGTATCCGCCTTACTTCTGATTCAGTACCACCTGGCCCAGGGGGGAAGCATGGATGCACAGAGTCTCCTTAAAGCTGCTGGTGGCACCAACTTGCAGGCCAACAGCAAGTCCCCTGCAGTTTCTGATGAGTCCGGCCTTAGGTCTCCTCATATGGGGGTTGACCAAGAAGCAGCAGAAAAGAAGGATCTAATGAGCGTTTTCTTCAACTTCATCCGGAACTTACTCGGTGAGACCATTTTCAAGAGCGACCGTAGCTCTGAACCCAAGCCGACTAAGGAAGAAGACAGTCCCCAGTGTGAAAGACCTGTAAGTCCTTCTCCCATCAAACTAAATGAAGGCGATGAGGCTGGAGGTACTTTTGCTGGGCTGACCAAGAAGGTTGCTAACCAGCTAGATGACCACATGAACAAGCAAATGGTAGAACATCTGATGGACTCAGTGATGAAGTTGTGTCTCATTATTGCCAAGTCCTGTGACTCTCCATTGGCAGAAGTAGAAAGTAATAAGTCTGGGGACACCAACAGGCCAACTTCATCCTCCCCAGATAGTCTACATGAGTGTTTGCCGACCAAGGGCACAGGGGCAGCAGAGATCCTCCTGAAGAATGCTTATGAAGCTATCTACAACGAATTGAGAGGCATATCAGCACCGCTCCCCGAAGGGTCTGCAGCACCCAAAGTGATTGTCAGCAGTCACAACCTAGCCGATACGGTTCAGAACAAGCAACTCCAAGCCGTTCTTCAATGGGTGGCCGCCTCTGAGCTCAATGTCCCCGTGTTGTACTTTGCTGGTTATGATGAAGGAATCCAGGAGAAGGTAAGGAAGTAGAATCGGGAATTTGGGAAGATTTTTTAGGGGTTAATTAGGGTTTTAAGTTCTTTTTTTCTTTCTGAATGGAAAGAGAGCCACGAGAAGGGTAGAATGGGGACAGTAAAAATTTGAAGCTCATGCCTCATGGTAGAGATAATGGGTAAATTAAAATTCAATTTTGCCCACTAGGAGGCGTATCAAAGGGTAAAAGGGAGATAAATCATTTTTTTTCCTCTTTTTTTTTCTGCGTATATTGATGGGAGTGCACAAATAAGGAACCTGCAAGAGACTTGGTGAAAGAATCAGATTAAGGTCTGGGCTCAGGTTGAATTCTGCATGACAGCTTTGCCCAAAGAACGAGAAGGAGCTGCTGGGAAGCATCCCATCCTGGGGATGTGCTGCTGGGCCGGGGAGGCGGGGGGGTGAAGGGTGGACTGATGGCCTTTTCAAGCCTGTCATTCCTCTCTTAGCTGGTGGTCTAGGAAGTGTTGGGGATTTGAAGGGATTCAATAAATAACATCCCTCTTCCCCTCACCGTGGGTTCTGAGTCAGTTGAGAAGTAAGACCAAAGAATAAGGCAGATGGAAAATCAGCTTATTACTGTTCTTACTGGTAAAGGTAAGTGTGCCTTCTAACTCCTTTCTTCTCCCAGGTTAGGCCTTGGAACTGCTCACTGAAGGGAAATTTGGGGTCCAGAAAGCTTTTGTTTATGTAGTTGCCGTTTCATGCTAGTGTGGGAGAATTAAGAGAGGCCATCTCCACAGCACGCACGCACACACACACACACTCAGGATTTTTTATTATTTTCCCTCAATTGAGAAAAGTAGAACAATGGCATTTTAAGTAGTAGAAGGTGGCACGAGAGGCTGGGATTATTTATAAAAAGCATTCATCTTCTTAGAAACCAGAGGATGTGGAGAAAGAGGCTTTCTCTGTTTAATATGGGGTATTAGTAACCCTCGTAACTGGGTTACTTGGTTTATCTGATGACCGGGAAGACACAGAACTGTGTAGCATACAGAATAGGCCACACTCAGCCTAAGCGAGAAACTGTGTCATCTGTAGACTTGCTACTCGTGCGGTCTGTGGACCGACAGCATTGGCATCGCCTGGGAGCTCAGTACAAGTGCAGAATCTCAGGCTCCACTCCTGACCTACTGAATCAGAGTCTTCACTTTAGCAAAATCCCCAGGTGATTTGTGTGCATATGTTCCACTTGGGCTAAAGGACAGAACGTGGAGATCCAACCTTAGGTTTATCCCTAAGAGTCCTCGGCAAGTTCTGTCTCTTTACAGTTTTTCCAATCTGTACAACAGACAAGTGTTTTGGCACGTAGTAATTAGCGGATGGGCCTGTATTCACAAAAGCTGTAGACTGATGCAAAAAATCTAAAAAGCCTAGCTTTCACGTGTACAGTGTGAAACGGGCTTTGTTCTGACACCATCTTTTAAGTCATCCCCATCATACATAACACATTCTGATTTTAGGTTATTTTGAATTAGAATGTCTGTGATAGAATTCTCTAAAATGGGGACAGTAGACTTGCAGGCCTCCTTGTTCTACACACACGCACATCTTTGCCCAAAGTAAAGACTGTCATCTCTTTCCTTGAAGAGCGGAAGGGTTGAGCAGCAGCATGTCCAACTTCAACTGAGTGGATTTGCTCTGAGCGTCAGTATATGTTTAAGAACAGCTGGACGAAGTATACATCAAAGAAACTACCTAAAAATGAGTCACAATTTGTTTTTGGAAAGAGATTTAATTAACATATGCAAACATTTTCATGCGATGCAGGTGATTGAACCTGGTAACACTGGGATGCCCATGAGCCCAATTCCTTTAAACAAATTTGCATCCATTTTTGAATAAGTATATGTGCATAGTTCAAAATCCAAAGGCACAAAAAAAGATGCACACTTAAAATTAAGGGCTTTTTCTCATCTTTATCTCCCATCCCATTGCCCTCCCTGGAGAAAACCATTCTGATCAATTTCTTGTTTATCCTTCCAGAAATGCCTATGCATGTACAAGTTAATACTTTTACATACTTATCTTTCTTTAAGTCACAAATGGTAGTCTTTTATCTATGTGTATATATTCTCTTCTGCAACATATAGAGTTGCCACATTCTTTTCTAATGGCTGCATATTTACTGTATGCAGGTGCTGTATGTAACCACTCTTCTATGGATGGACATTTCAGTTACCAGTATTTTGCTGCTATAAGCAATGCTGTATGCACAGATTCAAATGTATCTGAACATGTGCTTGTAGATTGGATATGTATTCCCCAATGCCTTTTATAGAGCTTGCACCAACAATATGACAGTGTCTACTTGCCACAGTTTAACCAACAGTCCATTCCAGACTTTTGACCTTTGCCAAGTGTCGCCTTACTTTTCACATATCTTATTAGGAACGAGGGTGAATACCATTTCATATGTTTAAGAGCCATTTTTCAGTCCTTTTTCATGGATGAATTACTTGTTCATGCCCTCTGCCCATTTTTCTGTTGGGTTGTTGGTCTTTTTTTCTTTATCTCTGAGAGGTTTTTTATATACAAGGAAATTAGCCTTTGTGATATTTTTATCATTTGACTTTTGATTGGTGTTTTTTGTTGTTTTTGCCATACAGAATTTTGAAAATGTTTATGTAGTCAAATATGACAGTTTATCTTTTATTTTTCCTAGATTTTGTGTCGTATTTTGGAAAACATTCTCTACCACAAAATATTAACAAGACTTCCCCATGTTTTTCTTCTAGTATCTTTATGATTTTTTAAAAAAATGTTTAAAACTTTGATCCATGTTGAATTTGTTTTCACATAAGGTGTGATGTAGGGATGCAATCTCTTATTTTTTTTTCCAGATAGCTGTCTTTTTTTTTTTTAACATCTTTATTGGAGTATAATTGCTTCACAATGTTGTATTAGTTTCTGCTGTATAACAAAGTGAATTAGCTATACATATATGTATATCCCCATATCCCCTCCCTCTTGCGTCTCCCTCCCACTCTCCCTATCCCATCCCTCTAGGTGGTCACAAAGCACCAAACTGATCTCCCCGTGCGATGCAGCTGCTTCCCACTAGCTCAGATAGCTATCTTTGTTTTTTTTTCAAAGCCTTCTATTCCATTGAATCATTTGTCTATTCTTACTAGTTTAATACTATTTTCATAGCATATTGATTTAATTACTGTAATTCTATAATATGGTTTAATATCTGATAAGGACTAGAGACTCCTTATTTCTCTGTCTCAGAAATTTTCTAGGCGCTATTTCTGTTTCACCCCCAGCTGCAGGCAACCATCAACCTGCTTTCTAGCATTACAGATTTGCCTCTCCGACATTTTACATAATGGAGTCATAAACTGTGCAGCCTTTTACATCTGCCTCTGTACACCTAGCATAACGTTTTTGAGGTGTATCCATACTGCAGTATATGTCAGTAGTTCATTTCTTTTATTGCTGAATATTTTCTATGTTTTCTCTACCCACTCACCAGTTAACAGACATTTGGGTTGTTCCCACTAGTTGGCTATTATGAATAACGCTTCTGCACACGTTCACATGCACATCTCTGTGTGGACATAACGTTTTCATTTCTCTTGGGTGACAAGGAGTGTAACTGCTGCATCTTACGGTAAGTGTACTTTCTTAAGAAGCTGTCAAACTGTTTTCCAAAGTGGCTGTACCATTTTACGTTCCTACCAGCAATTTTTTGTTGATTTCAGTTTCTCATTATTCTTTTTTTTTTTAAATTATAGCTGTTATAGTGGTTTCTGAGTGTGGATTTAATTTGACATACATACATTAAAATGACTAAAGATGTTGAACATCTTTTTTATGTGTTCATTAGCCATTCATATATATTCTTTGATGAGTTGTCTGTGTAAATCTTTTGCCTATATTTTGACTGGGTTGCAAGAATATAAAGTTACAAGAATTCTTTATGTATTCTGGATACAAGTCCTTTGTCAGATATGTATGATTTGCAAATATTTTCTCTCAGTATGTATCTTGTCTTTTTACTTAATGGAGTGCTTCAAAAAGCAAAAGTTTTTAATGATGACATCTAATTTATCACTTTTTGCTTTCATTGCTTGTGCTTTTGATGTCATATCTGATAAATCTTTGCTTAACTCAGTGGTTCTCAACTGGAGGCAGTTTTGCCCCCAAGGGACATTTGGTAGTGCCTGGAGACGTATTTTCTTGTCACAACTGGGAAGGGGCAGTCTAGTGGGGAGAGGCCAGGGATGCTATAAACATCCTACAGTGCACAGAACAGCCCCTCAGCAAAGAATTACCTGGTCATAAGGTCAGTAGAGCCAGATTGCGAAACCCTGACCTAATAACCAGGGTCATGAAGATTCTCTTGTTTCTTTTCTTCTAAATAATAATTTCAGCTCTAATATTTAGGTCTGTGACCCATTTTGAGCTCATTTTCATGTATAATATGAGGTAGGTGTCTAGATTCTAGATTCACACTTCTGCGTGTGGGTATGCTGTTGTCTTCAGCACCTTTGTCGAAAAGACAAATGGACATCTGGCCCTTTTGAATTCTTCCCCCTTTATACCAACAGAATCACCACAAATGTTGAGGTTCAAGCTCTCTTTTGATTGGTGTTTTCATGGTACGTCTTTTGCCGTAATTTTACTTTTAACTTACCTATATCACAAAATGGTACAGCCACTTTGGAAAAGAGTTTGACAGTTCCTTAAGAAAGTATACTTACCATAAGGTGGTTCACGTTACCATTTTCCATAGGCAACGTAAGTAGGGTCATTTTTTTAAATCTATTCTGACAGCAGTTGGTGTGTTTAGACCATTTACAGTTAGCCTAATTATTGATATGCTTGGATTTAGGCCTATTATTTTAATGTTAGTTATGTTTATTCTCTCTGCTTTTCCTGTTTTTCCTTTTGTTGCCTTCTTTTGGATTATTTAAACAGTTTTTAGTTGTCCATTTTAATCTATCGTGTTTTCGTCTGCATCTCTTTGTGTAGTTTTTTAGTGGTTTCTCTGGGGATCACAATAACATACCTAACTTTTCAGAGTCTAACTAGAGTCAATAGTTACCACTTAAATTGGAATGTAGAAATCTTCCTACCATATAGGTCCCTTTACTCTTCTGCCTTAGGTTGCAGTTATTTTATGTATTTAGTTGCAAAAATCCTTAGGCAATGTTATTTTTGCTTTCAACCGTAAAGCACGTTTTAAAGAATGGAGGCGAATCGTTTATCGTTTATCCTGAGATTTTGACACTCTCTTTTGTTCTTTGTTCACTCCTTATGTTCCCAGTTTCCTTCTGATACCATTTTCCTTTTGCCCGAACAACAAGAGTGCATTTTCTGGCAATGAATTCTCTTAATTTAATACGAATTTTTCTTTATTTGACCTTCATTCCTGAAGTATATGTTTGCTGGACATAGAATTCTGGTTTGATAGTTCTTTTCTTTTAGTGCTTAAAAAGTGCTGTTTCACCTCCTCTGTCCTCTATGGTTTCTGACGAGAAACCTGCTGTCGTTCGAATTGTTCCCTTTCACAAAATGTGCCATTTTTCTCTGACGGCTTTTAGATTTTTTTTTTCTTTTTCTTCAGTTTTCAGCAATTTGATTGCAGCGGGTCTTGAAGTGAATTTCTTTGGGTTCATGTTGTTTCAGCTTCACTACGCTTCTTGAATGTGTCAGTTATGTCTGTTGGCAAATAGGGGAAGCTTTCACTAAGTATGTTTTCTGTACTCCCCTCTTTCTCCTCTCCTTCTGGGATTCTAATGACATAGATGTAAAACCTTTTGGAATTGTTTATTTTCTCAGTCTTTTTGAAAGAGGTTGAATCAGTCTCTTACCCTGTTCAGTGCGACACATTTCTATTGCTCTTTCTTCAAGTTGACTGGGTTTCCTCTCTCATCTCCGTCCATTTAGTTTTCATTTGGGATTTTGTATTATTGTTTAGTTCCAAAATTTCCATTTGGGTCTTCTTTATATCTCCTCTTTGCGGAGACTCTGTCTTTCCATTTGTTTCAGGAGTATCCTCATTATTGGGTTGGCCAAAAAGTTCATTTGGGTGTAGCCGAAGATGTGATGGGAAACCCCGAACGAACTTTTTGGCCAACGCAATACTTCAGTCTGCACGGAATTTCCCCCGAAACAGTTCCTGATTTTTGGCCTGTTCATTTGCCCTTTGACTTTCTCACGCAGTCAGGTGCGGAATGCACAAAATATAAACTTTGATTCCTTTGTTGCTGCGAGGATTCCGGGTGGGATAGCAATGGACTGTGCTCACATTAGAATACTTGCTTTGGCTCATGGTTTCTCATTTTAAGCTTGGGAAGAGACCTGGGTATGAGTATTACCTCCGCTAATTTCTAGCATTGTATTACTGACAGTCTTCACCTCTCCGGGCAGCGTTTTCGTGGGGGTTGAATGGATCTTTGAGTCACCTTCCTGCTCTAACATCCCAGTGTTGTCTGGTCTATGGGGCAGGGAAAGCAGCACCCACATTTGTCCTATGTCTCTTTCTCTCCTGCCCTTGTCAGTCTTGGGACAATGATGGAGCCCGTTTTATGATGCTACAGTGAACTTGAGAACTTTAGAATCCTGAGAAGGCAAGAAGACCATTGACCAAACACCCACTGGGAGCAGGAGGTTTTTAGTCTTAGTGGGAAATCACATTTTCCGTATCACGGACAGGGGGATGTTACTTAAATTAAGGGCGATGTAACCACCTTTCTTCTGTCAGACAGGCCAGCGAGCGGCCCGGTTACGGACATCTCCTCAGCGTCCCCCTCGAGGCCCCCCCGCCGCAGGGGCTCTTTTGCCCTCGCCTCGGCAGCCCTTCCCCGCCCTCGGTGGGATGCTCGGCCGCTCACCACTGCTTTCCTTCCCTCCCTCAGCTACTTCAGCTCTCGGCAGCCGCCATGGAAAAAGGGCGCAGCGTAGGTGAGGTTCTGCAGTCGGTGCTGCGCTATGAGAAGGAACGACAGCTGCACGAGGCGGCGGGCAACGTCACGCGGCTGCAGCTGCTGGACTGGCTGATGGTGAACCTGTGATGGGGCCGCTGCCCTCCCCTCTTCCCGCGCTGGGCCCGGCCCTCGTCCCCTCCCTGCCTTCTCACCTCCGCAGCCCCCGCCTCCGTATCATCACAGAGCCCCAGCGTCACCTTCATACCACTCACATCCAAGACACGTCATCTTGTGCTAGTCCCTGGATTTCGCATTTTCCTGTCCATGTGAGCAAGGACAAAAAAAAAAAAAAAAAAAAAAAAAAAATGGCTTCGGGTATTTTGTTTCCTTGGCATCCAATGGGACGGTAAGGTGAAGCAATCTCAGCAAGGAAGAAAGAACCCGATGGCTAATAGCAGAAGAAAACTACTGCCGGCCTGAGAGACCCCAGCAGACGCCGTTTGGCCTGTTGTCTCTGGATCCCCCCGTCAGTGCCTTGCGGCTCCCCTGCGTTCAAGTGGTCCCTAAAAATAAGCCACAATTCATCAAGCGTCATTTCAGCCCTTTATAACCTTGTAAGTATTTTTCAGTATCCAATCTAAATCCTCCTAATTAGGCTACCAGGACTTGGCTCCTTGTCCTGTCTCCGCAGCACAACTGTCCACCTCAGCTCTATCCGTGGTTGCAGACAGTCGGTGACAAAAAAGGTCCAGAACACCTGAGTTCTGTTGCCAGTTCTGAACCTTTCTGGCTGTAGGACCTGGGACGAGTCACCTCTTCTGACACTGCTCTGACTTAATGTCCATGTCACCCCACTTTAGAAGCATTTTCTGAAGTTTACATTCTCCAGCTATTTTTTATTCTCCATCCTTCCTTTTAGACACTTCCTCCTCCTCTGGTTTCTAGTTTCCCTATTTTTCTACGTCTCTCAGGGGCTCTACTCGACTTTGTCAACCGCTTACATGTTTGTCTTTCCCAGGACTTTCTCGTGACCCTCTGCTACTCTCTACCATCTTCCCTAGGTGATCTCATCCAAACCCATAGCTTCAATTACCTGGTGTCTCCCTTCATGGACAGTTACACACTGATTAAAATGAAAACTACGAAGCCATGTACGATGTTTATGATGTTATGATCTTGAGTGCCTTGTACACAGTTATCTGTACTATAATTACAACCATATACAGACTGAGTTCGTGTAGGTAAAGACTAGAAGGGCAGGTGGTGGGTGAGTGGATACATCCTGTAGTTTGCTCGTCTTCCGTCCTTCGGGAGAGCTGTTGTGTCCTACTCCACGTGGTCCTGGAGAAGCATCAGTCATGGCACTGCCACCACACCACACCACACTGTGGGCTTGTGACCCAGGCTGGCCAATCAGAGGACCCCAATATCTCAGACACGGTGATGAGTTCAAGTCCGACCAATCACCTCTGAGACTTTCCCACCAGCAGGAAGACTGCATCTTCTGACTGGCCGAGAGTGGTCACCTTAACTTCTGGGCAGAGCTTGTCTTCAGAGTGAAGTTAACCATAAAAAGAAGCAAGACTAATGCGGGAGAGGGAGTCTGAGCTCCATGATCTTGTCTGAACTCCTAGATCTTGCTGTATCTACACTTAGCCCTCCTGATTCCCCAGTCACATAAACCGATAAATGTCCTTTAAACTAGTTGGAACTCAGCTTCTGTCATTTTCAAACCAGAATCCTGACTGTCTTGGGCAAGAGGAAAAAAGTGTTTTTTTATTATTTAGCGTCCTCTCAGTGATGCTGTAACACTGAGTACTTAACCCTCTCCCCACCCCATCTCCCCACACACGCACCCATTGTTGTATTTGATTGAGGGCATGAGGAAGGAGCATGGGTGCAAGGACATCCTTTCCAATCCCTCATCATAGGAATCATGCCAATAGGCCATGTGAATAGAGGGTTTTTTTTTTAAACCTTTATGCATTAAAAAACAACAGTCTTAAGTATTGTACAATAGAAGTGCTGTCTCTAATACAAATCTCTGGTGGAAAGAAACAGGACACACCCTCCTCTCAGGTCACACAATAGGTGGTAAAATGTTTGTGTTCTCGGGGGAGCAGTTTTTGTTTTGTTGTCCTGTGGAGGCCTTGGACTTCGCTGGCCCAACAACTGCCTCGGGCTTTCCGGAAGCTTCTGCTAGATGAGGCAGCTGGACTTCAGCTGTGTGCTGGACAGAGCCCTGCTGACTACCTGAGTTCTGACCCTGTTTAGTGGCGCCTTCGTTGATTTTGTCTTTAGTCTCTATTTGAAGGATCACCTCTGCCAAAGAGGAGAGAGCAGGAACAAGTAAGTGTTCAAATATGAATTACTTTCTAACTGTCCATTAGGCTGTAAGTCATTTGGGGGAAATCTGGTTGTAATGATACAAAAACAAGTCATTTGTAAAGCACATTCTGTGTGCCAGGCATCATTCTAAGCCCTTTATACTTACTGGTTCCTTTGCTCCTTCCTGCAACCAGAGAGAATAGGCATTATTCTCATTCTCATAAATGGAGAAACTGCGGCACAGAGAGGTTAAGCAAATTGCCCAAGGGCCCACAGCTGGTAAGTGGTAGGGCCAGACTTTATCCCAGGCAGCCTGACTCCAGTGACCGAGTACATAACCATGAGGCTATATTGCATATAAAAGATCCTCGCATAATTCCATAATCTGATCAAAATTCAAAAGGTAATTATAGGGCTTGCAGAGGAGGACGCATTGAAAGAAAAGGAAAGGAGGGGAATAGGAATTGGAGATAGGAGAAACACAGAAATTCCTAACGATGAGAGGGCAAAAAAAGAGGAGAACCCAGCCACAGCCAAGTTTCCTGAAAGAGGAAAATGCCCAAATTACGAAGTGTCAGGCCAGTAGTGATGAAACCAGAATAATTAACCGAGGTTGAGCTCAGAGAAATTGGCAGGCAATCCTCCAGAGACGGCTGACCCCCTGGATTATGGAAATAGGACTGGCTATTTGAGGGACTGGACCTTGTTTGCCCAAGTGATGTTGCCCTTGAACCTTGCCCTTCCTGGCCTCAGAAGGGAAACAGAGACTGGCTTTCCTCAAGGTCTGAAGCCTGGGCTGTGCTTTGAGGTTCCGCGGCTCATGAATCCAAGCATGCCTGAGGGCCTGGTCAGGGGTCACGCGAAGAGAAGGCTCCCAGCTACACACCAACAAAGCCCAGCATTGGTTAGGGTTTTATTTCCCTTTTTAATAATGAAATATTTTCAAAGACCCCAATAAAGAACCTAAATAAGATATAAAAATGGTTCATTTTTAAAGAACCCATTTAAGCTATGTTAAAACTCAAAGATACCATAGAACAGAGCTTATGACATATAATTTTAAAGTACCTGGAGGCAACTATTGGAAATGAGCTTTTTAGAAAATGTGTATGACAAGCCGAGGAATATCTCACAGCCCAAATTCCGTTACAAGAAATATTAGAGAAAATCGAAACCAGTGGGATTTAGGGGTTAGTAAACTAAGAACATCAAAATGAAGAGATGCTTAATTGTGATTCCCAAACTATGGAATTTGGACCTCCAAGTATATCACAAAGAACATCATAGAACACTAGAATATTAAGACCATGAGGGGACTTGGAGATAATCCAAACTGCTAATGCAGTGACAAGATACACTTGACAAAATACACTTGACCCACCATGGAATCATCTTGCCTTTCCTGAGTAATTTTAGTAACATGGCACTAACTCACAGAACTAGCTATTCCAGTTTTTAAAAACTCCAATTCTTTAAAAGTTGTTCATTTTGATTGAGCCAAGATTCACTTCTCGGGAACTTTTAGCCTAGTAACTTTGACCCGGTCTTAAATTCTACCCATTAGCATCATACAGAATGAGACAACTAATCCATCTTTTATGTCACAACCCTTCAACTATCTGAAAACATTTACATGACTACTAATTATCAATCATATGACATGATCAGTTCCTTCCTAGATAGGAAATCTCAGCTGTTATCTAACTGGTGTCCATCATGCTGGGAATAGCTACTAACTGCAAGGAGATGGCATTAATATTTCAGACTCATCGAGGTCTAAACAACTCAAGTTCCCAGCTCTTTGTCCAATGAACTGCTGTTAAGCTACACCTCGCCTCTCCTGAACTCCTAGAGTTAGCCTATAAAATCTAGACACAAAACTTTACATTTATCCCTATTAAATCTGACCCAAAACTTTTAGTCTCTCAAAGACTTGCTAATTAGCCAAATACGAAGTAATAAAACAACAGGCCCTGACAGCATGACTGCCTCTTACAAGGTGTGAGCAACCAGCCCTTTGCGCTAAAAAGGAGAATAATTTCATTCCTGGCTCTGAGTTTCTGGATTACCCACCTCTGTCTCAGTACTGAGTTTCTGTTACGAGTTAATGGCCATTCATTCTATCGCCTCAGCAAGAGGCTGGGGTGGAGTGGGGGTCATGATGGGGTACAGGATCCTTCTCTGTCTCCATTTTTCAGATGGGTAGCATGACCCCGCAGATGGGAAAACTTTTGGCAGGCCCTGGTGGTTTATTTTCTGAGCTAGTACCTAAACTCCAGATGCACAAATGCCAGAAGAGTAGTATTTTGCTAAAACTACTTCATCCCACTGAAGGAATGAGAGAACATAAAGATATGGTCTTCTAAAACTACTAAACAATTATAGGACTAATACAGCTGGAAGAGACCTTAGGAATACCCCATTCTACAGAAAAGGAAACTGAAGCCCAGAGAGACAATGACTTGTCCAATATCACGTGGCTAATTTATTTGCCACTCAGTGGAGACAGACTTGCATAACCTCTTTAAAATTGGTGACAACAGCTAGTATTTTCTAAATACCTTCTAAACTAGGTACAGTTCTAAGGTGCTTTATGGACTATTGGGTTTTTTTTTTTTATCAATACTATGACGGGTGAAGTACAGAGCCTACTTTCTAAGATTCAAAATATGCCTATAGATTCTAAAAAGCTGTACATAATAAATGGTTTATAGATCACCCTTTCCCTAGTTCCCTAATATGAGAGGATTTAGACTCTAAATCCTAGGGGAATGGGTGGGAAGGGGCCTGAAACCAGCTTGTACTGGGCATGTATGCAAATAGTTATTGATACAACAGACTCTCTGAAGACCTGGGCTTCAGTCCATGAAACAGAAAACACGGAGGACTTGCCTACAACCTTGCTTCCAGGCAGTCAGGGCAAGAAGGAAGCAAGCTCGACCCACACGCTGTGTAATCCAGGGCAAGTCACTTAATCTCTCGAGCCTCAGGCTCCACGTCTCAAAACATCAGGTCGTCTGTCCCACTGACCACACAGGATGGACAGTGGAGACAGCAGTCTGATGAGGCAACAGATAGGAAAGCATCTCGTAGACCCTAAAGATCTATGGTCCGTGTTTATTATGTCCCATGACTGCCTCCCAGCCCCAGACTTTCACCAGCAAACGTGTGGGAAAGTACAGTGTTTAAGAGGAAACCCAGAAGCAAAGACACCCTGACAAAACTCACACCAAACACTTTCTCAGGAAGTCCAGGAAACCGGTGTCATAGGTTTTCAGCACCATGGTGAGATCCTTGGAATCCGGGTATCTTTTTTTCCCCTTTTGTTGGTTATATTTTTAGGAAAACCTTTGGAATCTTTAGAGATACAACATTATGTGTTTAGTTCCAGGTGTGAATATGCATTGGTCACATCACAGCTGTTCACTCAAACTTGCTGCTTCTGGGAGTGGTCTCTGCAGTTCTCCCGCCCCCTCACACACAGACAAACACACCCGCAGTCTTAGTTTAAAATAACCACATGTACATTATCCAATGAATACAATTTACTTTTACAAATAACTTCCTACTACTCGGCATGTTCTGAGCCACCACCTCCTCCTCCTGGAATCAATCAAATGATTTTAATGGTTTAACATTAACCAACGTAAAATAATAGTGATGATGATGACGACGATAATAATAATAGTAAAGTAAATCTGAAGTGACGGAAACGGCCCGCTGTGAACAAAAAGCAGGTTGTCCATTCTTGGCTTTTCTATGATCCTTCCTCACCCCAAAACGTGAGAATTTGGGACACCCATGGGGAATAACAGGAAAGTCATTTTAGGAGAAGGATTGACTTTCAGAGCTCATGTACAAGCCACACAAGCAAGTTAACCTCATTTCTTATTTTTAGTCGTGTCAAAATTTTGTCCATAACTGGAATGATCAAACTTGGTGGTGGCATAAGACACTGCTTGGAATGATTTTCTTCAGCCATTTCCACGGATTAAAGCCCTCACCAAATGTATCTTCTGTCATTGCTGAAAAGAAACCCCTGAAGACAGGTCCAAAGGTGGCCTGAGAACACAGTGCAATGCCTTGAGGGCAAGACCATTCGTTTGGACATCTAGGTCGTGGTGAGCATGTTCAGAAAGGTGACCACGTATGCTCACACCTTGTAAATATACATGTGAAAGGGCGGATATGTATATACACACATGCAAAACTGACACATTCCATGAAATTCTCACAAAAACTCGGGCGGGGTTCATACAATGGACATCCTGGAAGGTACATAATGAAATGCTTCTAATTACTTTTGCAATCAATACAATTTGCAGGGCGTCCAACAGAACACCTGCTCTTACTGAATTCCTGTAAGAGCCCATGAATGTGTGTATGTGCGTATATACACACATGGGTATCTGTGTGTTTATATAGAAAAAAATGGGCTGGGGGTACTGCATAGGGCATAGGTCCTGTGAACTCCTTTTTGACTGTGGCACCAGGGCTCCCACCTTATCCTAGATTGTCTTTTCATAAATGGTCACAGAAGAATTAGATTCACGGGCTTACAAATAACATAGCTCCTGCAGTCATCTTTATGTAATTGCTTTTCTTGTACAAGTTTTTCCTACCTCTCTGACCTTCCCCAATATCTCCTTATTCTCCCCACCTCCTCTTGCTGTCTGGAGCACCTACGTATCTTGCTACCTTTGAAGAAACAACTTTCCTCTTAATTAAGGGTATTAACTAGGAGTGGCTGGGGGCTGAGGACCTGTTGGCAGCCCAAACCTGGGGAAGGGAGAGCCAAGAACTTAAGTGGATATAGTGTTTCCAAACTCGCCTCATCATAAGCTGCTGTAAAAAACATACAGACTTCTGAGTCCCACCTCAAACACACTATACCATAGGAGGATCCTGGGGATTAGCACTTTTCCCAAGAACCCAAATGATTCTTATAATCAAATAAAATTTGGGAAACACGGATGAGGATGCAGCTCCCAATAACGTCCTTTCTTACGCAGGAAGGGAAGATGTGTGCTTTTGCTACCAAAATCACATTCGGAAGCTTAGTGCTGATGGTAAAAATCGGGTACTCTATGAAAGGGACATGTATCTGTCTTTGGTACCCTCTTACCAAAATGCCTATATTCCCTTCCTTTTGATTCCCCCAAGTACAATCTCTTGAGTTCAGGGTTATAGGCTTGAGATGTGACTCTTCCCACATTGTCTTTGTCTAGCAGGAGGGAACACCAATGCTCCTACTTGTCTTTCCCTAAGTCCTTTGAAATCCAAAAGGCTGAATTCAAAGTGGTGGATGGGAAAAGGACATCTGGGGTCAAGAGACCAGTTCCACTGCCCCATGCATAAGTTATACCAGCGAGTCGGCCAGATGCTCTGCTCTGGTATGGGACTGACCAATCCGAGTGGACGACAGTCTTGGCATTGGAGGGGGATCCTGGAGGACCTTTTCTTGCCAGACCTTAAAATTTTAGTTTCTGGATTGTGGGCTCAGGGCTGTGGCTTTTTAACCAACTGGTACAGAAATAGACTACATTTTAACCCCCAGGTGGCTGAACCAATATATACCGACTGCCCATCAACATGTGAAACACTTTTGTCCAGGAGGGTCCCCCAGGGTGGTGTTCTTTGACTTTCCTATTGATGGGACAAGACGTGGAGAGAAATTATGTGATTTGTCTACCCATTTTGAGGCCACCGTTGGGTGAAAATAAGAGGCAGGAGGGCTGGGAACGACAGTGTGAGCCTGTGAACTAAGCTGACGACAATGTTGTTCCGGATGGCAGGGAGCCCGTCTGTGGGGCCCTCGTTCCTCACATCTGGCTTCACTCCACTTGGCTGACATTAGGGCCACTACGGCTTTTTGTACACAGGAATCCCTTAGCAAAGGGATTTTAGATCTGGGACTGGCTTCATCTTCTGGTTCACAGTGGCTCAGAAGCCCTGCCCGAGTTGGACTTCATTGATCCCCCGGTCTGTCCTGTACAGCACAGCTTGGCTTGAAAGACAGAGGATCATAAAATCCAGGGTCTGGGAACTGGGAGGGGGGGGGGGGGTGCAGCACGGAGACTGTGGATGAAGCTTCATTCCAGCTATTAGGCAGATGTCCTATACAAAACTGACAAGCCATAGCTGACAGCCCTTGCTTACCTATTTTATACCAAAGTTGCAATGAATCTGGAATAGCGAGGGACTCGGGGATTAGGAGAATTTCAGCAGGAAAGAATAAGGCTCCATTAATGATAAACTGTAGCAATGGAATTTTCCACTGTTCTTGCAAAGACGCTTCTGCTCTTTGATTTCCTTCACGGTGCATAGTGCGCGCGGGCAGGCAAGCTGCCAGGGGAGGTGGGGAGAACTGTTAGGAGAGGGTAGAGTTCTAATCTTTTGGGGTTTCAAGATCTGCTGGTAGGCCTTCTGAGCAGGAACCTGGTCATTCTTGGCACCTGTGCATTTTCACTGCCGAGACCTCGCTCCCAGTGACTGCCCCACCCATCTCCATCATGCCCCTGGTACCACAGCTCAGCATCTTTTTACTTTTCTGAAAGAAACCTCTAAGCACAGCCTGCCTTTTGGGGCGTGGCCAGAGGAAGAGCATCATATGGGGTGTAGGGCATGGAAGGTGTCTTCCGGGGCTGGGAAACCTCATCAGCTACAACAGGAAAAAGAGAGTCAGACCTGGGACTCACCAAAGAACGTCTGTCTCCTGGAGGCCGTCTGGATGAAGTGGGTCGGTGGCAAGCCCAGCACCTTCAACAAGGACAAAGCAGTGGATTCCCTCCTCTGGAGTCACACATTCCAAGACTGTTAGAACTGGGTGTGACTTCAGCTAAACGTTGTCTTCTACAGATAAGGACCCAGGATATGAAGCGATAACCTCAAGCCAGTGGCAGAGCAGGTCCAGAGCCTGAGACTCGACTCCTGATCCAGGGCCGTTTCAGTACCCCGAGCACTGACACCACCCACATTATTCTAAACAGACATCAGCACCTACTAGACAGGCCACTCGTGATAGCAGGCAGATCACACTGTCTAAGCAAGTAAACCCGTGCAGCTGCGGACCACCCCTGAATTAAGGGGTGACACATCCCAGCTCAGAGCATGGGAAGGGAGGAAAGGAAAAGGAGATGGGAATCACCAGATGGGCATCAGACCACGATATGACAAAGTATCTTCTGAAAAGACAAGGGTAACACCTGCTTGGTCACCTTTCCCCACTGCCACCTATAGGGGTGCACACAGAAGAGAGAAACGACAGGTGTCCCCCTCAGCTCTGGGCCCCTGTCCTTGCAGCCAGGTTCCCAGGTTGTCCCTTCACGACCCTGCCCTCCTGTTCCTGAGCCGCGCTGACTGAGGTCAGGAGGAAGCTGCAGTTCAGGGGCAGCAGGAACCTCCACCCAGATCCCATGCCCTCCATTGGAGGAGAAAATTGGAGGATTGGCTCCGGGATGCTTCACTGAATCGTCCATCATCAACCTTAGAAGCCATGGACTCTGGTCCCCTCATCTTACAGACATCAGACCAGGGAAGTGACTTGCCAAAGAGGACTAGCCTCCGGGTTTACTGATCTCCAGGGCAGTGTTCGTCCCACCATAGCTATCATTTATAGCTACTGTTAACTAAATTAGTGGAATACTTTATTATCAGTTTCAACCGTAAGATGAATCTCTACATTAATTCCCAAGGATGTATGTGTCTCCCCAACCAACCTTTAACTTTAAGACAATCTAGAAAATGGGGATTTGGGATGAATGGATAGATAGGTTGAGAGAGAGAGGAATTAGATACGTCTTTGTTCAGAGTCAAAATATCTTTGTTCCCTGGGGAAATCCTAAAATGTGAAATTTCCAGTTTTTAGGATTATTTTCTCCCATGTCGTCTAATTTGGCGTAACAAGATGCCTTTAGGTAAAAGAAGAGCAGGTATAATGAATAACCATGTGAGAGTCTTGGTAAAGCCTTTTCATGGCATGATATTCTTCCCAGAAAGTTAAGATGGTAAGTAACAACTGAACAGTGCACAGATTTCAATGGGTGTCATGTCAGCCTGGTTTTTAGATTCTTTGGAATATATTTGAAAGACCGGTATAACAGTTTTATTTTAAATGTTACTATTCACAATATGCTGGAAGTTACATCCTTTGCAGTTACTTACATTTATGATAAAAAGGTTAGATGTCGACTCAAAAGTGTACATAATTTCAAAACATCCAACCCTGTCCCGTAAACAGATGCAGGCCATTGCCCTAGAGCGAGTCCGATGCAGCCTGGAGTCTGAGAGCGGAAGTTACCCCTCCCGAGGGCATCGGTTGGAAGGCAGCCGGGTCCGCCTCACCTCCATGATGCAGGCTAGCTGCTCCACCTCGTTCTCCCCAGGGAACAGGGGGGTAGCCCGTGTACAGCTCGGCCATGATGCAGCCCAGGCTCCACATATCAATGGCTATGTTGTAGGGATGGCCCAGGATCACCTCTGGGGATCGGTAGAACCGGCTTTGGATGTAGGTGTAGACTGCAGGGGAAAGAAAGAGAAACCTCACGTGGAAATCTCCTCTCCAGAGCACGCGGCTCCACATACCTGCTCAGGCGGGGGTGGACGATAATTAATTAAGAACCCCCCCTACCCCCGACTTCTTTTCACTCTGCGGGCTTTGCAGGGAGAAGGAGGTACAAATGGTCAGCACTTATGAGTCCCATCCCACATCTAATCTCATCACATCCCCAGAGCAACCTGATTATCATGAGGGGCTGTTAGCCTCACGTTACTGATAAAGAACTCTAAAGTAGGCATTGTTCTAGAGAAGTAAATTTGTCAGGCAAGCTTTCAAAAAAGAAAACATAAGACGAATATAAAGCTAAGTTTTCAAATTGTCTGATTAATCTGGGGTAGACGCTCTCTGAAGTATTGCGATTTGGCAAGGGGAGACGTGTATGAAAGTTGAAAAAGAAGCGTGGAAAATGCATAATGTAAAAATGTATATTCCATACACTATGTGCATTGCGTTACATATAGAAAGAAAAGTTCAACAAAATCTCAGCAGACGAGGATGTACAGAGGATATTTAGTATTGCAGGCAGCCTAGATTTTACAGAGGAGGAAACTGAGGTTGGAGAAACGGGACACTACAGGTATTTGCAAATGCTGTTAACTGGTTACCTAGATGGGGGCAGGGCAAGGGATTTTGTACTCACTTCTCTGTTGTTTGACTTGGGTACAGTAAGGATGTAATAATTTTTAGTGACTTAAAACAAAGATTTAATAAAAATGACTTTGTACCCTGTCTGTTTCCAAAATGGACATGAGGCACTTTGCAATCAAAGTACGAATATACAGGAAAGATTTTTTAAATGAATTTAATGACAGAGGAAGACAAATACAGTATGATTTCACTTACATGTGGAATCTAAAAAACAAGTGAACAAACAAAAGGAAAGAGAAATGTCTGTTTAGGTCTTCTGCCCATCTTTGGATTGGGTTGTTTGTGTTTTTGATACTGAGCCGCATGAGCTGCTTGTATATTTTGGAGATTAATCATTTGTCAGTTGCTTCGTTTGCAAATATTTTCTCCCATTCTGAGGGTTGTATTTTTGTCTTGTTTATGGTTTCCTTTGCTGTGCAAAAACTTCTAAGTTTCATTAGGTCTCATTTGTTTATTTTTGTTTCCATTTCTCTAGGAGGCGGGTCAAAAAGGATCTTGCTGTAGTTTATGTCAAGAGTGTTCTGCCTATGTTTTCCTCTAAGAGTTTTATAGTGTTTAGCCTTTATATTTAGGTCTTTAATCCATTTTGAGTTTATTTTTGTGTATGGTGTTAGGGAGTGTTCTAATTTCCTTCTTTTACATGTAGCTGTCCAGTTTTCCCAGCACCACTTATTGAAGAGGCTGTCTTTTCTCCATTGTATATTCTTGCCTCCTTTATCAAAAATTAGGTGACCATGTGTGCGTGGGTTTATCTCTGGGCTTTTTATCCTGTTCCATTGATCTATAATTCTGTTTTTGTGCCAGTACCATACTGTCTTGATTACTGTAGCTTTGTAGTATGGTCTGAAGTCCAGGAGCCTGAATCTTCCAGCTCCATTTTTCTTTCTCAAGATTGCTGTGGCTATTCGGGGTCCGTTGTGTTTCCACACAAATTGTGAAATTTTTTGTTCTAGTTCTGTGAAAAATGCCATTGATAGTTTGGTAGAGCTTGCATTGAATCTGTAGGTTGCTTTGGGTAGTATAGTCATTTTCACAATGTTGATTCTTCCAATCCAAGAACATGGTAGATCTCTCCATCTGTTTGTATCATCTTTAATTTCTTTCATCAGTGTCTTATAGTTTTCTGCATACAGGCCTTTTGTCTCCTTAGGTAGGTTTATTCCTAGGTATTTTATTCTTTTTGTTGCAGTGGTAAATGGGAGTGTTTCCTTAATTTCTCTTTCAGATTTTTCATCATTAGTGTATAGGATTGCAAGAGATTTCTGTGCATTAATTTTGCGTCCTGCTATTTTACCAAATTTATTGTTTAGCTCTAGTAGTTTTCTGGTAGCATCTTTAGGATTCTCTATGTATAGTATCATGTCATCTGCAAACAGTGACAGTTTTACTCCTTCTTTTCCGATTTGAATTTATTTCTTTTTCATCTCTGATCGCTCTGGCTAAAACTTCCAAAACTATGTTGAATAATAGTGGTGAGAATGGGCAGCCTTGTCTTGTTCCTGATCTTAGTGGAAATGGTTTCAGTTTTCCACCATTGAGAACGATGTTGGCTGTGGGTTTGTCATATATGGCCTTTATTATATTGAGGTAAGTTCCCTCTATGCCTTTCTGGAGAGTTTAGCATAAATGGGTGTTGAATTTTGTTGAAAGATTTTTCTGCATCTATTGAGATTATCATATGGTTTTTATCCTTCAATTTGTTAACATGGTAAAAGCAGGAAAACTAAATAGTTGAATGACAGCAGCATCACCTGGAGGAATATACAGTCTGGTCCATGGAGGAAACAGACATTCAAATAAAATTTTTTTAAGGAGCCAAGTTGATTTTCAGTCTTCAAGGACGAGTAGAAATTAGCAATGGAAAAAAGGCAAATAAGAACCATCTGAAGACCTGGAGCCATGGGTACTAGCACCCAGTGTGGTGTGGCGGGGGGTCAAAGGTGAACGTGGGCAGCACGCGACAAGGTTGAAGAAGCAGACAGGGGCCAGCCTGATTCGAAATAGCTTGTGAACTAAACAGGCTAAGGGGTATGTGTGTGGATTTTAAGCAGAGGGGTGTTCGGGCTCAGATTTTATTTTAGGAAACTCCCTCTGGCTAGAGTGGCTTGATGGGTAGGCCCGAGTAGGTTACCAGTCAAGGCAAGGACGCCAGTTAGTAGTCAGAGTAAAGGCAGCAAGTGGAAGGAGAGAGCAGTTTTGAGAAACGCAGGAAATGGACTAGAGCTTGCTGAACGGATGTGAAGGGTGCAAGTGCCTGAGGCACCTCAGCTGACTGACGGTGATGCTATTTACTAACAGAAGATATAGGAGGGAAAACGCCTGGGGAGGGGGAGACGTTATTGATTCAGTGATGACTTACGTCAAATGATCAAGTGGTCTGTGTCAGGAGCAAGGTCTGGGCTTAAAGATCCTGACTTGGCAGTCACCGTCACACTGGTGACCATTGAACTTGAAGTTGCCCAAGCTTTGAAAGAAAAAAGGACCACGGGGGAAAAGAATGGAATCTCACAGAATATGGTATGGTAGTGAGAGCTGTGGGTGTAGGTGACACAAAAGATTAGCAAGCCACAAACAATGAAGAGAGGCAGGGAGGCAGGGAGAAAAGTACAAAAGAATGGTGTCATACGCGCCCAGAAATAAAATGTACTAAGCAGGGTATAATGAATAGGGTCTATAAGATACGGTGAGAAAGTGCACCCTGGGTTTGGCAACAGAAAGGTCATGAGTGCTTTCTGCAAGGCCAGTTTTGACGCACATTAAGGTAATTTTCAGTGGAAAGTACTAATATCAATAGCATAGAGAAAACAGGTTCATCAAGCTCGTCCAGATGACTAATTAATGATATTAGTACTAACACAGGGTAGGCTCTTAATAAACGTTTATTGTTAAACTGCCGCACACAGAGTACCTCAATACCGTGTCCCTGGGAAACATGTTTCCAAGAAGGGGTGGGGCGGGGTAGGTAAGGGGGTGTAAGACAGTAGAAAATATATACTCGATAAGAAAAAATATATATAATAGCAGTAGGATCATAATTCCTACATAAAATCATCACTTTAATCACAATTCTAAATACTTATCTTCACATTAACATAGATATTTCATTAACCAAGAAGAACTGAGCTAAGTATTATGTATTTTTTAATGGTTAACATGATTCAAAGTATTTTTATTAAAAATTGAAATTTGGTTTGGTTGAAGTTCTCACCATAAAGTATCACTATTTTTACTCACAGTGAATTAGGATGTAAGCTTCCGAAAGGGCTGTACTATCTAATACAATAGGGGTGACAAGTACTTGACAGCCACCCTCTAGAGCACGGGCTTAATGTAAAAGTGACGACTTTAAGAAACAGCTCTTCCCTTTATATTTACAACAAAAAGGCTAACTTTTTTTGCAAAGCACTCATTTTATCATGAAATGTAGACAGAGACAGATGGATGCATTAGCATCAAGGAAAAGTGCATATCACAACTTTTTCACTTTTATTAAAGGTTTTGACAATGAGGGCTTCATAAAATGTCACAAAATTCTATTTGCTATCTAACCATCTACTTCGAAGTAGGAGACATACGCTATAGTATAGCAACTGTTTTGAGTTTTTTTGTTTTTTTTTTTCTTTTGCGGTACGCGGGCCTCTCACTGCTGGGGCCTCTCCCGTCGCGGAGCACAGGCTCCGGACGCGCAGGCTCAGTGGCCATGGCTCACGGGTCCAGCCGCTCCGCGGCATGTGGGATCCTCCCAGACTGGGGCACGAACCCGTGTCCCCTGCATCGGCAGGCGGACTCTCAACCACTGCGCCACCAGGGAAGCCGATCAACTGTTTTAATATGGAAAATTATTCTGAATTCTCAATATAAAAACATTTGGCTAAAATATGAAACATCATTGCAACAAAACTGACAATGCAGGTTAAGTAACTTATAAGATTTCAGAAATGTCTCCTGGGAGAAATGGGAATTTTCCTTTTGCCAGATAAACTGTGCACAGTTAAATTTCAGGTGCCATAAACTAGACAAAGCCAGAAAGAAGCATCGGGCATGTTACTAGGAAAGAACAACATGTAACGGGGACATCCTCCATGTCAAACTGACAGCCACGTAATGACAGTGACTTATTATATACATATAAGGGAAAGAGAATATGCTCTTCAGAAGGGGATGACATTCCAAGATAATTCTTATAAACAAACCTCTTACTGAAGTCTCAGATAGCTTTTCAGAGAACAATCACAAAACAGGTAGAGATCATTTATACAACTTTAAAGGATTCATTTATGTTACAATACCCTCCTTAGATATAAACACAAATATAAACATGCTTATAAAAGTGAGATCTTCTTGATCAAACATTTTCTTGCCACTACACTCAGCTACTAGCAGCATTTGGATGCAAAGGTTTAACTCGTGCTAATCGGGACAAGCCAAGGCGGAGACTCTGAGTTGGAGACTTCACAGACACTCTGGCCAGTGGGCTACGGCTGCTGCTTCCAGACACCGCTGCAAAAAGACAGATCACCTGGTGCTGAGAACGTCAGAAATCTCGTAACAAAGGTCAGTTTATAAAACAGAAGAGGCAAAAAAAGGAGTTAAGCGTTATTCTGCTATGCAGGTTCTATCAAGTTACATATTAGATCAAAAGAATGGGAAGTACTAAAGAGCAGAAAATATGTAGCATTGCATATTTTCAAACATCCTCAGAGGCCAAGGTAATGACACCGAAACTTTAAATGTGAACGCTAAATAGGAAAGTTGGGAGCAAAGAACACTGATTGTAAAGACATAAAGAAATGAACGGAATTATGATTTCTAAAGTAGTAGCAAAATCGAATGCATTTTTATAAAATTCTGCAACTTTTACAAGTACTCCTTACAGAATCTATTTTTTCAAATATCACATAAGTTTAAATATGACAAATACCATTTTTCTTTATTTATACTAGTTTCATTTATGCTACCACTCTAATACAGCAATCATTTCCAACAAGTATTAAATTTCAGAATTTATCCACATGTATGTTCGTAGCTGGTCATGATTTTAGCCGTAAAAAGTACAAGTGTGTGTGTACTTTTTCCATACAAAGGTTTTATGAACATTGCCATGTTTCCAGCCATCTGATTTATCATTCTTAGTTGCACATACGTGCCACATATTGATCAAATTCCTACAACAAACTTCTGGGTTGTTTCTAGTTTTCACCACTTTTCTATAAATGGCTATAAAGAAATCACTTAGTACTGACCACTTACTACTCTTCCTTCTTTTGAATTCTTTTTAAGGATAAATTCCCAAGATTAGTTCCTAAGTGAAAAGGCCGATTTATTTTTATGGCTCCTGTCAAGCTGTCTTGTAAAGGGATTATAAATTTATAATAAATAATTATACCTGCTACCCCACAACCCAGAGTGCACTGGTTGATACAGCTTTATTATTTTCTAGTTTGAGAGGTATAAAACAGTATTTTATTATTTTAATTTACATTTCCGTGATTACCAGCGAGGCTGCAATTCTTTTCATATTGGTTTCTAGTTGTACTTCTTGGGGTCAGTGGTATGTTATGTCCTTGGCTCATTTTCCCATTGGAATCTTGCTGGTCTTCTCACATTCGTATAAGACAGGAGGCTAGCTGGCAACCTGAGGGTCAAATCCTGCTCTCAGATATACGGTTTGGTCCACATGGTGTTTTAAAAAGTCTACTTTTAAGAACCAGGAGATTTCACACTAAAATCTGTACTTCTGGCTTCTCTTGAAAAACTCAGACGTGGAAATCTGAGATCCATAATCCTGCATGTCAACAGCCAGGTGGAGCAAAGGAACGGCGGCTTCCTTCCAGAGGGCTCGCGCTCTCGAGGGCAGCAACGCCCACTCACTCACGCTTCCTCCCCAGGCCCAATTCCCTCACCTCTGTCACCTGCCCGGCCCTTCCCCACAATGAATTAATAAGCACTTCATGTTTTATGACGTGACTCTTTACCCATCAATCCATTATTTCTTTTTTATCTTTTTGCTTATGCTACCTTCAAATTTCTACAGTCATTATATCAATACTTTTAAAATTCTTTTGTTGCGGAATCACTAATTATTCTCATAAGAAATACACTAAGGATTATCCTTGAACTGACAGAGCTTCATTATTTCAATAACTAATCTTCCGGGACTTTCCTGGTGGCACAGAGGTTTAGAATCCGCCTGCCAATGCAGGAGACACGGGTTCGAGCCCTGGTCTGGGAAGATCCCACATGCCGCAGAGCGGCTAAGCCCGTGTGCCACAACTACTGAGCCTGCGCTCTAGAACCTGCGAGCCACAGCTACTGAGCCCACATGCTGCAACTACTGAAGCCCACGTGCCTAGAGCCCACACTCTGCAAAGAGAAGCCACCACGATGAGAAGTCTGCGCACCGCAACGAAGAGTAGCCCCCACTCGCCGCAACTAGAGAAAGCCCGTGCACAGCAACAAAGACCCAACACAGCCAAAAAAATTTTTTTAAATAAATTAAAAAAAATAATATGAGCAAGTGCTCATATGTAACATTTACAACTAAGAAAAAACAAATCTACTCGTGGTAATTTTCCAAGCCCCTGCCCTTGAGCAGTAAATAAATATACTGTACCTGGTGGGACCCACTTAGGTCTCTTGCTTTCAGCTGGAGGACTTCGTATTTGTAACGGCTTCCTAGTGGCCTCTGAAGAAGGAGAAACCTTTTTCGGTGAGGGCCAAGATTCTGACTTGACAGCAGCAGGAGCAGAATCTACTGAAGTCACTTATTTGAAAAATATACATAAAAAAGGGGTCACGGAGGAAGATAAAGTCTAGCATGTATGTGTGAAAATTATCAAGTTACATAAGCTTATAAGAATTAAAGAAGCAGAATCATAAATTTGAAAAACTCATTCATCAACATTTATTGAGAGTCTAAGAATAGCCATCTTTTATGAGCATTACATGCTAGGAAGTATGGTAAGCATATCATATACATTACCTCTAATCCGTAGAGCAACTCCGATACAGAACTGACTATCCATACTGTCAGTTAAGGAAACAGAGAGGTTAAACAATCTGCCTGTAGTATGAGAGCTAGTAAGTGTCTGAGTCCAGAGTCCACACTTGTAATCATCACACAATAGTGTCTCATCGGAATATGTCAGTGAGACATTTTATTAGGCTCTAGGAATTTACGGTCCAATCACTAGACTCTAGTAGAAAGGGCAGACAAGTACAGAGACGCGTACAGTGCAACGTGGTGAGAGATGACAGACTCTAGAGGTGGTCACGGGGCAGGGAACCTACATCTAGAAGCATCTTGCCGAGGGTGGTGTAAAAGCAGACCACCTCGACGGCTCTACGGTGACCCAGGCGAGAGGGGATCAGGGCCTGAACTAAGGGGGAGAAAGGAGGGAAAACAGCAGAGTGGACGGCTTTTAGTAATCAGAAGGGGGAGGCGTGCTGGAGATGAGGGAATCATCATGATTGGCAAGTTCCTGTCAGGAACACACCATCTGATGCCACCATTTACCCAGAGAATGAACACAGAATGGGAGTGGGTTTGGGTTTTTTGTTGGTTTGTTTTTGATGGAGGGAGGAGAAGCAGAATACAAATTCACTTTCAGATAACGTTTGCTTCGAGATACCTAAGTGGCATCTACGTGCATGTGCATATGAACATTTTCACTATACACTCTTCCTAACGTTAACATCTACATTCTCTAGGTCAGCCCCATCCCACAGACTTTTCTGCCGCGATGGGAACGTTCTTTATTTCGTGCTGTCCAATACGGTAGCCACAAGCCACATACAGTTAGTGAGCACTTGAAATGTGGTTAGCAAAACCAAGGAACTGACTTTTAAATTTTATCTAATTTTAATTAATTTAAATATGCTAGAGCTACTTTGGCTAGTGGCTACCGTATTGGACACCATAGCTCTTGCAATTTTCTCTATTCAGGGAAAAATTATAACACCTGCCAGGTCAGAGACGCTTAGAGGTTATCAGTACATTATTAGTGGGACTAGAAATATAATCCAACTTTCCAAATTCTTAATCTCCTTATTTAGCTGTTAAACTTTACTTCTAATATTACACAGGAAATTTTCTCGGGAAGCAACTTGCTCCAGGGTATATGGAAGACTTTAAGCAGCAAACTCAACCTGGAAACTGAAATTTTATCGTTAGTTTTTATAATGTTTTGGTGGGCAAGCATAAACAAACACCTGAAGAAAATATGAAATATACTCACGTTAGGTTTTTTTCCTATTGTCAATGACTTTTTCATATCAGTTTGTGGTAGGCGGTCCCTTAAAGAGACCTGTCTCCTAATTCCCAGAATGTGTGCACATGTTACCTTACACAGCAAAGGGACTTAGCAGGTGTGACTAAATTAAGGATCTGGAGATGGGGAGATGATCCTGAATTATCCGATGGCCCCAGTGTACTCACAAGGGTGCTTATAAGTGCAAGTGAGAAGTAGGAGAATGAGAGAGTTATGTGATGGCTCTGAAGGGAGAAGTGGACCACCCGTCAGAGAGCAGGCGGCCTCTAGAAGCTAGAAAAGGCAGGAAAGGGGGTTCTTCTCCCCTTGAACTTCCACAGAGGAACACAGCTCTGCCAGCAGCTTGATTTTAGCTGAGTGAGGAAAATTTTGAAACTATGACCTGAAGAACGGTAAAGTAATAAATTTGTGTGGATTTAAGCCACTAAATTTGTGATAAATTTTTACAGCAGCAATTGGAAACTGATACACAGCTTTATCTCTAAAAACCCCTACATTTAAAATCTAATTTCTGGAAACCAGATGAATTTGCCAATTGCAAAAAAACACCAATTAAAACCTGGCTAATTGAGAATACAGTGGCGGGAGGACTACGACTCAATCAGCACTTAGTTCTCATTTCTTAGTTAAGTACTCAGCACCACGCTATTTAAGGTGAGAGCAACGCCCACCCTTAACGAATCGGGTCTGAATAATGGAAAGTTTAGTTTCAAACAGTACATATATTAAACAACCAAGACATAAAAATATCTATCAGTAAGTAAAACAAAGCAGGTTAAAGGAAGTTATATTTTACAATAATCTAATGTATATTATGAACTCAAAAATATCCTAACTTCTTTTACACAAGAAACAAATATTCCACATTCAAGTCTTCACAAATTCCAAAAGTTTTATTGTAAGACTGGTTTCTCCTAACTGAATTCATTCTGAAGAAACCACAGGGCCCTAAACACATGACAAAAGTGTTCTCAACTCAAAGACTGAGTCATGTGCAACAGCAGAAAATGAGAATCACGCCAACTTCCCCGCTTAATCGTGTGGAGAAAATGTGGTCTAATGGACAGATTTACGCTCTGAATGGACAAGCCTGGGTGCAAATCCTAGCCCTTCGCTTACCAGCTATAAGAATTCCAACAAACGGTCTAACCTCTCGGAGCCTCAGTCTTGTCACTGTGAAATGCAGGTGACAGGAGCCACTCAGAGGGAGGCCCAGCATGAAGGGGGACAGTCTGTGTTGGAAGGGTTGCGGGGTGGGGGTCAGTGCCCCTATCTGCCCTTCTGCCTTCCCCACCCTAGCCTGCTCTCTTCCACGGATCTTAACAAGAAACGAACGCTGGCAAAAGGTTAAGGAGACTAAAGGCAAAGGTGAGACAAGCACGGTGAGTAAGCGAGCACATATGAAGTGGCGTATGGGGGCTGCTCTTACCCACATCATGCCGTTTGGATTTCTTCTCTTTCTTTTCAACTGGAGATTTCCCTTTCGCTTCTTTCTTTTTAATTTCTTTAACTTTACTTTTTCTCACAGTGAAACTTTCATCATCTTCACTCTCACTAAAATCAGAATCGTCCTCAGAATCCTCACCTGAAACAGAAGATTACATACCTCATCTCTAAAAAGTTCTAAAAAGTGAGGCTTCTAGGACTTCCCTGGCGGTCCAGTGGTTAGGACTCCACGCTTCCACTGCAGGGAGTTCAATCCCTGGCTGGGGAACTAAGATCTAAGATCCCGTATGGTGCTCGGCGTGGCAAAAAAAAAAAAAAAAAAAAAAAAAAATGGTGAGGCTTCTCGTGCCTCGACTTCATCTTCTGCACCAGATTCTTGTGCCCCTTTGTGCTATGCTGTTTCCAGGGGCAAAACAATGCATGGTGCCTGGGTCTGGATCCTGGCCCCTCCACTGACATGTCGTGTGACCTGAGACAGGTCCCTAACTTCACCGTGCCTCAGTTTCCTATGTATAAAATAGGGAGAACCCTAAAACCTGCATCACAGGGTTGTTGTGCAGATTAAGTGAGTTAATATAGGTAAAGAATAACATCTGGCATATAGCGAACAGAAGAGCATTGCTTGCTATTGCTATTATCATTAATTTCCCATCAGTAATCCTTACTTCTGATTTTACCAGTTTAACTCAGCAACTTTTGAGAAGAATGGTTGGGTATAACATTAGCTGCTCTTCCAAAACGATACCCTTGATGGTAATAATAACCGTATGCCTTTCCTTAATCACACCAGCTTCAACATGTCAGAACAGAAACCCACTGGGAATTAAGAAGAGACTGACCGTACCATAACCACCTTAACTGACAATCCTGTGTATGATTTCACCTGGGACACACCTCTGATTTCCCACAAACTCCTTTCTATTCTGCATGGGATGATACAAGCCAGTGATGGAATGTGTTAAGTAGCTACAGCTTCTGGAAAAAAGCATAGAGAATACTCGAGAGTTAAGCAAGGGTTCTTCTATTTTTCGGGGGAAGAGAGGATCAGAAAATCATGGCCTATAAATACTAAACTCTGAAAATTAAGTGTAAAGAAGGATTAGCCCTATATTCATAGAAAACCTTTTTACACTTTTTTATACATTATTAGGAATGCAGTACATGCTTACTGTACAAAATGCCGACCATACCAAAAAAGTATTAAGGAAGAAGAAAGCCCACGCCCAAATCTCCTCACTCAGGGATAACCACTGTCATACCCACCATATATAATATCTACCTAACTATCTATATGGAATAATATATTTTATGCAAAAAAATATATATATGAAAAATTTCAAACATACTCTACAGTAGATAATCATCAATACTTTGCAACATTTGTTTCATCTATCTTCCCTTCCCTTTCCTTCTCAGAGTATATAAAAATAAACCCAAGGTACTGCATTATTACATTTCTACATACTTCAGAATGCATCTCTAAAAAACACGGACTTATAAAAAACACGTCATTATCATATCTAACGATATCAACAATAGTTTCTTGGAATCATTTTCTATCCAGCCCATATTAATCACTTTTAATATAGGACAATATCCCATCCCTTTTTCCCCCATGCCTTTGACATGTTGAAGCAACAAGGTCAGTTGTCCTATGGAATGTCCTACATTCTGGATTGGTCTGTTTTCTTCCTCATGGTGTCATTTCACTTACTCCTGCGTTTCCTGTGAGCTGGAATTTTCTCAAGGCTCAATGAGAATCAAGCTCACATTATTATTATTATTACTTTTGGGGGCAAGAATACACATCATAGGTGATGCTCTGTTCTCCATATTATGTCAGTCATATCAGAAAGCACAGAATGTATGGCTGCCCCACTCCTGGTTGGTTCAGCTGACGCCGGCCTGAATTCTCCATTGTAATGATCCTCGCCAGCCTTCTATTGATGATCTTTGTCTAAATCAACAATGTCACTACAATCTTCAAATTGTGATGTCCTTATTCTATCATTCTTCCCACACAAATAAAATTTTAAAAACAGATAATCAACCCATGTATTCACATAATAGTTACCGTGTTATACAGAATTCACCATATAAGGCCAGTAGATCACATGAAGGCCGCTATATATAGTACCTTGCAAAATCAAATAATTATTTCTGGATTCCCAAGAGGATCTAGGTTCAGGGAGGGCAAGCAGTGGAGAAGTTTCTCCAAAATTTCAGACTATAGAATCTAGGAGGATACAGTTTCCCATAACCCCAACAGTTACGGTATCTCATGTGTTCTTTTCTTGGCTTGAGAGGGTAACTGTAGGAGCGGGCTATCATGCTATTTAAATAAACTGGAGGTGGGGAAATGGAGCTCCCAGAATCCCAAGTCATTAGCATCTCATACTGGGAAATCTGGAAGGCCCAGACACTCAGGTTATAGATTTGGGGTATCTTTAGATGTCCTTAAGAAAAGCCTTGATTCTCTCCACTTTCACTTTTCTTTCCCCACTGAAGGTCACAGAAGTTCCTTTCTCTTCTCATCTAGGGTGAGCCAGTGCAGGAGGAAAACTCTGAAATGTCACTTAAAGAAGGTACCCTTCCCAGATAACTCAGGTTGTCTGAAATGAATCCAGCAGCACATTCAAGTACGATAAACAACCAGCTCTGAGGGGATGGCAGAGTGAGTCATTCCTGGCTCAGGGCAGATGGAAATAAACTGGTAGTATTGCTCCCTGAAGTACACTGAGTGTATCGGGGAACATGTCTGTCCTTCCATTTAAGGTAAAGCAGGCTGGAGACCCTTCACGATCTGGCGCCAGGCGGCCTCTCCAACCTCCACCACATTCTCCCTTCCCTGCAAACCTCACTGAACTCTGTGTGTGTGTGTTTCTATGTCTTTTTCTCTTGTTTCTTCCAGCTTTACTGAGATATAACTGACATGCAGCACTGTGTAAGTTTAAGGTGTATAACATAACGATGTGACTTATGTACATCGTGAAGTGACTATCACAAGAAGTTTGGTGAACCTCCATCATCTCACAGACACAAGATTAAAGAAATCGAAAAAATTGTTTTTCTTGCGATGAGAACTCTTAGGATTTACTCTCTTAACTTTCATATGTAACACACAGCTGTGCTCATCATCTTCGTCCTGTTGTACGTTATATCCCTAGTGCTTATTTATCTTATAGCTGCACGTGTGTACTTACTGACTGCCGCCATCCCATTCCCCCTCCCCCAACACGTGCCTCTGGTAACCACAAACCTGATCTCTTTTTCCATGAATTTGTTTGTTTGTGAAGTATAATTGGCCTAAAACACTGTGCTAGCTCCTGGTACACAACACAGTGATTCGCTATTTCTATACACTTCAAAATGATCACCACGATAAGCTCGTTACCATCTGTCACTACACAAAGATATTACATAATTATTGAGTATATTCCCCACACTGTACATTCCATGACTCATTTAATTTGCAACTGGATGTCTGTCCCTCTTAATCTCCCTCAACTATTTCTTTCCTCTCCTCACCCTCCTCCCCTCAGGCAACCACCTGTTTGTTCTCTGTATCTGTTTCTCCTTTGTTGTCTGGTCATTTGTTTTGTTTTTTAGATTCCACATATAAGTGAAATCATATAGTTTTTGTCTTTCTCTGACTTATTTCACTTAGCACAATGCCCTCTAGGTCCACCCATGTTGCTGCAAATGGCATGTTTTCTATGGCTGAGTAATAGTCACTGTGTGTGTGTGTGGACACACGCATATACCACATCCTCTTTATCCCTTCATCTACTGACGGGCACTTAGGTTCCTGTCTCATCTTGGCTATTGTGAATAATGCTGCAGTGCACATGCGGGTGCAGATATCTTTTCTAATTAGTGCTTTTGTTTTCTTTGGATAAATACTCAGGAGTGGAACTGCTGGATCCTGAGGTGGTCCTAGTTTTAGTTTTTTGAGGAACCTCCAGCGCCACTGAGCTCTTGTATGTGCACTTGCCTGTTCTCTTGTTTATGCCCTTCTATCAGTCAGAAGTGCTATTTCACCCCTAAATGCTACTCATTTTTCAAGGCACGGCTTAAAGGTCACCTCTAGATAAAGCTTTTCCCCCAAATGCCATAGCTGAATTGAACTGTCCTGGGAATTACTCAAGTTTGCACACACCAAACGTTTAGCAGTGCTTTGCACACGTTCATGGTCTCCAAGAACTTTCTACTGACTCTCCGTAGGGTTAATTTTGAGTTAGGACATAACCTACCAGTTGCAAAGTCTGGTTCGGAGTCATCGGCACCGTCGCCGTCGCTGTTTTCCAAAAGAATCTTCCTCTGCTGGACCACGGCTTGGGATGCCGCTTTTCTTCTCCGCTGAGGACCCTGGGAATCATCCTCCTCAGTGATCTTATCCAAATCTTCAGGATAAAAAAAATCAACGAAACTTTTTGTGCCAGGTAACATTTAAAGAACTGTGGGGTAGACATCTATTACACCTGCTCTTGTCATTTGCCCAGCTTTGTCCTTCCTGTGCTTCTAGTAACAGACCATACAGCCCAGTCTGGGTCAATCCTAATACATCAGTCTCCTGGCAACAGTCTGAGTTAAGCAAAAGTCCAAGGCCCACACTGAAAGAGTCTTTCCCCAAGAATTTTCAAACTGGAGCTGGGAAGATAGAGCCCCTTTCTTCAGTGTTCAACTGATGTCAACTAGAAGCCATGGGTAGTCGTGACCCTCCACCAGGGAAGAAACTGGGTCTGCAGTTAAAAGAGAGGAAAACTAAAACAGAAAGAAACAAAGGAGAAGGGGTGAAGAGAACCTTCACAAATGTGAAGACCTTGGTTCTAGATACAGTTTCAGGAATTTAAATAAGAGTTAGAAAATGTCAATGGAAAAAATATTATTAATATCAAAAACTTACCTAAATAATCACTGGCTACACTGCAATTGGAGATATGAGGAGACTTACTCATTGCTTCTGTTTCACTACTGCCATGTTTGTCAATGTCTAAATATAAGGAAGAAGAAAGCACCCTAATCAACCAATGTCTAGAAACAGGAAGATAAGCGCTAAAATCTAATACCATTTAGATACAGATACAGATAAGTGATCCCTGGGCCGTGGACTGGTGCCGGTCCGCACAGCAGGAGGGGAGCGGCGAGTGAGCGAAGCTGCATCTGTATTTACAGCCGCTCCCTATCCCTGCCCATCAATCGCATTACGGCCTGAACCATTCTCCCCCCTCCCCCCCGTGGAAAAACTGCTTTCCACAAAACCGGTCCCTGGCACCAAAAAGGCTGGGGACCGCTGATCCAGGCTCGGACTAGCACAGTGACTTTACTTGGCGAGGCTAACATATGGTTAGAAGTTTTGGTTCTGAAATCACACAAACTTTAATCAGACTTAAGTTCAAATTCAGGCTCTTAAATCGGCAATATACCAGGGGAAAGTTGCTTATCCTCTACAAAACCTAATTTCCTCATCTATAATGTGGAGATAAAAACAGTCTGGGGGGCTTCCCTGGTGGCGCAGTGGTTGAGAATCTGCCTGCCAATGCAGGGGACATGGGTTAGAGCCCTGGTCTGGGAAGATCCCACATGCCGTGGAGCAACGAAGTCCGTCTGCCACGACTACTGAGCCTGTGCTCTAGAGTCCACGAGCCACAACTACTGAGCCCGTGTGCCACAACTGCTGAAGCCCGTGTGCCTAGAGCCCGTGCTCCACAACGAGAGAAGCCACCGCAGTGAGAAGCCCGTGCACCGCAAGGAAGAGCAGCCCCCGCTCGCCGCAACTAGAGAAAGCCCAGGCACAGCCACGAAGACCCAACGCAGCCAAAAAAACCCAAAAACCAAAAAAAAAAAAAAACCAGTGTGGGGATTAAATGAGGCTATTGTGGGGAATTAAATGTTGACTGAATGTGGAAATTGCTTATTGTGGTGCCCAGCACAAAGGAAACAGTGGACGAATATTAACTATCATTTTTGTGTAGGCAGATCTGTGCTTTTACTAATGTAAAGACTCTTCAATCATTATCACAACTTTAAAATGATCTAGAGTATTTTAAGAGAACTTTAAGTCATGATGATTGGTACTATTACTCTCGGAGAAGTGGTACTTCCAAGGAAACCTTGCTATGCAATGCCACGATCTCTTACAGGAAAGAGATTTTCATTTTCTCAGTTTTAGATATATGACAATTCTCTTTTTCAGTCTGACTCCTGATTACTAAAAGGGCCCCCTAATCAACACTATCTCACTTATTTTCAAACAGGAGGCACTACTGACTTAAACATCTATACCCCTAAATAAGCAAATGGGCTAAAACTATCCTCCAAGATAAAAGAAGTTAGGCCAAAGCAGTTTAATCCAAAAAGCAACTGAGCAATTTTAATGTCATCTCCGGGAATAATGATTTCTGCTTCTCCAGAATATCAATGTTGCCATCTGCTGACCAATTGCCAGAAAAATCCACAGAGAAAAACCCACAGATAAAGCCAGCAGTCATAAATCTATCAAGTCTACTGAGCTTGCTAACCAAATTAGTACCTTTAGCCTCTGTAAGTAATAGAAATGACCACCATTAGATTATGTTTAACTAATCTGGATTTGGAGAGAAAGAAGGTGGATTGCTCGGATGTTCAGGTCAATTTACTTGGTCATGAAATTAACTTCTCACTGCACATAAAGATGCGCTTTGGACACGCAGGGTCACGGCCCACGTCCTCCAGTTGGAGCTGAGTGTCAGGCAGAGAGGCATCTATGTGTGGATGAGATTTACGCAACTGAATAAACTGAATCCAACGGCACCCTCTGCAAATTGCTCCTTTTTAGTCCAAAGTTTTAAAACTACATTCTTCCCTCTGTAAAGGCTCATCCAACGAAATGATGGCAAAAGCAATAAGAAGGTTTTAAAGACAATTATCGAAAATAAAGTTACTTTTATCTTGAGACTCCTCCACATCAATGGTGACGGCTGGAAGTTCCTTCACTGATAAAGCCAGTGCGACTTCTAGGTCTCTCTGGTAGAGCTTATCATCTAAAGGCATTCTAAAGTAGACACACAAATAATAATGAGTTTGAAAACTATCCATCTCAGCTAAAATCTGAGATTTTCCTCAGTGACTAAGAGTTTCTTTCCAGCCTCAGAAAGATGTTCTTCAACAATAATCATGATAATTGCTCCTTAACAAGTTAAGTGTCATGTTGGACCCAGCAGAACAGATTTGAAATAGGAGCATCACGTGACAATGCCTATTTCATTGTGATGTCTCTTCCTCACCACCAGCTCCGTCCCGGTGGGAAGCACCTGCCCAACTGAGAACGGACGTGGCTCAAACATCACTTCCACTTAGAAATGTTCCTTGACCTCACCCACACCTCTTTAGACAGCTGTTATAGCTCTTTTATTAAACTGAAATTACTTTTTCTTTTTTTACATCTGTTCCGCCCAATCTGGACTTTGACAAATATTTCAGCAAGTACTTACTCTGTGAGGCATTGCACTAGACAGGATATTAAAAGTGCCCTCAAAGAGTCTGCAGTTAATGAGGAGGTAGGAAAACAAGTCCCATAATAATTACCCGATATAAAAAGATTATCACGTCTCCTGTTCAAGGCGGTCAAGAGTGCTATAGTGCTTGAGAGGAAGAGAAAGCAAAGAAAGGTGTGAAAAGGTGTGAAGGTAAGAAAAGGCTAAATAAAGGAGGTAATACTGAATGTACCTTGAAGGATTTATTTTTTAAAATAGCAATTTTATTGAGATATAAGTCGCACAGTATAAAATCCACCCTTTTGAAGCATACAATTCAGCAGTTTTTAGTATATTCAGAGAGCTGTGACACCATCACCACTATGTAATTTCAGAACACTTTCATCAACCCAAAAAGAAACCTCATATTCACTAGCAGTCAATCCCCGTTTCCCCCTCCCCAGCATCTGGCAACCACTAATCTACTTTCTGTTTCTATGGACTTGTCTATTCCGGACATTTCGTATTACTGGAACCATATAATATGTGGCCTTTTATGCCAGCTTCTTTGGCTCCCTACAATGTTTTCAAGGTTCATCCATGTTGTAGCATATATCAGTACTTCATTTCTTTTTTTTAACATCTTTATTGGAGTATCATTGCTTTACAATGGTGTGTTAGTTTCTGCTTTATAACAAAGTGAATCAGCTGTACGTATACGTATATCCCCATATCCCATCCCTCTTGCGTCTCCCTCCCACTCTCTCTAACCAACCCCTCTAGGTGGTCACAAAGCACCGAGCTGACCTCCCTGTGCTATGCGGCTGCTTCCCACTAGCTATCTATTTTACATTTGGTAGTGTGTATATGTCCATGCCACTCTCTCACTTCGTCCCAGCTTACCCTTCCCCCTCCCTGTACTTCATTTCTGTTTACTGCTGAATAATATTCCACTGTATGCATATATCACATTTCACTTACCCAGTCATTAGTTGATAAACATTTGGATTACTTCCATTTTTTGGCTATTATGAATAATGCTCCTATAAATATTCATGTACAGGTTTTTGTGTGGGCATAGATTTTTATTTCTCTTGGGTATATACCTAGGCTGGGTCATATAATAGCTGTTTATTTCAAGGAGCTGCTACTCTGTTGTCCAATGTGGCTGCACCATTTCGTATCCACAGCAGCAATGTGTGAGGTTTCCATTTCTCCACATCCTCCTCGACACTTGCTGTTGTCTGTCCTTCTGCTTACAGCCATCCCTCTGGGCGTGACATGTGACATGTTATCTTATCGTGGTTTTGATTTGTATTTCCCTGATGGCGAGGGATGTTGAGCATCTTTTCATGTGCTATCGGCCATTTGCATATATTCTTTAAAGAAGTGTCTATTCAAATCCTTTGCCCATTTCTAACTTGGTTCATTATTCTTTTTATTGTTGGACTGTACGAGTTTCCTATATATTCCAGATACAAGTCCCTAATGGGTTCTATGATTTGCAAATATTTTCTCCCATCCATTGGTTGTTTTGTTAACTATATTTTAAAGGTAGTACAAGAAGCTCAAAAACAAAAAAGAAAAAAGTAAGGAGAAGGACATGGGCTAAGTCTCTCTACGTTAATTAACTTTCCTCACGTTTATTGTAGGAGTAAAGCATCCCACGTCCCACGTTCCATTTGTCAGTATCCCTCCTCTGCCCATCTCTTCCCCATAGTGCAAGTCTGGGGCCTCTTGGGGCTTCCTTCCCTCATTTTACCCTCTCTCGGTACTGACTAATGGAACTCCAGGGTGGGTCTAGAAACCACAGGTCCTGCTCACTGCTGGACAAAACTCAGTAAGATAAAGAGAAAATATTTTTTCTCTCTAGAAAAATACATAGTTTAATTTTTTTCTTCCAGTTTTACTGAGATATAATTGACATCCAGCACTGTATACGTTTAAGGTGTACAACACAGTGATCCACAGTGATCTGACTTACGTGCGTCATGAAATGACGTCCACAAGCAGTTTAGGGAACATCCATCATCTCATACATTACAGATACGTGGTTTTAAATTTTATAAAACTGTCCTTACAAATGTAATTTTTAACGAAGTAGTCTTGTAAAACCTGAGGATTTCAGAGACAGGTACTAGCTCTTGTAAATGCAAGTCACACCTTCTAAACTGGTAATTATGATTGTCTTCATACTTAAATGGGTATTTCCTCGTACATTTGTGAACTTAAAGAAGTTCGGAAAGTCAGAAGGGGATTAGTGGTACATCCCCGTTCTCCTACATGCACTAAATAAAATAAGACCCATGATGCTGCTCAAATTCTAATTTAGACCAAGAATTGGAATTTATCTCTCTTTTAAATTAACACACCTAATGTCATATGTACTGTATGTCTTACCTCTCACCTTTTTTTAGGGGTTTTCTCTTGTAGTGGGATGTCTTTTTCCTGGAGATTCTTCAGTTTAGGTTCTGGTTTTTCTAGTTTTAACTCCTTTTGTGTACTTCTGGATTTTTTATTTAACGGTGCGGTTGCAGGAACAAAATCATCTATTCACGTGTGAATTAAAAATAAAAGAATATATGAAATTGCTTTTCCTTAGGAAGAAATAAATAAAATTACTTTCTTGGTAGCTGAGATTCATTACCACATGTGTTCAAGTTTTAAAGATAAGCAAATTGGGGCTTCCCTGGTGGCACAGTGGTTGAGAATCCACCTGTCAATGCAGGGGACTCGGGTTCGAGCCCTGGTCCAGGAAGATCCCACGTGCCGCGGAGCAACTAAGCCTGTGCGCCACGACTACTGAGCCTGCGCTCTAGTGCCCGTGAGCCACAACTACTGAAGCCCGCATGCCACAACTACTGAAGCCCGCACGCCTAGAGCCCGTGCTCCGCAACAAGAGAAGCCACCGCAATGAGAAGCCTGCGCACCGCAACGAAGAGTAGCCCTAGCTCGCCACAACTAGAGAAAGCCTGTGTGCAGGAACAAAGACCCAGCACAGCCAAAAATAAATTAATTAAAAAAAGAAAAAAAAGCAAAGACAAGCAAATTGCTTGCTTTCCACAGTTTAAAAAATACTGTTGGTATACTGTTTGTCTTTATTCTCCCTCAAGCTTCTCAACTTTGTTCTAGCGGCCTTGATTTTTTAAAATATCAATCTATCAAAAACTAATCCCCCAAAAAGCTGCAAAGGCAACTAAGCTAATATATGCAAGTGGCAAAGAAAAGAACAATTAATTAAAAATCTGTAAAACCATTAGAAAAATTATTAAAATTCCCTTTATAATTTTATCATATTGACAAGTGGAAGAAAATGATTTTTGGTAAAGGGATGCTCTTTTCCAGCCCATTCTGTTCTCCCAGAGTCTTCTGTCCTACCAATCCTCAGAAGTGAGGTAGCTCTTCTATTGACACTCAAGCTAAGACTGCTGCTCTAGCGTTCTAACTCATACATGACACATGTATGCATACCTTCATGTGCGTGTAGTCTGAATCACGCACTTTCGCATTTATTAATACCTGTCGTCTCTTTTATGCTTCCCCAGGTAGGAATATAATAATTTGTGACTCGCCCCCCACCCCCACGCCACAGTCTCCAGAATACAACCAGCAATTTATAACAATTTAGTGACAGACTGATGACAATAATTAAAAAGCTAGAAGTTATACCCTATGCTCTTTTCTCCCAAGTATTAGACACACGTAAGACTGGGCTCAAGGTGAAAAACAGATTCCTTCAAACTGAGGAATTACTAAATATCTGACCTGCAGAAAACTCCAATGGTCTAAGAAAGAAACACAAAACTTACCTTTAAGTATAATGTAATCTAACAATGTTTCTCAAACTTTTTGACCAAAGTTCTCTTAATAGCAGAGACAAGCAAATATATATGTATACACACACACACACACACACACACACACACACACACACACACAAAACACAATAGGGTAAAGTTTATGCCTGATCTTTTTTCAATGTCTTGTTTTATTGTACAATTAATGGGGATTTCACATTATACTCTGTAACACATTTGTATCTCAGAAAGACAGTGTGTTCTTCTTAGAGTAAGATATAAAAGGGTACAAATCCCACAGTGAGAAACATGGACCTCACAGAGTTTAGATACAAAAAGCCATTTTACCTGCCCTAGTTGGTTATGATTTATGCCAATAATTCTGGTCAGTGTAATTATCAACATAAGTATCCTAAGTGCTTAGAATATTATTTTTCCAGGCCTACCTCATATGCAATTGGTACTAACCATATTGTAGCCATACACACGCACGCGCGCACACAAACACACACACACACACCCCCTATAAATTGTGAGGAAATAAATTTCCAAATCTTTAAAGAAGACATAAGAAGCTCTACTTACCATCACTGTCAGAGTCCTCAAACTGGCAGTAATTCACTGGCTTCTTGTGCCTGTGAACAAAGCAGAAATTTTCATTTACACAAATGTCAATTTCTCACCTCCATTCTTTAAGGTCATTAATAGTCTTGAGTAAATAAAAATATGTTTGGATTCCCTTAAGAATATATAAATATATAAACCAAGATGGCGGAGCAGAAGGACGTGCTCTCATTCCCTCTTGCGAGAACACCAGAATCACAACTAACTGCTGAACAATCATCGACAGGAAGACACTGGAACTCACCAAAAAAGATACCCCACATCCAAAGACAAAGGAGAAGCCACAATGAGACGGTAGGAGGGGCGCAATCACAATAAAATCAAATCCCATAACTGCTGGGTGGGTAACCCACAGACTGGAGAACACTTATACCACAGAAGTCCACCCACTGGAGTGAAGGTTCTGAGCCCCACGTCAGGCTTCCCAACCTGGGGGTCCGCCAATGGGAGGAGGAATTCCCAGAGAATCAGACTTTGAAGGTTAGCGGGATTTGACTGCAGGACTCTGACAGGGCTGGGGGAAACAGAGACTCCACTCTTGGAGGGCACACACAAAGTAGTGTGTGCTTCAGGACCCAGGGGAAGGAGCAGTGACCCCAGGGGAGACTGAACCAGACCTACCTGCTAGTGTTGGAGGGTCTCCTGCAGAGGCGGGGATGGGGGCTGTGTCTCACCTTAAGGACAAGGACACTGACAGCAGAAGTTCTGGGGAGTACTCCTTGGCGTGAGCCCTCCCAGAGTCTGCCATTAGCCCCACGAAAGAGTCCAGGTAGGCTCCAGTACTGGGTCGCCTCAGGCCAAACAACCAACAGGGAGGGAACCCAGCCCCACCTATCAGCAGACAAGTGGATTAAAGTTTTACTGAGCTCTGCCCACCAGAGCAACACCCAGCTATACCCACCACCAGTCCCTCCCATCAGGAAACTTGCACAAGCCTCTTAGATAGCCTCATCCACCAGAGGGCAGACAGCAGAAGCAAGAACTACAATCCTGCAGCCTGTGGAACAAAAATCACATTCACAGAAAGAGAGACAAGATAAAAAGGCAGAGGGCTATGTACCAGATGAAGGAACAAGATAAACCCCCAGAAAAACAACTAAATGAAGTGGAGATAGGCAGCCTTCCAGAAAAAGAATTCAGAATAATGACAGTGAAGATGATCCAGGACCTCGGAAAAACAATGGACGCAAAGACCAAGAAGATGCAAGAAACGTTTAACAAAGACCTAGAAGAATTAAAGGACAAACAAACAGAGATGAACAATACAATAACTGAAATGAAAACTAAACTAGAAGGAATCAATAGCAGAATAACTGAGACAGAAGAACAGATAAGTGACCTGGTAGACAGAATGGTGGAATTCATTGCCATGTAACAGAATAAAGAAAAAAGGATGAAAAGAACTGAAGACAGCCTAAGAGACCTCTGGGACAACATTAAATGCAACAACATTCGCATTATAGGGGTCCCAGAAGGAGAAGAGAGAGAGAAAGGACCTGAGAAAATATTTGAAGAGATTATAGTCGAAAACTTCCCCAACACGGGAAAGGAAATAGCCACCAAAGTCCAGGAAGCACAGAGAGTCCCATACAGGAGAAACCCAAGGAGAAACACGCCAAGACACATAGTAATCAAATTAGCAAAAATTAAAGACAAAGAAAAATTATTGAAAGCAGCAAGGGAAAAACAACAAAAAACATACAAGGGAACTCCCACAAGGTTAACAGCTGATTCCTCAGCAGAAACTCTACTAGCCAGAAGGGAGTGGCATGATAAACTTAAAGTGATGAAAGGGAAGAACCTACAACCAAGATTACTCTACCCGGCAAGGATCTCATTCAGATTCAATGGAGAAATCAAAAGCTTTACAGATAAGCAAAAGCTAAGAGAATTCAGCACCATCAAACCAGCTCTACAACAAGCTGGAGAAGCAAAACTCATATCAGATAAAATAGACTTTAAAATAAAGAATGTTACAAGAGACGAGGAAGGACACTACATCATGATCAAGGGATCTATCCAAGAAGATATAACAATTATAAATATATATGCACCCAACATAGGAGCACCTCAATACATAACGCAACTGCTAACAGCTATAAAAGAGGAAATCGACAGTAACACAATAATAGTGGGGGACCTTAACACCTCACTTACACCAATGGACAGATCATCCAAAATGAAAATAAATAAGGAAACAGAAGCTTTAAATGACACAACAGACCAGATAGATTTAATTGTTATTTATAGGACATTCCATCCAAAAACAGCAGATTACACTTTCTTCTCAAATGTGCACGGAACACTCTCCAGGATAGATCACATCTTGGGTCACGAATCAAGCCTCAGTAAATTTAAGAAAACTGAAATCATATCAAGCATCTTTTCTGACCATAACGTTATGAGATTGGAAATGAATTACAGTGAAAAAAACGTAAAAAACACAAACACATGGAGGCTAAACGTTACTAAATAACCAAGAGATCATTGAAGAAATCAAAGAGGAAATCAAAAAATACCTAGAGACAAATGACAATGAAAACACGAGGATACAAAACCTATGGGATGCAGCAAAAGCAGTTCTAAGAGGGAAGTTTATAGCTATACAAGCCTACTTCAAGAAACAAGAAAAATCTCAAATAAACAATCTAACCTTACACCTAAAGGAACCAGAGAAAGAAGAACAAACAAAACCCAAAGTTAGGAGAAGGAAAGAAATCATAAAGATCAGAACAGAAATAAATGAAAGAGAAACAAAGAAAACAGTGGCAAAGATCAATAAAACTAAAAGCTGGTCTTTGAGAAGATAAACAAGATTGATAAACCATTAGCCAGACTCATCAAGAAAAAGAGGGAGAGGACTCACATCAACAAAATTAGAAATGAAAAAGGAGAAGTTAAAACAGACAGCACAGACATACAAAGCACCCTAAGAAACTACTACAAGCAACTCTATGCCAATCAAATGGAAAACCTGGAAGAAATGGACAAATTCTTAGAAAGGTATAACCTTCCAAGACTGAACCAGGAAGAAACAGAAAATATGAACAGACCAATCACAAGTAATGAAATTGAAACTGTGATTAAAAATCTTCCAACAAACAAAAGTCCAGGACCAGATGGCTTCACAGGTGAATTCTATCAAACATTTAGAGAAGAGCTAACACCCATCCTTCTCAAACTCTTCCAGAAAACTGCAGAGGAAGGAACACTCCCAAACTCATTCTATGAGGCCACCATCATGCTGATACCAAAACCAGACAAAGATACTACAAAAAAAGAAAATGATAGACCAATATCACTGATGAATATAGATGCAAAAATCCTCAACAAAATACTAGCAAACAGAATCCAACACATTAAAAGGATCATAAACCATGATCAAGTGGGGTTTATCCAAGGAAGGCAAGGATTCTTCAATATAAGCAAATCAATCAATGTGATACACCATATTAACAAACTGAAGGAGAAAAACCATATGATCATCCCAATAGACGCAGAAAAAGCTTTTGACAAAATTCAACACCAATTTATGATAAAAACCCTCCAGAAAGTAGGCATAGAGGGAACTTACCTCAACATAATAAAGGCCATATATGACAAACCCACAGCAAACATCATTCTCAATGGTGAAAAACTGAAAGCATTTCCTCTAACATCAGGAACAAGACAAGGATGTCCACTCTCACCACTATTATTCAACATAGTTTTGGAAGTTTTAGCCAGAGCGATCAGAGATGAAAAAGAAATAAATTCAAATCGGAAAAGAAGGAGTAAAACTGTCACTGTTTGCAGATGACATGATACTATACATAGAGAATCCTAAAGATGCTACCAGAAAACTACTAGAGCTAAACAATGAGTTTGGTAAAGTTGCAGGATACAAAATTAATGCACAGAAATCTCTTGCATTCCTATACACTAATGATGACAAATCTGAAAGAGAAATTAAGGAAACACTCCCATTTACCACTGCAACAAAAAGAATAAAATACCTAGGAATAAGCCTACCTAGGGAGACAAAAGACCTGTATGCAGAAAACTATAAGACACTGATGAAAGAAATTAAAGATGATACCAGCAGATGGAGAGACATACCATGTTTTTGGATTGGAAGAATCAATATTGTGAAAATGACTATACTACCCAAAGCGATCTACAGATTCAATGCAATCCCTATCAAATTACCAATGGCATTTTTTACAGAACTAGAACAAAATATCTTAAAATTTGTATGAAGACACAAAAGACCCTGAATAGCCAAAGCAGTCTTGAGGGAAAAAAACGGAGCTGGAGGAATCAGACTCCCTGACTTCAGACTATACTACAAAGCTACAGTAATCAAGACAATATGGTACTGGCACAAAAACAGAAACACAGATCAATGGAACAAGATAGAAAGCCCAGAGATAAACCCACACACCTATGGTCAACTAATCTATGGCAATGGATATACAATGGAGAAAAGACAGTCTCTTCAATAAGTGGTGCTGGGAAAACTGGACAGCTACATGTAAAAGAATGAAATTGGAACACTCCCTAACACCATACACAAAAATAAACTCAAAATGGATTAGAGACCTAAATTTAAGACTGGACACTATAAAACTCTTAGAGGAAAACATAGGAAGAACACTCTTTGACATAAATCACAGCAAGATCTTTTTTGATCCACCTCCTTGAGTAATGGAAATAAAAACAAAAATAAACAAATGGGACCTAATGAAACTTCAAAGATTTTGCACAGCAAAGGAAACCATAAACAAGATGAAAAGAAAACCCTCAAAATGGGAGAAAATGGGGCTTCCCTGGTGGCGCAGTGGTTGAGAGTCCGCCTGTCGATACAGGGGACACGGATTCGTGCCCCGGTCCGGGAAGATCCCACATGCCGCAGAGTGGCTGGGCCCGTGAGCCATGGCCGCTGAGCCTGCGTGTCCGGAGCCTGTGCTCCGCAACGGGAGAGGCCACAGCAGTGAGAGGCCCACGTACGCCAAAAAAAAAAAAAATAGTAAAAAAAAAAACATTGAAAATATTTGCAAACGAATCAACGGACAAAGGATTAATCTCCAAGATATATAAACAGCTCATGCAGTTCAATATTAAAAAGCAAACAACCCAATCCAGAAATGGGCAGAAGACCTAAATAGACGTTTCTCCAAAGAAGACATACAGATGGCCAAGAGGCATATGAAAAGCTGCTCAACATCACTAATTATTAGAGAAACACAAAGCAAAACGACAATGAGGTATCACCTCACACCAGTTAGAACGAGCATCATCAGAAAATCTACAAACAACAAATGCTGGAAAAGGTGTGGAGAAAAGGGAACCCTCCTGCACTGCTGGTGGGAATGTAAATTGATACAGCCACTATGGAGAACAGTATGGAGGTTCCTCAAAAAACTAAAAATAGAATTACCATATGATCCAGCAATCCCACTCCTGGGCATATACCTGGAGAAAACTCTAATCCGAAAAGATACATGCACCCCAATGTTCACAGCAACACTATTTACAATAGCCAAGGCATGGAAGCAACCTAAATGTCCACTGACAGATGTGTGTATGAAGAAGTGTGGTATACATATACAACGGAATATTACTCAGCCATCAACAAGAATGAAATAATGACATTTGCAGCAACATGGCTGGACCTAGAGATTATGATACTAAGTGAAGTAAGTCAGAAAAAGAAAGACAAAAAAAACCATATGATATCACTTATATCCGGAATCTAAAATATGATACAAATGAATTTATTTACAAAACAGAAACAGACTCAGAGACATAGAAAACAGACATGGTTACCAAAGGGGAAAGGGGATGGGGAGGGATAAGTTAAGAGTTTGGGATCAGCAGGTACAAACTACTATAAATAAAATAGATAAACAACAAGGACCTACTGTGTAGCACAGGGAGCTATATTCAACATCCTGTAATAAACCAGAATGGAAAAGAATATGAAAAAGTACATATATGTATGTATAAAACTAAATCACTTTGCTGTACACCAGATACACAACATTATAAATAATTATACTTCAACAAAATTTTTTTAAAATTAAAATTAAAGTAGGGCTTTCCTCCTCCTCACTCTCTCTCACATTGCCATGTTTATTTTCCGTCTCCTAACTTCATCCCTTGACTAGACTGCAACCTCCAGCACCTAGTAAATATATATATCTAGTAAATATATACCTCCAGCACAAAAGTAAATATATTCAAAACTCTACTAAATGAGCGGCTGACCCTAGGCCTCCACGGTGCTCAACTGAGGTTAACTGGAGCAATAGTTTCAAACAGTACATTTAATGGAAAACACAGAGGATCTGGCGCCAGCTGGCTTAGGTTTGCATGTTATCCTGTAACTTACTAGCTGTGTGACTCAGCTAAACTGGCTTTCGTGCCCAGAAGTTTAAATTGATAAGACAGGGAGACCCAAACTTTCTATCTCAAAGAAGTATAGGGACGAACAAATGAAATAACACGTAAGCAGAAGCTTGGTGAAATGCAAAACGCTGTAACCAGGCCTTATTTGAACGGGGTGGGTAAAAGAAACGGCAGTAACTGTCAAAGGAGCCAAGAGAAGGAAACAGCTTGGATGCTAGGACCTTTCCGAGGAGCGGCAGCTCTCCCTGGAGTCTAGAGCGTTTAGCTGTCGGTCCCACCATCGCTACCCTGGTCCTCGGGCCCTTCCCTCCATTCCATGCAGGTGACGCGGCCTACAGCGTCTTCCTGCCCTTCCTCCCCATCCGCGCCGGATGCCATGAACTACTCACCTCGCAGGCCGCACCATGGTCCCCTCCAAGGCTGGAAACCTGCAGCTCGCAGCCTCCTGTCGGCAGCGGCGGCGGCCGTTCCAATTCCCGCGCAAAACCAGATTCGAAGCTCTCCGCCCCGCCGCCAGTCCTCCAATCCTCTCCGGCCATCCCCGCGGGCGCGCATGCGCTCTGAGAAGCGCGCGTTAGTTCACGCCCCCTCCAAGCACCGCCCTTCCGCATCCGGTCTGCCAGAGCCGAGCCGGTGCTTCGCCGCTGCACTTTCGTCACTTCTGCGCCGTCTCTGAAATGGACAATAACAGTAGAAATACACCTTCTTACACTTTTTAAATGATTCAACTCAGGTATTATGGAACAAGGGGACACTTAGACCGAGGAATTTTACACGGGGTGCCGGGAAAGAGGAAAAGATGCGGACGAATCTGCCGGAGCTGATCTTCCGGCTGTAAAAACAAGGCGGCAGTCAGCTGACGGTTCCTGCACCGCGGCTGGTTGACAGCGCCGGGTGTGCGGACAGCAGGAGACTCGGAACAAGGGGAGGTGAGCCCGCGACCCGAGCGAGGAAGCCCCCTCAGACCGAAACCCTCTAACCGGGGGCTGTTCCCCTCACTCGGCCGTGGCTTCTCGGCCCTTTGTCTGCCCTCCCTTCCCTGACTCATTTAAGCCTCAGAACCTCCACTCGACTGGCTGCATGAGTTCGGTTCAGCTCTCCTCCTCGCATCCCATAATTGTACGGAAACCTTGCTTGATTTTAGCCCTGCTGTTAATAACAGATCGGGGAGAGAGAGCTAAAGTATCAGTTTGTTGAAACACAATAAGGCTAAAGGTTGAACCAACTGAAACCAGAGCTAATGGTTTTTGTTTGCCGAAAATTATGACTCGAAACAAGATGAGACCATGAGCCCCTATTTCCGTAATTTTCAGTTCCCTGCAAAATGTTTTTTTACTGTCTTTGCCTGCATCATGGGTGCTCATTTAGCAGCCTTTGATTTTTTTAATTGATATGTTCTTATAGAGCTTCCTGTTATTGTTTATTATTTTTACCAGCTTCCACTTATTGGTCATCTTAAGTTTGTCGGATGCTTCGTATTTATTATATGATTAAGCCTAATGACAGTCCTACAAGTTAAAAGGTTTCCTGGGGCCTAGCTCAGCTGAGATGTGGCCAAGGAAAGAAGGGCAGTAAGCGTGTGCTAGGCAGAGGAAAAACATTCAGAAAGGTTGGGAGTGGAAAGAGAGGTTTGGTATTGAAAGAAGTTTAGTATGGCTGGAAAATAAAGTTTTTGGATTTGTGTGTTGGAGAGGACGGGGTGCAGGTGCTGAAATAAGAGTTTGGAGGTATAAGCAGGGGCGTGGTAAGCTCCGTTAACGAGTTTGTATTGTATCCTGAGTCCTACAAGGAATGTCATAGAAGGATTTAAGCAGATGAGCAACATGGTCAGATATGCACTTGAAAACGATTGCTGTGACTTCAGTGTAGAGAATAGTGTGAGAACTGATTTGACGGGGAAATGCCTGGGGACAGGAGTCCAGTTAGGAGGCTAATAAGTAAATCTTCAGTTGATGCATTCTTTTTGACTAGATTTTCTTCTTTATGAATAGTGTCCACTTTGCCTTGTGGGCTGTCCTGTACTTTCCACTTTCTGTGTATCTTTTTCCTTCATGGAAATCTTTCCAGCACCATCTCCCTTCTCTCCACCCCCAATCAGATCGCATACCCACCACCTCTAAGCTCTTCAAGATGAATTGGTCCCTGATCTGTTTCTTTGACTTTGTATTCACCAGCTGTTTCATGAACTGTATCCACCCCCATGCGTCTGTTCCTAAGAATCCTCTCTGTTCTTCTCTCCATGATCCTTACCTGTTCCTGAGAACTCTGCCTAGGAATGCTAAGTATTTTGTGGGCGTAATTTTTTTCTTAAATGAAGTTTAGAAGAACCTTTTCCTTAAAAGAAGAAGCATTTTGTTTTCATCATGAAGATGAAAATGCAGGGATAAACGTAGGGAAATAGAATAATCAGCTCAGAGTCACACAAATAAAACCTCTGAGTGGGGGAACATCTTAGAAGTGGAACAGCAATAATGAAACATCATGGTTTTTTTGAATGGACTTATAACCCGCTGAGTTTTTTTGTTGTTGTCAGTGCTATAGAAATCCTGCCAAAGAAGATGAAGAAAAACAGAGAAAGATTCTGCAACAGAGAGAGGGAATTTGTGTATGAATTCAAAGTGGGAAGTCAGTGCTTAGAACTGACGGTGCCTCTCAAATTTCCTGTTCAAGAGAATGCCAGTCATTTACATGGCCGTCTGATGCTGCTGCACAATTTACCATGCTTTATAGAAAAAGGTGAGGGTTGATTTCTTTTAAAATATCACTTCGTTATTTTCCTATAGTCTCTGTCATTAGAAGTTTTATATTAGAAAGCATAAACCTAAGAAGCATTGGAAACAACTACAAAATGTGAAGCTTTCAAGAATAAAAAGGTTCCCCAGACCTTTGTTTTATGGAGTGTTTTTTTTGTATCCCTTGTAATTGTTTATTAGGCATTTTAGTATAAAAATTAAATTAAAATATGAAAAATCACCGAGTCTGGATTAGAACTCTTAACCTCCTAATGTAGTTGGATGGATTCATAAGGTGTGTCCGCTATCACTAGCTATGTGCTGAATGCGTTGCCCTTTAATGATTCGGTCCTCAATTCCTGAGATGTCATGGGAGAGAAGGGGTACCTGGCTTTCAATAATCTTTGCTCACCTAAATTAATTCCATAAAGTCATTAATAAAGTGTGTATTAAACCATGTTAAAAGGTCTGTGTTCTGTCTACAGATGAGGGAAAATGTTTTAATTGAGAATATGTTGGATCATAGAAGGTCGAAGTTACAAGGGAACGTAGAAACTTTCCAGCACAATCTCTTTGTACAAATAAGGAAACCGGTACCTAGAAAGGTTAAATTATTTGCCCAACGCAATGATTCTCAAGAATTGTTCCCTGATCAGCAGCTACAGTATCACTTGGGAACTTGTTAGAAATGAGGATTATTGGGCGGGCTCCACCCAGTTCCCTCTGAATCAGGAACTCTGGGAGTGCATGCGGCAGTCTATTCCAGTAAGCTCTTCAGGGAACTCTGATGCATCTTAACGACTGAGAACCTCTGGTCCGAAGTTATATAATGACAGAGCCAAGACCAGAACCCAGGTATCCTGGTTTCTATGCCAGTGCTCTTCAATCAGTCTTTTTTTAAAAAAAAAAAAAAGCGGCATAAAGCAACAAATATTTATTATCTCGTCCTTACCGTTACTGTCGTTCAGGGATGCAGGTGCAACCTAGCTGGGTGCCTCTGACTCAGGGTTTCTCATGGGGTTGCAGCCATACCATCAGTCAGGGCTACAGTCTCATCTGAAGGCTCTACTGACAGAGGGTTGTTTCCAAGATCCCTTGTGAGGTTGTTGTCAAGCCTTGTCATGTGGGCCTCTTCATAGGGTCACCTCAGGACCTGCAGCTGGCCTCCACCAGGGCCAGCAACCTAAGAGAGTGAGGGAGCAAGTGTCCAAGATGAAAGCCATGGTCTTCTTATATCCTCAAAGCAGTCTCTGAATAGTGTCTCTAAAGTTGGAATTGTAGATCATCTGAAATAAACCAGTTTTAATATGCTAATCACTCAATTTCTCTCTCAGATTCAAAGACTGTAATAATATATACCCTTGAAAGTTAAATAGGAAACTCATTTAAATACAGAAACCTTTAGCCGCTCTAAATCTGTAGGAGGTCTTTATGTGCTTTTCCCTACTCACTTTCAGATAAAGAATCAGGCTTAAGAAATTAACATTTTTAATTTTTTTTAAGCTTTTTTTTTGATGTGGACCATTTTTAAAGTCTTATTGAATTTGTTACAATATTGTTTCTGTTTTATGTTTTGGTTTTTTGCCCGTGAGGCATGTGGGATCTAAGCTCCCCGACCAGGGATTGAACCCACACCCCCTGCATTGGAAGGCGAAGTCTTAACCCACTGGACGGCCAGGGAAGTCCCAACATTTTAAATTAGTATCAGGGTTGTATATCAGAGTTAAGAACCTGTAATTGTAAAGAAGAATAATTGTGAGATTAGTTAAATGATCCCCTAAGCTGATTTTATTTTAGTTAGACATTCTCTTAAGGGTTAAGGGTATTCTCATTGTCTCATTCTGTTAAGACCCTGTTTTAGTTAGACATTCTGTTAGGCTTGATAAAATAAAGTTTGACATTGGAATGCTTAGCCAGGTAAAATGTTCCCTATTTATGTGTACTGACAATGGTATTTGTTGTCCCTGTTACAGACCTAAAAGAAGCTCTGAGCCAGTTTATCGAAGAAGAATCCCTCAAAGATTATGACAGAGACGCTGAAGCAGCCCTGGAAGCTGTGAAGTCAGGTGAAGTAGACTTACATCAGCTGGCAAGTACCTGGGCCAAAGCTTATGCGGAGGTAAAAAAATAGATCCCATTGTGAATTTTGAGGATATTCTGAACTTGGATGAAGATTTCTTTCCTTACAGCTTTATTGAGATGTAGTTGACGTGCGACATCGTGTAAGCTTAAGGCACACAGCATAGCGCTTTGATTTACACATGTCACGAAGTGATTATCACAAGTTTAGTGAACATCCGTCCTCTCATATAGATACAAAATTAAAGAAATAGAAGATGAAATACTTTTTTTGTGTGGAGAACGCTTAGGATTTACTCTCAACAACTTTCATATATACCATAAGGCAGTGTTAATTATATTTATTACATTGTACGTTACGTGCCTAGTACTTACTATAACTGGAAGTTTGCATCTTTTGATTGCAGTCATCCAATTTCCCCTTCCCCTATCCCCAGCTTCAGTTAACTGCAAATCTGATCTCTTTTCCTGTGATTTTGTTTGTTTGTTTTTAAAGTATAGTGATGGAGGAGACAGAGAAGTCCAGATGGGCCTGGTCGTGGGGTAGTTTCTCCACAGGCCCTTACTCAGTGCCCATTCCTCTCGGCTGTCACATCCCCTTTTTAGGGTCACCTCTCCTGAGGGAATATGGCGCGAGTTAGGTCAGATAAGAACTCCGTTCAGCGCTTCTCGTGTAGGTAGGTTCTGCCTATTCACAAGGCTCACTCTAGGCTGGGTTTTAAATTGATGCTGAAAATCATGTAGTGAGCAGACCTGGTTCATGGGGTTTCCAAATGTCTGGTGTTACGCAGGGCCAAGCAGATCCCCGTGATTTGGCCCTGGCTCCTTCCTGCAAAACTTCAGCCGGAGCCTGATGTGAATTTGGAACAAGGCTTAAGTCACATGGGCTGGTTATAATTTCTAGAGCGGTGCCGGGGTCTAGAGATGTAGAGCAGTTATGAGAATGCGGGTTCAGGATTTCAGAGGCATGGGGTAGATGAAATCCGCCTTCTAGATTCAGCTGGTCTTCTGAAACTCTTCTCTCCTGATCTGGCAGCCAATCGAAGTATAAGTGAAAGGAAACAAGGGAAAAGTTTACCCTATTGACCCAGTTCAAAATACGTGTTTCTGTCATTTATCCATTTGTTTTATTTAAGGTAAATTATTACTTAGTCCTGTCATAGATTCTAGTTTTTGACATTTTCCCTTTGAAAAGGGAAGAATTTAGATTATTCTTTTTTATAGATGTCTGTCTGCAAAGATCAATAATAGAAAAAATATTTCCACTTTTGCCTTTAAATTGTATGACCTTTGACAGGGGACTTCCCAGCATGCCAGTTTCCTCCCCTGGAGAGCACTGTGTGTGTCAGATGTGCTGGCATGGCACACGTCTGGGGACAGGCATCTGTCCCCTGGATGGATTTGTGTGTGTGCTTGGGGTGTCTCCATTCTGCCTCTCTGCATGTTTCTCTTTTTCTTGTTTATTGGTGTTTACTCAGCCCCTTTATCATTTTGATAGCTACTGTTTTCATACACTTTAAAACATGCTTACATTTTATAAAGAAAACAATACTTGCAAAGTTCAGAGTAAGAAAATTGCAAATGTACATCTTGATATAAAATCCTGTGCATGAATTGGGTTTTCAAGGTCAGTGTTATTGCATAGGTAACCTCATTCTCTAAATATATAGCCTACAAAACCTTTCGTAGCAATATATTTTTAATAATGGAAAGCCTCTTCTGATTATATAATTAATATATGCAAGTTATTCTGTTATGCAGCACCTTAGAATACAAAGTAAAGGTCTTCAGAAGTCCCACTCTGTCAAAACAGCCCCTTTGAGCGTGCTTGGGTTTCATAGAAATGGGGTCTCAGCTTACTCACCATTTTTTTTTTTTTTTTTTTATTGTGGGCACTTCCTATTTCTTCCTCCACATTAACGCCTTCCCCTTGCCCCTGCCTCCAGGTAACCCACATGAACAACTTAGTTGACATCTTTCTGTATCTTTTTTGTATATTCAGATAATCCTATGTAACCTATATACACATATATGGATGGAGGGTCTTTCTGTCCTTTGATGTACAGAAATGGAATCATAATATATGCACTTCTCTAGTAGTGTGTTCAATAAAAATACTACATCAGAATTTAAGACTGTTCGTATCTCATCTCTTAGACCACATTAGAGCATGCAAGGCCCGAGGAGCCCAGCTGGGATGAAGATTTCGCAGACGTGTACCATGACCTAATCCATTCTCCTGCCTCTGAAACTCTCCTAAATTTGGAACACAATTACTTTGTTAGTATCTCAGAACTGATTGGCGAAAGAGATGTGGAGCTGAAAAAATTAAGAGAGAGGTATTTCAGAGTTCTTGCATTATCATAATTAAATGTTACGTCATCAAATATTGATGGGCTGCAGGACAGCTTGTTCTCATTTTGTTATAAAATGGAAGAATAGAATAAAAAGAATCTTTAACTTTAGAAATTAATTTTCTTATGCGTTTAAATCTGTCATTTCATCTGGGAAGATGAGGTCCTCATAGGTTTATAGAACTTCTCCAGTGATTTACCTAAACAAGTACGGTGGTCTTATCTATTCTTAGTTCTAATAAGAGGAATAGCTTACCTCTTTTGAAGGTCTGCTTTGTTCCAGGCACTGTGCAAAGTGCTTTGGATGCTGTCTTAGTTCAGGCTGCTGTTGAAAAAAAAAGTACCACAGACTGGGTGGCTTAAACAACAGAAATTGATTTCTTACCGTCTGGAGGTAAGACTCTGTGTCTGCTGAGGACCCGCTGCCTGGCTTGCAGACCGTGCCTTCTTAATGTCGCTCACGTGGCGTTTCCTCAGTGCGGGCTCCTGGTGTGTTGCTCGTAGACAGACAGCTGTAGCACCTCTTCTTCTAGGCACTAATTCCATCAGGACAGCTCCAACCTCTTGAGCTCACCTAAACCTACTTACCTCCCAAAGGCCCCACCTCTGGATACCATCACATTGAGGGTTAGGGTGAATTCTGGGGAGACACAAACATGCAGTCCATAACCGATGCCCTGTCTCACTTGATCTCTTAGCACAATCCTACTGTTATCATCCCCATTTTACTGAGGCAAAAATGTGATTTTCTTCTAGTTCTTTATTATGTAGACAATAATATTGTGAACATACTTTAAGAATGAAATACAGATTAGATTTTTTTAAATATGTAAGAGTATAATTACCTAACAATAATGAATTACCTTCTGTTGAACCACATTTGTTTGATTTTTCCTACCAGGGCTTCAAATAATATAATCTTCATCTCATTCTGAATCTGTCCTTGGATCTCAGGTTTTCTGGGACTGCACTCATTCTGCCCATCTAGGTGTATTAGAAAATGCCCAGCCTGGCTCTCTGTAGTTCATGTCAGTAGCCATCACTCCTGCTTTCATTCAGCTGGTGAGCTGCTCTAAACTGTGGTCGACTTTGCTGCCTGCTCACTCCACCTCCCAGAAGATTTCATCTCTGGCCATCAATATTCTACAATTGTTTTTTTTCTAAATTGGAAGAAGATTCTCATTCCACAAAACTCTTCAGTTTTGGGGAATCTGAATTAACTTACTAATTATCTGCATTTACTGGTACTTCATGTGCATTTTCTGTCGTGGAGCGGTTTTTCATCAGGGGTTTGTCTTGGTTTACATTAGTTTTTGAAATGTCCTTTGGCCAGACTTCTTGACGGGGCTTTGCTTTTTCCCACCTAAACGTATAAACGTTATTTGAATACATTTATTTTAAGAACAGTTTTATAGTTTATTTTTCACAAATCCAAACTGGTAGCTTAAAAAATAAAAATAAGCTATGTTCCCTTTCAGATAGGTAATATTTTTTGCAAAGGTGAACAGTATAACTAATGGTGAGTTGGAGTTCATTGATGGAAGTTCACCCACAGTTTTGGTGCTTAATTCATTTATCTAATTCATGAGCAGAAGTGACACCTTTTCTCAGTTCTCCTTTCATTTTTAATTCCATTTTACATCTTTAAAATAACTTTTCTCAGTATAGCATCAGTAGTTATAATGATCTTCTTTCCTAAGTTTGTTCAAGATAATATACAGGTTGTCAGAATCACCCCACCAGACATACTGAGCCAATAGATAGTTAGTATTTCATCTGAAAAATAATAAAATTTTCTTTGATCTTAATCATAGAAAATATATATTGTATCATTAACTACTTGTACTTCTAAAACATTTAGGGTGAAATAAATGTTCGTGAAATTTTATTTGTTGAATTATTATTTATTGGTCTTCTTTTTCCTCACTGGAAATTTGCTTCTTTTAGCAAATCAGATTCAAGATATTTCTTTGAAACTTAAAAGTGGCAATGATACTCTTTATCCACTAGAGGGAACATGTGTAATATAAAATATTAATATATTTGTATCAAAGTTTATATTTATTAATGCTTAGTAGTTATTTCTGTTTTAAATAACAATCTTACTTGCAAGCACATCCTTCACCTGACCTCTAGTAGTTATTAAAAAATTAATGGGGTCACCTGCCCACTTATAGTTAAGTAGAAATTAAGTGATATTGAATATTTAATACTAGAAGGTACACATAGAAATGTATAGAAGTATAACATATGAATGAGTTTCATTTATCATATACATGTAAGTATCCTAATCAGTTGTTATAAATAAGTATAAGTTCTCTTTTAAGAGCAATTTACTTAAATTGACTAGAATGATAGTAAAATCCTTTTAGTTCATGTCTGTGTTTCGTTGTTTACAAGTTTGTTTGAAATATGTTTCAGAACAAATTTTTTAAATACATTTTTATTAGAAGATAATTTTAATGAACTTACTAAAATATAATACACATACAGAAAAGGTAATAAACAATAGGTATACAGCTCCGTACATTTTCACAAAGTAAGTACACCCATGTGCTCATCTCCCAGATCAAGAAATGATTTCCAGCCCTACAGAAGGCTCCCTCCTGCCCATCCGGCAGTCACCACCCATTTCCCCCGTAAATAACCATTATCTGAACTTCTAACACCACTGATTAGTTTTTCCCGTAGAGAAAACCATTCTTAATTTCTGCATGTTTATTTGGATAAATGAAGAAGACTAAAATGTATCTTCAGAATGTATTTCATATTCCTCTAAAAAGGGAACCCTGTGACTTAATACCATCTTGATTCTTAGAACCTAATTGGCAGCTTCTGTTTATAATATAAAGTACCTTTTGAAGGTTGAAGTCACTTTAACTCATGTTCAAATAAAAAGAAAATGTATTTAAGCTGGAATTGCAGAGTATCTTCTTTGTATAAATCTGCAGCCTCTTAAATATTAGCCATGGAAGTTGAAAGATCACCTAGAATTTGAATGCTTTCATTTGTGCACTAAATTTAGATTCCAATTTAGCTGCACAAATGACGTTGTTGATATTATATGACATTATCATTATTATTTCCACATCTCCATTGGCAAGGCTTCAAAGTGCCTTCCAGGTAGTATAGTTGCCCTAACTGGACATAGTCCTAGAAAACAAAAATTTTCTTTTGACTTTGTAGAGGTTGTTCAATAAATCCGGAGTGGTTGTATTAAAAATTTGATGAATATATCTGATCTGCTTTATTTATGGTTCAGACAAGGCATTGAAATGGAAAAAGTGATGCAGGAACTGGGAAAATCACTGACAGATCAAGATGTAAATTCACTGGCTGCTCAGCATTTCGAATCCCAGCAGGTGAGTGAAGTATAATGACTTTTGGATTGCATTTTCCACTTATTTATTTTTGTAAAAGAAGTAGTTAGTCAGTGTACTGTCTCTTTTTAGGACTTGGAAAATAAATGGTCCAATGAATTAAAACAGTCGACTGCCATTCAAAAGCAAGAGTATCAGGAATGGGTGATGAAACTTCATCAAGACCTAAAAAACCCCAAAAACAGCTCTCTCAGGTATTAATCAGGTGTTGTTTTTATCAGATGAAGGTCATTGTCAGTAGTAGTTTGTATTTATTGTAAAACTGGACCTTTTTAGTTGTAGATATTTTTAAGTTGCCGGTGAAAATTCAAGATAATTTATACTTCCTGTAACACCTTTCATTTTATAGACTTTATGTGGGTGATTTGCGGGGTGGGGCGGGTAACTGGCTGTTTTACAGTAGTGATTTCCCTGCTAGAACTTAGCCGTAAATCTTGTGGGTGTGTATACCTAAATACCGCCATCACTGTCTCTTGTTTCCTTAAGTTGGTTTCCTTTCAGCGCAATACACACCGGTCGACTGCACCTTAAATGCCAAGCACTCTTTAAGCAGAAGAGCAAAAAAAAGATAACTGCCCATGTGGAGCTTATATTCTAGAGACACTGACCTGTGAATAAAACAGTACTGTACAGAATGATGTGTGCAGTAACAGAAGCATGTACAAGGTACCAAAACAGTCTAGAGGACTTTCCATAAGTCACAATTTGTGTGGTGCCTTATGGCCTAAATACATTGTGTTTCATGTGTTGCCCTAGAGCTCGCCAGTGCCTGTTCTTTCCTGGCTGTGTACTCACCTTTGAGAATTTCTTCTTTCAAATCCTAAAGTATATCCGATTGGGAATATATTTAGTACAGTATAATAATCCTATTTCCAGCATCTTCTAGTGTATGCTATAAACATTTAGATATTGCCCTTTATTTGTCTAATGTCATTCTCCCCCACCTGTCTTGCCTTGAAGACAAAAACCATGTCTGTTCTTCTGCTGTTGTATACCCAGGTCTTTGTCAAGTGTCTAGCTCTTGACACAGGCATATAAATAAATATTGATGGGATGGGTGTAAACCAGGCAGATGGATGGAGTATCATTAAACTCTTTACCTGACACAGTCTGTATAATCTCTTATTATAATCTGTCATTTGTGTTGTTGTTTTCCCCAAGCCAACACCTTAGAAATACTTAAACAATGTTTTATAATTAGAAATGGGATAACCTCCTGGACACTAACATATATGTACCCCTCATTTCAAATGAAAATAGTGCTGAACACAATACAAAGGGACAGGTGAGGTGACAGACAGGCTGGGAACACCTGTGTACTATGAGGTCCAATGGTGTTTCTCAAATTGCTGGTTGCAGTCTGCCAGGGACCATGCTGGATCCTTTACTTTCCAATTGGACTTTTTAAAATGACAATAAAATGGAATGGAATTGAATGGAACAGAACTGAGTAGAATAGACTAGGGAAAAAAATATCAGCACGTTACTCATGTGTGCGTTGAGCCACAATGTGAAATATGTACTCTATACTGTGGTCAGAAAAGTAGGAAGTCATCAACCTATGGACGCTAAGAAAGCCCCTTGCTACAAAAATTATCTCCTGCTTTGCTACTCTAGTTTCAGAAATTCATTCTATAGGATCAATTCCTTTGTGTAAATACTGGCCTCTAGCTGCTGCTGCTTTAAAAACCAACTATTCCTGGGAAAGAGTATTTTTACTGTGACTTGGTTAGTTTGTTTTCCTTTTTGATAGGGATTTCCTTGGGGAGCAGAAACCTGTTTTCAACATAACTACGTATAGAACTCCTGTATGAGATTGATCCATTTAAAAAATTTATTTATTTATTTATTTTTTAACATCTTTATTGGAATATAATTGCTTTACAATGGTGTGTTAGTTGCTGCTCTATAACAAAGTGAATCAGCTATACGTATACATATATCCCCATATCTCCTCCCTCTTGCGTCTCCCTCCCACCCTCCCTACCCCACCCCTCTAGGTGGTCACAAAGCACCGAGCTGATCTCCCTGTGCTATGCAGCTGCTTCCCACTGGCTATCTGTTTTACATTTGGTAGTGTATATATGTCCGTTTTTGCCCTTTTGTTTAAAGTCAGGTCTATTGAAGGATAAATTACATAAAGTAAAAGTCACTTGTTTTAGGTTTACATTTTGATGAGTTTTGACAAACTTAATGAGTCATGAAACCATCACTGCAATCAGGACATAGCATTTCCTTTTTATACCTTTGTATTAACCCCCCTTCTCCTTGCCCAGCTTGTGGCAACCTGCTCTGATTTCTGTCCCTGTCATTTTGATTTTTACAGAATGTCATATAAATGGAATCAAACTGTATGTAGCAGTTTGTGTCTTGCTTCCTTCACTTGACATAACGCTTTGGAGACTCATTCATGTGTTGCATTTATGAGTGGTTCTTCCCTTTTTATTGCTCTGTTATTCTTTGTTTATCCATTCACTCAGTGGTGGACATTCAAAGTATTTCGGCAATTATAAATAAAGCGGCTGTAAACATTCACATACTGGTCTTTCTATAGACGTATGTTTATAATTTTCTTATGTAAATACCTAGGAGTGGGGTTGCTGGAAAACATGGGAAGTAAAATCCATGGTGTGCTTAATTTTATAAGAAGCTGGTTCTCCAAAGTGGCTGTACCGTCTTGCACTCCCAGCACCACTGTGGGAGGGTCCCAGGGGCTCCTCACCCTCGTCAGCACCTGGTGTTGATGTCTAGCAATTCTAGTAGGTTTTGTAGTGGCGTCTCATTGTGGTTTTACTTTGCATTTCCCCGACGGCTACTAACATTGAACATTTTTTCACGGGCTGATCTTCTATCCATACCTCTTCTTTTTTTTTTTTCCATTATTGAGTTGTAAAAGTTCTCTATATATTCTGGATACAGGTCTATCATCAGATATGTGTTTTACAAATATTTTCTCTCACCCTGTGGCTTGTTGTTTCATTTTCTTAATGGTTTCTTTTGAAGAGCAAAGTTTTTCATTTTAATTAAGTGCAATTTATCAACTTTTAAATGGTTTGTTTCTTATCTCAGTTATCATTGCCTAATTCAAGATCACAAAGATTTTCTCCTATGTTTTCTTCTAGAAATTTTACAGTTCAAACTTATACATGTAACTCATGATGTATTGTTTCATATATATTATATGTAAATTTAAATATATCCACTATAAAATAGTAAATAAATACATCCACTATATATATGTTGGTCTGTAACTTTGTTTTTCTTATAATATCTTCATGTGGTTTTGACATCAGGGTAGTGGTGGCATCATAAAATGATTGGCGGTCTGCTGCTGAGCCTGTCAAAGGAATTGACGTCTGTGATCATCGATCTGATAACATGTTTTACTTCTAGTACTTCTCTCTGCTGAAATTCCTTATCTGTCCTTGTGCGTTGTTTTACACTAAATCTTTTAGCATATTAGTCATAGTTATTTGAAAGTCCCTTTCTTTTAACCCCAGTATCTGGGTCATCTCAAAGTCTGTTTCTGTTGATTGCTTTCTCTCTTGACAGTGGGTTATTTATTTATTTATTTTTGCTTGCTTTTTTGGGTCTTTCCCCCTCTCTGTTTCTCTCTCTCTTTTTTAAACTGAATGCTGGCTGTTGTGTGTATTAGAAAAGAAGAGACTGAGGTCAATAGTACTTACGCCCAGAAATGAGCAGGCCGTTAACGTGAAGGTTATGGAAATTTAGTCAGCAGTCGGGCTGTGTTTGGTTTCTGCTCTTCAGTCCACCATAGGCTTCATTTTCTACAGCAGTGCACTGCTGCCACTTTGTGTTGAGAGTGGGGCTTTGGCTTCTAGACTGTTCTCCTCTGTCATCCTGCTCCACCCTCAGCTTTCAGTAGCCTTTGCAGGCCTGTGCCACAGCAGGAGGTCCCCGTGTGTGCTGTTGCTCTGCCCACCCACCAGCAGTAGACTGACGTTGTTGTTACTTGATGCCAGGCTCCTGGTCGGCGGTGGGAGGCGGGTCTCTGTGGTCTTTGTCCAGCTTCAGTCTTAGCCTAAGTCCAGCAGATCTGGGCCTTGGGCTTGGGGCACTCTTAGCACATCTGCCTGTGCCACCGAGTGGGCTGTCTCTTCTCTTGCCCTGCCCCCAAGGTTTTCTTGGAAGCGCCTGGTGGAGGCCAACAGGAAAGAGTTTGCAAGAGCATATGCAAAGTCCCCCGGTGCCTGGAGCTCATAGCTGTTCTAAATGGATGTGCTAGCCCATACTTGACCTTCAAGAATTTGTTAAAATTTTAGCTGATTTTTTCTTACCCTCTTACATACATTACAGCAACCTATTTCTACTGTGCCCTGCCCAAACTGAAAACTATCTGTGTGTCCTGTCTCTCCTTCTAAAGCGTGTCACACTTTAGAATTTAGTTTCTTGGTTGCCTTGTTACCTCAAATCTCTGATGAGCTCCAGAAAAGTTATGATCTTATAGGTTATCTGGGCTTTTCTTGCTATTAGCATGGGAACATCATTGTCTTGTGGCTTTCTGTGTCCTAAGATGAGGATATTTTATTAATATAAATTTATATGAATTTACTTTGGGGTTTAAATTTGCCATATTTACTAATGAAGTCAATCAGTGATGCTAGTGAGACTGTTTGGATTTACCCCAAAAATGTAGTCAGGGGAGTGGATGACTGTTCCAGACTTATACCATCTTCAGCTCACCATGAAATTTGAATTGAACAGTTGTACAGTTCTGGTGCCTCCATGGAAACCTTTTCCAGAAGTGCAAGGGCAGAGTAGAGCAAAGAGAGAAGTCCTTTAATGGGAGACTGTTGGTGGTGAAAAAACAGGAAATGGTAAAACAACAAAAAAAGAGAGGATATGAATACATCAAAACGAACTACATCTTTTTTTATTATTTGACATTTATTTGACATTTTAATTTTCCTTTCTATCACTTCACTTATTTTCTAGTTTCGCCACCCCTAAGGCTGATATAGGATATATTAAAATGTCATTTTAAACATGTTAGTCACTTCATTTAATCATTCTCTTAGGCTACTAAGAAATATTAAATGATGACATACAATCGATATTGTAATGACTAAAAAAATATGCATAACTTACTGAAAGAAATAACCAAAGAAATGAAAGAATAAGTAGGAATTTTACAACCTGTGTTAATGATCTTACTCGTCCCCATGGATAAAGGATAAATTTAGGAATAAATTAAGTGCTACTTTCTGCTGTTTCATCTCATGTAACTGTAAAGCTTTCTTTCCTTTAGGAAAGATTTTTGACAAACATACAAAAAAGAAAAAAAAAGCGTATCAATAATTTTTTCAATTTCAGTGAGGAAATTAAAGTTCAACCAAGTCAGCTCAGAGAATCCGCTGAAGCAAATGGAAGGATTTATGAGGAACAGAGAAAGTTAGAAGAAAGTTTTACCATTCACTTAGGTAAGTATATTAATTTTTTGCAGTCACAATTTATTGTAACCTGTGAAACTATTTTTAATGCTGTAAGAGAAAAATCCCTAGCATGTGAGTAGAATATACCCAGGTTCTTTTTATTAAAAATTGTGTTCTGCTCCAAGAAAGCCTATAGTTTATTGGCTGTAAGTTTTCTATTTTAGCTCATGTATTATTTCTCTGCAAATAGAAAGATGCAATGTTAATAGTTATTCAAATAGAAAATTGCAAAAGGCCCATTTTAATTATTCGTAGCACAGATGTATCTGGATTCTTGCCACAGAGATTTGCCTCCTGCCCTGCTGGCTTTCTGCAGCTGTCTAAGTATCTTTCTGGGCTTGTTGCTTACCCCCAGGAGCCCAGCTGAAGACCATGCATAACCTGAGGTTGCTGAGAGCCGATATGCTGGATTTCTGTAAGCACAAGAGGAGCCACCGAAGCGGCGTGAAGCTGCACCGACTCCAGACGGCGCTGTCGCTTTACTCCACGTCCCTCTGTGGCCTGGTGTTGCTAGTGGATAACCGCATCAATTCATATAGTGGTATTAAAAGAGGTAAGTTAGCATTATGCATATTTATGCCATTAAAGTTCTCCATTTAATGCCATTCTAAAAAGAAAGGAATTAGTGAAAAACTTAAAAAAAGGCTTGAGCCACCCCAGTATTCATGTAGACCAAACAGCACACATACCCAGGCACTGCCATTTGAGGTTTGTTTCATACTTCAGCAGGCCTAGGGTGCTTCAGGGTATTTCATTTTTCTTAAAATTCTATCACATTGTAGATAATACTCTTACAGGATCCTTGTTTCAAGGTATAACAAAAAGAATAATCAAGATATAAATGTATTTTTCAAAAAGGAGCAGATCCTGACTCAGTGAATTTTAGTTCATCCATTTGTCCTTTTTTTCTTTCTTTTTTAAAATAACCTATTTCTTAAATATGCTAGGTAAAATTCTACTTTCCCTCTTAGTACAATTTTTTATGATTATTTTAAAAATTTTAATATATAAAGTATATTCAGATGTATAACTGTTTTTAAAAGAAGCTTGAATAGAGTTTATTTTCTATGATAAATAAAAGAACCTTATATTTCTTAGCACTTTTGGGGACTGGATTATGATCAAAGTATATATTATTTAAAGAAGGTTTGGACTTATATTAAAATTTCCTTGCCTATTAATTGTTTACTCTTCTGGGCAATTGAGAGATTAAGTTTCTGATCAAAACCAAATTGTTGTCCCCTAACTTAGTAAGACATAATTATTGAAAGGACAAGTATGAGAAGTCGTCCTTGTGAATGCTGTATTCTCTTGCTGCTAGACCTCATTGTCTGTAAGTAAATACTAAATACTTGATACTTCACCTTTAGAAGTTCGTAACTGTGTTGGGTCCCTTAGATTTCGCCACAGTTTGCCAAGAATGCACTGACTTCCATTTTCCCCGAATTGAGGAGCAGCTGGAGGTTGTCCAGCAGGTGGTACTTTACGCCAGAACCCAGCGCAGGAGCAAGCTGAAAGAATCTCACGGTCAGTGAAACTCAGACTTTTTTAAATTTCACTTTCAGGATGTTCTGTCGCTAAGCACTCTTCTAGCATATGGGCCATCTGAAGCAGAGAAAGTTGTATCGGTGGGAAGATGCAAGAAAGAAATTAAGAACAAAATTCAGGGTCTTTAGAAGCTTGAATTCTGTTCTTAATTTCCTTGTTTGTGTGATTTTGTTCAAGATCCTTAGAAAAACTGTTTTTAAAATTCAGTTCACTAGTTATACTTGAAGTAGGCACTCAGTGGAAAGTTGGTGATCTTTTGATCCAAGTTCTGTATCTCTAAAATGGATATAATTAGTACTATAAAGGACATTGAAATCATAGAGTAAATAGCCCCAAATATACACTTTTTATATGTTCCATCTTTGATCCACTTAGGTAGCACGAAGTCAGTTACAAGAACTGGTTTTGGTTGTTCTTTTAAAAAATTACTACGTTTAGAATTATGTCCTGCTTTTTCTATATTTATCCACAATCTGAACATCCTTCTAGGAAATTTACTGGAAGATGATTTTAAAGCTATGGAAGAAGTTCATGGCATTTTTCTTCGGAAGATTTCTATTTATTAATGCATAAGGAGACCTTAGGGAAGACATAAAAGAAAACACTCTGACTCAAATTATGGAGTAGTTCTGCTATCTTTAATTGAAAAATGAAAGTTTAAAGAGCAGTCTTTTTAAACATTAAATTGGCGCCATAAGTCTGTGTAGTTGGGAGCTGAACATAAGGGTGCGCTCATTTGAAAATATAGGGGGGCCTCCCTGGTGGCGCAGTGGTTGGGAGTCCGCCTGCCGATGCAGGGGACATGGGTTCGAGCCCTGGTCTGGGAGGATCCCACATGCCGGGGAGCGGCTGGGCCCGTGAGCCATGGCTGCTGAGCCTGCGCGTCCGGAGCCTGTGCTTCGCAACGGGAGAGGCCACAACAGTGAGAGGTCCGCGCACTGCGGTGAAGAATGGCCCCCGCTCGCCGCAACTAGAGAAAGCCCTCGCACAGAAACGAAGACCCAACACAGCCAAAAATAAATAAATAAATAAATGTTTAAAAAATATATATATATATATACACACATAGGGTGTGTTTTTCTTATTTTTCTGACATTTCATATTATGTCACAGGCATAAAATTATAATACATGCTCCCATCTGGCTTGAGTGCATACTCAGTGTTTTATTATTTCTTATGGAAACTTGATGTCTTGCGCAGGAAATGAAATACGGCAGGGTTTTAAACGGTTGCTGGTCAGACCTTTAAATCTACCTCTGGTACTTTGGATGTCTGTCTTGTTTGTTTGTTTTGCAACTGCAGTGTTTCAAAGAAACCCTTATATACTTTGGGTTCACATGTTTTGTATTTTTTAGTAAACAGAGAGAGAGACTGCTGTATCTTTGCTTGGTGTCTTTGTTCTCTATCCCATGAGGAATTCCTCCCATTCTCTTGATGCTAGAATTCTAGAATGCAGCTCTCTAGGCTCAACTAGAGAGCTGTGATTAGCAGTCACGGTAGTTTTCGTGTTCATTCAGTAGATGTAAAAAAAAAAGTGTTTTATTTATATTTTAATCATTTCTAAAATAGGTAAAACAATCTGAAGATTCACAATTCAAACTGTACAGAAGAGCATACAGTGAAAAGTCTTTGTATCTCTGTCCACCAGCCATCCAATTTCCTGCTCCAGAGGCAGCCAGTGCTGTGTCACATGTACCTTCTGGACGTGTTTATGTGTGTGTGTGTGAACAGGTGTATGTATGTATTTTGCCTTTTCACACAAATGGCAACTTTCCCTGCACACTTCTCTGTCCTCTGCTTTTTTTCACTGAATAGTTTATCTTGGACATCATTTCATATCTGGACAGAAAGAGCATCCTTAGAGCTTTTCACTGCTGGATAGTGTTCCACTGCAGGATATCCCATTAGTGATCAGTTCCCTATTGATAGACATTTTATCTGTTCCCAAGTTTTGCTCTTATAAGTGATAGTGCATGAATAACCTTACACGTATATTGTCATGCGTGACTGAGCGTATCTATGGAATAGATTTGTAAAGAGAAATTCCTGAGCTAAAGGGCACATACGTTTGTAATTTTGATAGTGTCAGCAACTGCTCTCCATAGCAGCCCCACCAGTTTGTATTTCCACTCCGGGTAACATGGCTTTGTAGTGGCGATGTCTGTCACATACAACAGAGCCAGGCTGAGTCTTAGGAAATCAGTGTGGAAGTGTATCCCAGCGAAGGGCCTTTCAGAAAATTACAGTCTGTCCTCTTACTCTTCTGCCATCTTCTTCCTCCATCTCATTCAAACTAGCAAGGATGTGATCAGACACATTCAACTATTATTCTTAGTAGTAACTAAAAGCATGAAGATTGAGATCATGACAGGTGTGGGAGAAGGCGGAGGACGCAAAGTTTATGAGAGGAAGTTTTTAAACCACATACGGTTAAGGCAACGTGTGTACATCATGGTAGTATTTTGTTCTTGTTCAAGCAACTATTTTGTGGTTTAAGTGAGTCAGTGAAACAAGTAGGTTTATAAAAGACTACTTTCTTAGAGGAACCCGCGTGTTGTTATAGAAGAGTTTTGCGAAAATACTTTCTCCATCTTTTCCTTTTCTGAGCATGCCCACGTGTTTGTTCTACACGTTTACATCCTGATACGCAAGTACTGTCTATTCTAAGACATTCTGTTGTTTTTCTCACTGTGCCTATTATATCAGCATCTTTATATTTCTGTGGTTCATGATAGCCAAAAGCAATTTCATTTTTTGTACATGTTTTATATACATTAAAAAACTTAGCCATCTTCTTAGTATTATAAGGTATTACCATTGAAACACGGAAAGGGAGATGGACTAGAAACTGTTCTTTCTTGTTTACGTAGTAGGGATTCTGTCTGTTCATGTTCCACGTGAACAAAACGAGAGTCTTCATTTATTGTTTTTGTTTTCTGCGCTGTGAGCAGACATTTATTCGAAGCCTATCGATTACATGGGTCTGTATGAGAATCAGACTGTTGCATTACATGTGGATTCTGGCAACACAGAGCCTTCTCTCTATGCCTCTCTCTCCCTCTGCCTGTTTTATAAAATATATGCATTTACAAGGTATGATGTTGTAAATCAGTTACTCAGAGTAGTCAGTGGGTAAAAATATTAGGTTACTTTTATTCAGAACTCGTTTGAAACCATAAGGCTCCCTTGGTATTTTCAGTTTACTCATTTGAAGTTCTGACTGTTTTCAAGTGATTTTCTGATGTTGAAGGCCATTTCAATACAGTTTTATATTTAATTTGAATAAATATACAGCCTCTTAAAGATAGCTACTTAGAATGCTAATATTCATCCTGCAGTTTTCAGTTCTCATAGAATTCTTATAAAATTCAGATGTATCTTCTATTAAAAATATATGTACATGTATAAAATAATTTGTGTTCAACCATAATAATGAATGATCAAATGTGATATATCTTATTTTACCAACATTTATCCCTCAAAGTAATATCATGCCTTCTAAAAAGGAAGAAGAACTATTGAATATCTGAAAAAAAATTCCATTTGAAACAGAATCTCACCTGTCTGTTTGAAAGAAATTGTATACAGTGTTAGATAAGAAGTAACAAATTTCAGGAATGGGCTGAATAGCAGGTGATTCCTGGTACTGCTAACCATTAGCTGATCGTCCTGAACAAGTTATATCAACAGCAGTGACTCAGATTCTAAAAATAAAGCTGGCCACCCCACAACTGTCTAATGAAGTCATTTTATGTGTAGTTAGCTTAGTGCCCTGAACCTCCCAGATGAAAAATAGGGGATTGGCAAGTCTAAAGTGGTCAAGACCACAGGCTTTGGAATCTGAGTATGTGGGATCGAGACCTGGTTCCACCACTTACCTGTGCCTTCCCCGTTAAGTGAATTAACCTATCTAATCCTCTCTTCTCGTGTATAACGTGAAGAGAACACTAGTCCCTCATAGGGTTGTGGTTAGAGGGGTTTTTTAAGAACTAAATGAGACCATCCATGTAAAGCATGTATCTGACTACCTGGCACCTAGAGATCCTTAGTAAATTTTTGCTGTTGTTGTGCTTGTTTGGGGAATAGTAGTAGTAATGTGTTTTCATATGTTATTGTGTTCTTTCCCGTTGCATAACTACCTTATGAATAGATTCTGGAAACCGAAATGGAGGAAGTGATGATAAGACTAAGAATGCAGATAGAAACTATTTAAACATTCTACCTGGTAAGTATTATTTTACTTTAAACTGCAATTTTCTTAGAATCACATACATTGAAATCATAGATTTGAAACATAAGTGCTTATGGTGTACCTTATAAAATTTTTGTTGGTCAGTGTATCACTTTAGAACATTGTATCTATTATCTATAAACACACGGTCACAATGTTCTGCAATTAAATCTTTATTCTTATAGTAGCACTGACTTTTCCTGGATCCAAACAAGAAAAATTCCTCAAGCCGTTGCATAAGTCTAATCATTATTTGCTATTTCAAATGTCCTCTTTTATACATTGTTTCTTAGTTTCTTAAATGAACCAAAAAATAATTTTTACTATGAAATAAACAATAGTAAGTAGAGGTGTGAACAGTTGAACATGTGGAAAGAACATGGGTCATCTGATTTAGCATCTTTCTTATTGCCATTGCCCGGTAAATTGTCCTGCTTTATTATTCTGGGATATATTGTTTATCAGCTGGAAATTCACTCTCTTGATCCTCTTCCAGGTTGAATGCACTCTGATGATCCTTAGTAGTGTTTGTATGACAGGGCATAACAGGGAAGGCCTATTTGTAGACGTTATAAGTGTAAAGTCTTTTAAACCAAACGGTAAATGTTGCAGGTTCATACACAACCAAGTTTGTCTCCTCACATGTCCTCCCCTGGATTTTCTGCACATAGGTCGTCACATTCCGTTTATTCCTGGTGCTCATTTTGTCTCCCGGCCAGTTCGCTTGTGGCCATCCGCTTCCGAATATGCTCCCACCTCAGATAGCCCACCTTCGCGGATAATGTTAGTGGCAGATTGCATCACCACATGCTGTTTCCTCCACTTTGTGGAACAGGAAACTGTCCTCTGCTCCATCTAAAAATACCTTCATTGAGACAGGATTTATTGTATTTCTCTTCGTAGATCCATAATTTAAATCATCTGTATTTTGTGGCTTTCTTAAAATGTGCCAATCTTATCTCTTCCGGAGGTACCAACGTCTGATTTTTTTTAAACTTAACTCTTTACTGCTGTATTTCTGTTCCTTCTTGCTCCTTTTCGGAAAAAGCCTATAGGTTAGTATCTCATTATTACCAGCAAATCAGAAGACTATGTCCTCATAGTCCTCATAGAAGTCCTCATCAGCAAAGAAGTAGTGACAGTTCAGTTAGTTTTGCTGATAGCATCTGAATTTCCATTTGGGTAAAGGACGCTGCATGGCCAGGACTGTACAGGAGGTGAGAAAGATCCAAATCACAAAGTGCCTTTAGATTTTGAAGTTGCAAAGAAAAAGTTTGATTTATGTATCTTTTAACCAGTGGGTTTGCTTTATCATTATCTAAGTATTTGTAGTTTATATCATCTAATTCTCAAAACGATTTTGTAAGGAGAGCAGTCAGGCATTATTTTCCCCATTTAATTCACGAAGTACAGAGGATCTGTAAGTTGAATTGATTTGCCCAAGATCATTCCACCAATAAATGCTAGAGACCAGATCTTTTTAACACCCAGTCTGGTCCCTTTTCTACCATATTATGTTATTTTGATTACTACTACCAGCTCCGAGACCCCCATCTTACTAACGGGTAAAATGAGGCCCAGGACAGGTTATCTGAGGTCGAACGAAGCAGTGCCAGTTTGGGGGTTAGGAGCACCTGACTTGTCCACTAAGTCCTCGGCCTCAGTCCTGGACCGTAGCCCATGTTTAATGCTATGAGTACCACCGTGTGAACCATCAGGAGGAGTTCAAGAGGTGACACGCTTCATTGGATATACTGGGTCTCTGATAAGCAGTCTGCGTCTTTTATTGCCTGCCAGGGAAATTGCTATACTACTCCTCGCCGGATAATTTTTTTTTTTTACTTTTCCTTTGTCTGGTTTGTTTAGATCTGTCACTGGCCTTTCTCTTTATTTATTTATTTATTTATTTATTTATTTATTTTTGGCTGCATTGGGTCTTCGTTGCTGCGCACGGGCTTTCTCTAGTTGTGGCGAGTGGGGGCTATCCTTCGTTGCAGTGCACGGGCTTCTCATTGCCGTGGCTTCTCTTATTGCAGAGCATGGGCTCTAGGCGCGCGGGCTTCAGTAGTTGTGGCATCAGGGCTCAGTAGTTGTGGCTTGCAGGCTCTAGAGCGCAGGCTCAGTAGTTGTGGCACACGGGCTTAGTTGCTCTGCGGCATGTGGGATCTTCCCGGACCAGAGCTCGAACCCGTGTCCCCTGCATTGGCAGGCGGATTCTTAACCACTGCGCTACCAGGGAAGTCCCTGGCCTTTCTCTTTTACTGTTTATCTAGTTCTTTTATTGTGTAAGTTAAAAAAAAAAAAGACCTTTGCCTGGGGCCTTTCAGTGGCATCCATGGGCACAGCTTATGTACACTAGTAATTGGAAATGGTTAAACATTGTGCCAAAGTATATTCAATACTTAAAAAATACTATATGTTTATAAATAAATATAAGTAAAATCCTAAGGTAAGGACTTTGAAGCCAGGATGAGCAGAATTGGTGAGGACGTGGGTTAGTGATAGAAGAATAGTTCTTAGAAGAGCAGCGTTTTCCTAGAAGGACGTAACAAATTTTCCAGTGAGTCAGGTGTGTTTATAAAAACATATTTTTTATATATTTTATTTATTTATATTGACAGAAACTGCAGAATATAAAAGCCAATGGCTAGCATGGCTACATAGAAAATAGAGTGATTGTAGAAAGCCTGGATGTTAAGGTTTGATAAACACTGCACCGGCATTCAGTCCAAAACGTTTGTTTCCCATTCAGTGAACAGATGTTTACTGAGTACCTTCTATGTACCAGGCCCTGTTGTTCCACGTGCCAGAGATAGAACATTAAACAAGAGAGAAAAAAATCCCTACAGTCACGGCATGTAAACAGTGGTCCCTTTAAAATAACCTCATAAACAAATAACAGAAGAATTTCAGTGCTGAGAAGAACATAGAACAATGTGAAAGAGAATAAGTGAGGGGTGAGGGAGTCCTATATCAGTCAGATGGGTCAGTCAAGGAAGACCTCTGGGAAGAGGTGACCTTCACTCTGAGGTGTGCTTGGCGAAAAGCAGTCAGTCAACAAGAATCTTGGGGGAAAGCCTCTCTCGGGGAGCAGCCCTGGATCGGGAACAAGCCCTGTGTGTCTGAAGATCTTAAGGAGAGTCTGTGTGGCTGAGGCAGGAGCAGAGGGTGAGGTAAGAGGACGGAGTTTGGACTTTTTCCTGAGTGTCATGTGAGCCACGTTAAATGGGAGAGTGATATAATCTGATTTATACTTAAATCGTTTTAACTGCAAATGTGGATGTTGTTTGTAGGTGGGCAAGAATAGGAGCAGAGGTTAATTAAGAGGCTATTACAGAAACCTAAGTGAAATGATGGTAGCATGAACTAGGGTGATAGCAATAAAAGTGGAATGCTCAGATTTGAGATATTTGAGGTATGTGTTGCAGATACACAAAATGGCTGGTGGTGAATTGGATTGGGGAAGAGGCAGTGAGAGAAAGAAAGTAATTAAGGGCAACTCCTGGTTTCTGTCCTGTGCAGCTAACGGGAGGGGGACTGGACCCATAAACCGAGATGGAGAGAAGCAGGTTCAGGGTGCAGGAAAGACAGGTCATCAAGTAGCCTGTTTTTACATGTTAAGTTTGAGTTAAGTATGACGTTTTGAGCATTTCCATCAAAATAGCGATGATGAGTACTCATTTGACCTACTTATGAGTAAATAAGCTTGGTGGTCTCTTCATACCAATTTAGGAACCTAAGGTAAATTTGGCCTCTTTTTTCATCACCCTTCTTTCCAAGAATGAAGGAGCACTAATTATATTTGCTTCCTGAGTCCAACACAGGTTCTGATAACACCTCTGCTGGTTCAACACATTGCCTGCCCACTACAGTTGTTTATGAAGCCCACTGATGACTTATGTGACTTATGCATTTGAAAGTCATGATTGTATCTGCTGTTCACAGGAGAATTTTACATTACGCGGCATTCTAATCTCTCAGAAATCCATGTTGCTTTCCATCTCTGTGTGGACGACAACGTGAAGTCGGGAAACATCACTGCACGGGACCCTGCCATCATGGGTCTCCGAAACATACTCAAGGTTTGCTGCACCCATGACATCACAACAATAAGTATTCCTCTCCTGCTGGTGCATGATATGTCAGAGGTAAGCAGGTAGGAAAATACCAGCGTTTTCTGAAAATGTTAAAATATTGTATAATGATAATAATCCACTTTACATTTTAAAAGCTCTGTTTAACTAATGAGGCTTTGCATCACCTATCTGCATCTCCTATACGTCATCAATAGAATTGAGTGACATATAACATAAAACAGTGAATAATCCTTAACCAAATATGTTCAAAAGAATTCTAGCATTATCCTATAGTAGGTAAACTAGAAAGCCAGACTTCTTTTTAGCTATGGATAAGGCATGTGCCCCTAATCCTCCCCCTTCTCGTCTGTTTTTGTCTTAAGTAGCTTTAGATTTACCTCCACATTTGTATTTGGCTTCGGCTAACATTAAAATTAGTAGGCATTAATAGGCAATAGAAAGAGAAGCTAGATGACGGGAAGAAGCCAGCCTCATTTTGACATTGTCTCAAGGATGCTCATAGGATAATACAAGTACTGGCTTCTACGACCAAAATGTGGCGTAATCATTCATTCATTTTATGATGTACTGAACTTTATTTTACATGTTTAATTTAAAAATCCCTTTCCATGGCTGTTTGCTTTCTCTCCTGCTTTCGTCCCTTACCTACATAAAAACCAGTTAGAAGGGATAAGTTGTAGAAATAATACAGAGACTAAAAATTCAACTTCAGATAGTCTGGAGGAGCAAAGCAGCCTCTAAACAAACGGGTGCAGGCAAGTCCTTCTGGGAGAGCCAGTGGCCAACGTGGTGATGCACCCATGTCAGCAACATGGTGCCTGCTTGTTTTGAGTGGCACTTTTTAAAAAAGCAAGATGGCTAACTGGCAAGCACAGCTTGTGAAAGGAAGGAAGTGCGATCATCGATTATTAAAAGTTGTCTACCAAAATAATAGATGTGTATAAATACTGTATCGTAAAGTGCAGGGTAAAAGATCTCATACTGTACTTTTTAGAGTGACTCAGTCCCCAGTTAGACTCATCACGTTATAGACACCTCATTTTAAATGCAATACTCTATATAAACACACACACAAAAATCAATTCCATATAAGACAGGATGATTTCAAATGGTTTCCCACTTACAATTCTTTTGTATTTTTACCAGACACACTATCATTTTGATTAAAAGAATTCTGGCTCCATCAGATGCAAGCTGCATCAAACTCTTTAATTCCTCAGCCTCAGTCACACCTAACGCGGCCTTAGGAGAGATTGACCAACATGTTTTGTTTTGTTTTATTTTTCCCACTGTAGCTTTATAAAGTTTTAGTCCCATCAGGAATTTTTAGCCATTGTTAGCGTCACTAACTAGTCCATCTATAAAAGAGTCTTTGGGGAGTGACAAAGAAAGTTTGTGATGAATTCCAGCCACACAGAAACATCCGAACGTTCCTGCAGCTGGACTCCTGGTTAACCAGTTTATAAAAATGGTCATATGTAGGTGGGAAACAACCTCAAAAACAGTGTTTCCAAAAGTCACTAAGTTCAGATTTACTTCCAGACATCTGATACTATAGCGTGCCCTCTCCCACAGTGTCACAAAGGTTACATGTTTTAAATTGGGACAGCCAGCTGCAGAACATTAAGTCTGTTTCCAGAGTGTCCATTTTAATTCACGAAAGTATATTGAGCCACTCTCCTCCCATTGGTCGTATTTAAACATCCATTCAGGTCAAGAAGTTTATCCTACAAACTCAGACAACACTGCACGGGATATAGAGGCAGTATTTGTCTTAGCTTTCGTGCAAGGATCCCAAAGCGTTTCGGCTCTTGTTTTCTTCCTGTAGCAGACTTGCCAGACTCTCAGTTACCATATTGCAGTGTGTGCAAGGTAATGACGACAGTGTCGGAAACAGTCCATGTCCCAGCGTCGATAAAAACAGCTGTAGAAATGAACTGCAGTTTAAAAAAATAGGAAAAGAAAAAATAATCTATCGGCAAGAAGGAAGACATCCTGCTCTTACCAGTTTTATCTCTGTAGATCTTTGTGATCTGAAGACACTGTCATCCTGGAGTTCAGTCTAACCTGATAGACGGGGAGTGAACCTGCAGGTCACAAATCCTGAGTTCCTGACCTTTCCTTTTGTTTGTGCTGTTAACTTGTTGAATCAGTTGGGACTGAAGGGTTTTAGTTGTTATAATTGTTGTGGTTGATGCAGATGTTGTTCTTAACCTTTTATTAGCATATAATACACATAAAGAAAAGCACACATAAATATACAGCTCACATTTTCGCCACCTGAACACCAACATCACCAACGCCCAGATGATGAAACAGAACGTCACCAGCCAGCACCCCAGTGTCGCCCTGTGCTCCCTTCCCATCGCTTAACCCACATTCCCTCCCTCCACAAGGGTAACCACTGTTTTCACTTTGAAAAGCATAGGTTAGTTAGGTGTGTTTTTGTAATTTATGTGGGTGGAATCCTGTTGTACATACTCCCGTATCTGGCTTCTTTCACTCAGTATTGTGTGTGTGAAATTTATCCATAGTACTGTTTGAGGTTGTAGATTGCTCATTCTCATCGTTACGTAGCGTTCCATTGCATGACTGGACCACAGTTGTTTAGTCATTCTACTATTTGTGGACATTCGGTTGGTTTCCAGGTATTGATTATTGCGACGAATGTTGCTGTGAACATTCTAGAACATATGTTTTGGCATTTCTGTTGGATACATACTTAGGGGCGGAATTGGTAGACGGTAGGCCAGGCACCCGTTTAGCTTTGGTAGATCCAGTCAAATAGTTTCCCAAAGCGATTGTTGAATGTAAAAAAAGAGAAAGCCAGACTGCTGTTGCTCACCTTCAGATGATGCTTATGAAACCGATTAACATGAGTGTTTCAGGAACCTCCGAGGCACAAGCTTGAGATAAAGGATAGTCTTGCAGTTTCCCTCAGGGGTGCATAGACCCAGGAAATAATTCTTATATCTACCGTCTAAGACACACCGTGAAGACCTAAAAGTACATACCAGTTAGTCACCTCTGCAGCTCAGCCTTACTCTAATTGGAAGATTCAGGCTGGGCAGTCAAAGTGCGGCCACTGACTTTAGATATAAGATGTTGTCTGCGATCATAGTTAGAACTGGCAGATGACAATAAATTACAGATAAGACAAGCTACTGTCAGATAATGCTTTTTTATATGTAAAAACAAGTGCTTTATTATAATAGTATGGATAGTAATAATTCCTTGATTCTGATTATTTCCGTGGTATTTCGAAAAAATGTTATGTTTTAGAGTAGCATTTTAAAGTGATGCAAATACTCAGTTATACTTTAGCATTTATTCCCACATATGATCCTTCAATAAAATGTTTAATGCAAGTGAAGGGTAAGTAAATAAAACACCACTAATGAAAACCAGCAGAAACAACGAAACCTAAAAACAGATGCGCAAAGACTTTTGAGGCACTGGAATTGTGAGACACGGACCATAAAATAGTTGATTACTGTGTTTAAAGAGCTTGAAGACAAGCTTAAAATGTCTTCAAGTAAAAAGATGCTGTGAAAAACGACCTAGCAACTACAAAATTGAGTTTTTAGTTACTGAAAGAAATTTAAAAGACCTAAATAAATAGATATACTATGTTCATTGGTTGGAAGACTCAGTACTGTTATCTGTTCTCTTCAAACTGATCTATAGATTTAAATCCCAGTCAAAATCCTTATAAGGTGATTTTGGAGATAAAGCTAATTCTAAAATTTATATGAAATACACAGGACCTAAAACAGTCAAAACAATTTTGAAAAAGAACAAAGTTGGGGGACTTACAGCAATTGATTTCAAGGCTTACAAGCTTAGCAAGCTACAATAACCAGTGCAGTGTGACACTGGCAAAAGAAAAGACTGTGGCTCAAAGGAACAGAATAAAGAATCCAGAAATAAATCCGTGCATATGTGGTCATTTGATTTACAGCAGAGATGCCAAGGCAGTTCAGTGTGAGAAAGTGTAATGTTTCCAACCAGTGGTGTTGGAAAAATTGGGTATTTATACAGGAAAACAACAACAACAACAACAAAACAAACCTTAAGCTTTACCTCACAATCATACATAAAAATTAACTTAAAATGGACCATAGACCTAAGCCAAAAAAGCTAATAGTATAAAACCTCTAGAGGAAAACACGAAAGAAAATCCTGGCATCAGATTAAGCAGAGATTTGTTAAGACACCAAAAAAACATAAAAGAAAAGCTTAATAAATTGTGCTTCATTAAAATTTAAAACCTTTCTCATCAAAAGATACTGTTAAGAAAATGAAAAAATGCAGGTCTTAGACTGTCACATGACCTTGAGTGGTTCACTCTACCTTTCTCAGTGTCCTTTTTAGTTTATAAAAGTTGTTTTCTGTGAGATACAAATTATGTATATTGTAAAGTTCTATGTAAATGTAAGACATTATTATTGTAGTTTTCAGAGCTATCAGCATTTCCTCTTAGCCGCAGGTAGGTATTTCTTAGTCACCTTGCTCTCTCTGTACATTTTTTTAAACTAGGCAGAAATAAGACAAAAGACAAAAACTTGTCACTCCATGCATATGTGTACTCCCGTAAGGCACCGTGGCTCTCTTATAACAGCCTTGTCAGTTACAAGGAAATATTCTTCCTGAACTTTGAAGCTAAGACGTATTATAAACTTAATTTAAACATCAGGCAATTCTGCTAGTCATTTTTATAAGCGTCCAGAGTCTTGGAAAAGAGGATTCTTTACTTTTTAGCCCTTTTGGCAACTAGACCCCTTTTATTTATCAATCTTAAAAGTATCTTGGACACAAAAAAGTAGTTTCCTGGGAATTCCCTGCAGTTCAGTGGTTAGGACTCTGCACTTTCCTGCTGAGGGCCCGGGTTCGATCCCTGGTCGGGGAAGTAAGATCCCGCATGCCGCGAGGCACAGCCAAAAAGAAAAAGAAAACAAAGTAGTTTCCTCTCAAAGCCTAATGCTAGCTACAGAGAAAGTCACTTTCTTTTTAAATTTCCATGGATAATAAATGGTTCACTCACTCAACCTGTATGCCTGAGCTTCTGTATGCTCAGTGTTGCAGGAGGCATCATCATAAAGGTAATAAAGGTAAATAAAAAGTGGTTCCTGCCCTTAGAGAGCACACACCTTAATAAAGAAGACATAGATCCCATCTCCCTACCTGTTCCTCTACCACCGCCCCCCCCCAAAAAAAAAGACAGAGTAAAATGTGATCATGGAGATAAAACAAAAACAAAGTACTCTGGGAGTTCAGAGACACCATTTGTAGCTGGGGAACTGGGAAATACTTCATGAAGGAGAGGATGGTTAGGGAGGGAAGAGCAGGTTTCAACAGATGGGAAGAATGGGGAGGGCATTCTAGGCAGAAGAAATGGCTTGAGGAAAATGGGAGGAGTGGGTGACAGGCATTGCAGATCATGTTAAGGCAAAGGCGGACAGGCAGGCTGGAGTGAAACCTCACTTTTTAAATTTAAAAGTCATAGAAGCTAAGATAGTTTGGGTCCTAAGGTAATTAGCCTTAAATACTAAAGAAAGTCTTAGATGTTATTCATGCGGCAGCAGGAAGCAATTGCAACTTACTAAACAGGAGTGTAAGGTGATCAGAAAGGTATTTCAGATAAATCAACCAAATCAGTTCGAAGGGGAAATTCTGGGGTCCAGGAAACTACATGGGAAGCGATAGCAATACTAGACCTGAAATCACAGAGACCGTCAGAGATGGGTGAAGGCCTGGGATAGCTCAGTGACACTCAGCCCAGGAGAGGGGCTGGCACGTTTCATGAAGAGTGTGAATAATGCCGGAGAAGCCAATTAGAGCAAGACTGAGAGAAGGTTAGGTAATTATAACCCAAAATATAAAGTAAATATCCATGAGTCCATACTGATATAAACAAATGCTCGAATAAACAAGTGGATAGGGGAGAAGAAACAAGCCTCCCATGCAGAAAAATTCCAAGTAACTTTCGTAGATCCTCCATCCTCAAGGAGGGGGCACAAAATCCCCACTCTTAAGTGTGGGCTGCCCACAGTTAGTGACTTCTTCCCACAGAGGCCAGAGGGGAGGGTCAGGGCTGGGGACCTTAAAAGCACCACCCCAGCCAGGTGTTCCAGGCTTACATCGCTAGTCATACATCGCATTGATTATCTACCCTTGATATGGTGTGATGAAAATGATACTTCACCTCTGTAGTCTTCCTGCCCAAATCCATAGCTCCTGTCTAATCATGATGCAAACATCAAATTCTAATAGGGGGCGTCCTACAAAATACCTGACCAGCCCTCCTCAAAACTCAGGCTCATCAAAAACAAGGGAAATCTGAGAAACTCAGGGCAAGAGGAGCCTCGGGCGACGTAATGACTCAGTAGAGTGAAGTGTCCTGGACGTGGTCCTCGAACAGAAAACGCCATTAGGTAAAAGCCGGGGAAATCTGCGTGCACTGTGGATTTGAGTTAATAATAAGGTGTCAATAGTAGTTCAGGTTTTTTTCTGGTTTTTAAGTAACTTGTTTATAGTACTGCATTTACAAAGAGAATAGTGCACCCAGTAGAAAGAATAAAAATGTATTTGGGGTTTTATTTTTAACTGACTGCAAATAGAAATCCTTTAGTGACATCATGGCAATTTGACAGTTATGATTAAGTTCACTAAAAGTACATGGGGTACTTGGAAGGTCAGATTCTAGCTGCTGCTTTCTAACAGCCTCTGATTCATCTGGCTCCTTAAATGATACGGGCTAAAGCCCTCATTTGGTGGGGAAACATTTCCAAAATGAACTTTTAGGTTCTCCTTAATAATTTTCTCCTGTCAGTTGTTAAAAATAGGACTTTCTGTTTCTGTGTCTGTGTGTGTGTTGGTTATTTCACCGAAGTGTCACCACCCGAATTCCTATAACTTCACAATAGTGATTTTACAATGTAGAAAAAATTCAGTTGTCGTCGTCTGCTATTGCTTCAGATGTACATATCGCTGAAAACCCAAAGTAGATTAGAATTGCTAAAGGATTTTTCTGCCATTGTTTGATGTAGTCTGGTTTCTTTATTCCTTTTTAAAAAATTTTATTGAAGTATAGTTGATTTACAGTGTTGTCTTTAATTTCTGTTATATAGCAAAGTGACTGTTATACATATATTTACATTTTTTTCATATTCTTTCCCATTATGGCTTATCACAGGATATTGAATATGGTTCCCTGTGCTAAACAGTAGGACCTTGTGGTTTATCCATCCTATATGTAATAGTTTGCATCTGCTAATCCCAAACTCCCAATCCTTCCTTCCCCCTCCCCCCTCCCCCTTGGCAACCACAAGTCTGTTCTCTATGTCTGTTAGTCTGTTTTTGTTTTGTAGATAAGTTCATTTGTGTCGTATGTTCCCTTTACTCTTGATAGGTACGTGGACAGCCTCACTTCTAGTGCTCTACTACTATAAGATGTTAACAGGGGAAACTGAGTGTGGGAGTGTATGGCAATTCTCTGTACCATTTTCATAATTTTTCTGTCAACCTAAAACTGTTTCAAAAAAGAAATCCTATTTTTTAAAAGCCATCAGAGTGATACTGTTTTGGATCTATTAAATTAGGAAGTATGTTAAATAATCTTTTAAATAATATTTAAGTGTCCAGATGCTGGTGGACAATATGATGAAATTGGATGATGCATACATTGCTAATGGCTAATGTAAATTGATATTACCTTTTAGGAAAAAACTTGAATTTTATTTCACTAATCTAATAGGAGTATCCCAGGAAATTATTCAAAAAACGAGACATCTATAGATGTAGGTACACACATGCGTCATATACATAAATATGTCCACTGCAGTGTTATTAACCAAAAGGGGAAATTGAGTTATAAGAGGCCATTTTAAATAAATTATGATGCATTAACTCAAAACAGCAGTTTTTCAATTGTGTTCTGAAGATACCCCCAGGATGCTAGCCCCCTCTGGGGGTCAGCAAGACTAAGAATATCTTCATGATAATACTAAGACACTCTGCCTTTTGCATTCTCATTCTTGCATGAGCGTCACTGAGTTCTTCCCGAGGCTGTATGATCACACAGCAGGTTGATGCAGAGGCAGATGTGAGAGTCCAGATGTCTTCCGTGAGGCCAGGCATTAATGAGATTTGTAGATATGTAAGGCATTGCCCTTCTTCTCACTCAGATTTTTTTTGTTTTGGAAAATATAGTAACTTTACATTTTTAAAAAATACGTTACATTAACGTATGGTGGGTTTATCGTTTTTAAATGAAATTAAAATGTTCTCAGTTTTAATTTCTAATGCAGTAAGTATCAGGAGACATAATCCACATAGACAAAAGCTCAGTGCAGTCCTCAGTGATTTTCAAGAGTGTAAAAAAGATCCTGAAGGATCACCGTAATGAATTAATAAACATATTTTATTGTTACAGTTACAAAGACTTGCAGCATGGGGAAGTAATTCGGTAACAGTGAAAAGAAATAGACTTTAAAATGGCACAATCGCTGATCACGACCACAGAAAAGTGTAAATGTGCGGGTTGGTTGGTTCACGGCACGCATGTGCTCACTTGGTCAAGGGTCAGGAAGGAGCATCCAAAAAAGAGCTCATTGGTCGGTTAGGTGGCTGGGATACGGCGCTTGTTTGTTTCTGGTACTTTGTAATAACATGTCATACGCAGAAAACATTTTTTTTTAATTTAAATTTATTTATTTATTTTTGGCTGCATTGGGTCTTCATTGCTGCGTGCGGGCTTTCTCTAGTTGCAGCGAGCGGAGGCTGCTCTTCGTTGCGGTGCGAGGGCTTCTCACTGAGGTGGCTTCTCGTTGCGGAGCACGCGCTCTAGGCGCGCGGGCTTCAGTAGTTGTGTCTCGCGGGCTCAGTAGTTGTGGCTCATGAGCTCAAGAGCACAGTCTCAGTAGTTGCGGCGCACGGGCTTAGTTGCTCTGTGGCATGTTGGATCTTCCCAGACCAGGGATAGAATCCGTGTCCCCTGCATTGGCAGGCGGATTCTTAACCACTGCGCCACCAGGGAAGCCCCAAGGAAAACATTTTGATGCATTGCTTATTCAAATATTGTACAATTTAATAGAATTATTCATGCTAACATATTGAGAGAAGTAGGTGGGGTTCCTATGTCACATATATTTGTCTTTAGAGTTAATTATGTAGAAAGTTTTAAGGGAATGTTCATTTTTAACATTATACTGACTAGGCTAATTCAGTTAGTTTGCATTCCACAAGTATAGTCTAACAGCTGGAACAGGTTACATGCCTAAAAACCAGAGGAAATCTAGCTGAAATTAGCCAATGGTTGCTTGTAAGTGGATGGTCAACATTATAGATAAATTAAGATCTGACCATATATATTTTTTTTTCTTTTTTACAAAGTTCAGTTAAAAACATGATTTGTTTTGTTTCTGTTTTTAGGAAATGACTATACCGTGGTGCTTAAGGAGAGCAGAACTTGTGTTTAAGTGTGTCAAAGGTAAACACAACCTTATATTTAACAACAACAACCTATATTTCTTCCTTGAAAATATTGAAAGTAGAGCAAACCAGGAGAAAGAATTGTAGCAGTTACCCCTGTCATCTGGTGCCTCAGTTAGATGGTTTAACAAGCACATATTTCATAGCGGCTTTTTTATCTACCTTTTTCCAATCAAAAAATAAAATCTCCAGCCCTCTTTTTTTGGGCCGTGTCACACGGCCTGCAGGATCTCAGTTCCCTGACCAGGGATTGAACCCGGGTCACAGGAGTGAAAGCCTGTAATCCTAACCACTAGGCCACCAGGGAGCTCCCTCCAGACCTCTTGAAATGTGAGAATATTTGGACATTGGTGGAGCTTACTCTCTGTTACCTTTTATTTTCTTGAAAAGAAAATAGAACCACGTGTTTAATTAATCTTTAATAACCTGTTTTGGCTTCATTGTGTGGAGGCAAAATAGGACTTAAGAAATGATCATTACAAGTATTTTGACGGAACTCTGTGCAACCTCTCTGGCCTGGAGAAATAAGGATTGCAGAAGTTTATCTGGCCTTCAGGCTTAACCTTTCCTACAGGCAAGTAGCTACCTAAAAAGTCAAGACGTGCAGCTCCACGATGAAAATTCAGTTTATTTTCAATAAAGGACTGGTAGGTTTGAAGACCAGAACTCATAATTCAGCAAAGTCTGTTGTTCTATTTTAGGTTTCATGATGGAAATGGCTTCGTGGGACGGAGGAATTTCTAGGACAGTGCAGTTTCTGGTGCCACAGGTGTGTTATCTGGATAGCTCTCACCCCAGTTCAGTCTCTGTTGTGATATTCCTCGCAGACATAGCTAGGCACACTGCCGTAAACTCAAAAGAGCATAAGAAAATGCTAGCAGCTTTCCGTGTTTTAAGCGCAGAAGTGTTTGCATGCCATCAAGGCACTTAGTTTACTGTCAAAGATGTTAGTATCTGCCACTCAGGGGATCTTTGATTAAACCCCAAAGCTGAACTTAACTCATCTTTCCTTCCCCGCCCCACATTTATGTTATATCGATTCATAAAGGACATGAGCAGAGGATGATTCCGTGTTCTATGTAAAATTTTGCAAAACTTATCACTGAATGCACTACTGTTATCTAGGGGTTTTTCTGGTAATCAGACTTATTATTTGACAGAAATAGCATAGGTTCTCAGAGGCTGGATCCAGAGAAACAGCCCTGCCCACAGCTGTGCAGTTAAATCAGCTCTGAAAGATAGTGTTCACATATTACACTCCACGTCTAGAACTACTGCCATTACTTCCATGTTTTAAAATACTTAAACTTTTTTTTAAATCAGTGATGATTTAACAAGTGCAAACTTTTTTTTTCTTACCTCTTAACAGAGCATTTCTGAAGAAATGTTTTACCAACTTAGTAACATGCTTCCCCAGATCTTCCGAGTATCATCAACACTCACCCTGACATCCAAGCACTAAACCCCCTAGATTGATATCTGGCAGAAGAGGATGCGTAAACTATCCAGGAACTTGAGATGTGCTGGGATTCTGTCAAGCAAAAGATGCCCAGAAAGAGGACTTGCCACCCAAGCCACGAATCAAATCATGATAAACATCTGTTAAACGTTCCAAAATTCACATGCCGTACAGACTAGTGCTCAGCCCCTTACTTATACATTTATTCTTATTTTTTCACACACACACACACACACACACACACTGTATTTTATTTTTACAAGAGATAAACTGACACCAAGCATTTTAAATGGATGACCACAACAAAAGCAACAATGACTGCAATTACGAAACACACTCATACTATGTCATAATATGGACATTCAGTCCAGTAATCCTCCACTGTAACAGCTCCTTTACTTTGCAGAGAAAATTGATTTGTATATTTTTTGCCTCTGAGTCCTTGTGGGATTTTTTTTTCTTTCTTCAAACAGAAGGTCACAAAAATTATAATCATCCCCATCAGTTCACTAGTCCCATGTAATTGATTTTTTTTCATCTTGATCTTTTGTTAGCACTTTTATGAATTCATCAGTTTTCCATTAGAGTTCTGAAAATGCTTATTCATTCAGTTCAACAGTATAGTCAGTTACCAGAAACCTGTACTTGTCAGAGTCTTTTCCATGAATTCCCTGAAGATGAAACCCTTTTATAGGAACATTTTTGGGAAAGCGTCGGAGTACACCCAGAACTGTCTGTAAATGACAAAAGACTTAAAAATGACCACGGTTAAAGATTTTATGAAAGTTCATTATAATGCAATTGACAAGGAAATTTAGTTATTTGAGATATACATTTTAAAGTAATAACTAGAATTATGACATAACATTATACCAGAACATATAAGATTTTTAGAAATTTCATGTAATGTCTGAAACATTTATATTAACATATTTCCATACAAATAACCCAAAGAAAGTTTAGTATTAGTTGTTTTTTTTGTTTGTTTGGTTTTTTACACTGCAGATTCTTATTAGTCATCAGTTTTATACACATCAGTGTATACATGTCAATCCCAATCGCCCAATTCAGCACACCACCATCCCCACCCCACCGTGGTTTTCCCCACTTGGTGTCCATATGTTTGTTCTCTACATCTGTGTCTCAACTTCTGCCTTGCAAACAGGTTCATCTGTACCATTTTTCTAGGTTCCACTTACATGCGTTAATATACGATATTTGTTTTTCTCTTTCTGACTTCACTCTGTATGACAGTCTCTAGATCCATCCACGTCTCAACAAATGACTCAATTTCGTTCTTTTTTATGGCTGCGTAATATTCCATTGTATATGTGTAGCACAACTTCTTTATTCATATGTCTGTCGATGGGCATTTAGGTTGCTTCCATGACCTGGCTATTGTAAATAATGCTGCAATGAACATTGGGGTGCATGTGTCTTTTTGAATTATGGTTTTCTCTGGGTATACACCCAGTAATGCCAGTAATGGGATTGCTGGATCATATGGTAATTCTATTTTTAGTTTTTTGAGGAACCTCCATTCTGTTCTCCATAGTGGCTGTATCAATTTACATTCCCACCAACAGTGCAAGAGGGTTCCCTTTTCTCCACACCCTCTCCAGCATTTGTTGTTTGTAGAATTTCTGATGATGCCCATTCTAACTAGTGTGAGATGATACCTCATTATAGTTTTGATTTACATTTCTCTAATAATGAGTGATGTTGAGCAGCTGTTTATGTGATTCTTGTCCATCTGTAAGTCTTCTTCGGAGAACTGTCTATTTAGGTCTTCTGCCCATTTTTGGATTGGGTTGTTTGTTTCCTTAATATTGAGCTGCATGCGCTGTTTATATATTTTGGAGATTAATCCTTTGTCCATTGATTTGTTTGCGAATATTTTCTCCCGTTCTGAGGGTTATCTTTTTGTCTTGTTTATGGTTTCCTTTGCTGTGCAAAAGCTTTGAAGTTTCATTAGGTCCCATTTGTTTATTTTTGTTTTTATTTCCATTACTCTAGGAAGTGGATCAAAAAAGATATTGCTGTGATTTATGTCAAAGAGTGTTCTTCCTATGTTTTCCTCTAAGAGTTTTATACTGTATGGTCTTACATTTAGGTCTCTAATCCATTTTGAGTTTATTTTTGTGTATGGTGTTACGGAGTGTTCTAATTTCATTCTTTTACATGTAGCTGTCCAGTTTTCCCAGCACCACTTATTGAAGAGACTGTCTTTTCTCCATTGTATATCCATTGCCATAGATTAGTTGACCATAGGTGCGTGGGTTTATCTCTGGGCTTTCTGCCTTGTTCCATTGATCTATGTTTCTGTTTTTGTGCCAGTACCATATTGTCTTGATTACTGTAGCTTTGTAGTATAGTCTGAAGTCACGGAGTCTGATTCCTCCAGCTCCATTTTTTTCCCTCAAGACTGCTTTGGCTATTCAGGGTCTTTTGTGTCTCCATACAAATTTTAAGATAATTTGTTCTAGTTCCATAAAAAGTGCCATTGGTAATTTGATAGGGATTGCATTGAATCTGTAGATCGCTTTGGGTAGTATAGTCATTTTCACAATGTTGATTCTTCCAATCCAAGAACATGGTAGATCTCTCCATCTGTTGGTATCATCTTTAATTTCTTTCATCAGTGTCTTATAGTTTTCTGCATACAGGTCTTTTGTTTCCCTAGGTAGGTTTATTCCTAGGTATTTTATTCTTTTTGTTGCCATGGTAAATGGGAGTGTTTCCATAATCTCTCTTTCAGATTTTTCATCATTAGTGTATAGGAATGCAAGAGATTTCTGTGCAATAATTTTGTATCCTGCAACTTTACCAAATTCATTGATTAGCTCTAGTAGTTTTCTGGTGGCATTTTTAGGATTCTCTATGTATAGTATGTCATCTGCAAACAGTGACAGTTTTACTTCTTTTCCAATTTGCATTCCTTTTATTTCTTTTTTTCCTCTGATTGCCGTGGCTAGGACTTCCAAAACTATGTTGAATAATAGTGGTGAGAGTGGGCATACTTGTCTTGTTCCTGATCTTAGAGGAAATGCTTTCAGTTTTTCACCGTTGAGAATGATGTTTGCTGTGGGTTTATCATGTATGGCCTTTATTATGTGAGGAAGGTTCCCTCTATGCCCACTTTCTGGAGAGTTTTTATCATAAATGGGTGTTGAATTTTGTCAAAAGCTTTTTCTGCATCTATTGTGATGATCGTATGGTTTTTATTCTTCAATTTGTTAATATGGTGTATCACATTGATTTGTGTGTATTGAAGAATCCTTGCATCCCTGGGATAAATCCCACTTGATCATGGTGTATGATCCTTTTAATGTGTTGTTGCATTCTGTTTGCTAGTATTTTGTTGAGGATTTTTGCGTCTATATTCATCAGTGATATTGGCCTGTCATTTTCCTTTTTGTAGTATCTTTGTCCGGTTTTGGTATCAGGGTAATGGTGGCCTCATAGAATGAGTTTGGGAGTTCCTTTGCAATTTTTTTGAAGAGTTTGAGAAGGATGGGTGTTAGCTCTTCTCTAAATGTTTGATAGAATTCACCTGTGAAGCCATCTGGTCCTGGACTTTTGTTTGTTGGAAGATTTTTAATTACAGTTTCAATTTCGTTACTTGTGATTGGTCTGTTCATATTTTCTATTTCTTCCTGGTTCAGTCTTGGAAGGTTATACCTTTCTAAGAACTTGTCCATTTCTTCCAGGTTTTCCATTTGATTGGCATAGAGTTGCTTGTATTAGTCTCTTAGGATGCTTTGTATTTCTGCAGTTTCTGTTGTAACTTCTCCTCTTTCATTTCTAATTTTGTTGATGTGAGTTCTCTCCCTCTTTTTCTTGATGAGTCTGGCTAATGGTTTATCTTCAATTTTGTTTATCTTCTCAAAGAACCAGGTTTTAGTTTTATTGATCTTTGCTATTGTTTTCTTTGTTTCTCTTTCATTTATTTCTGCTCTGATCTTTATGATTTCTTTCCTTCTGGTAACTTTGGGTTTTGTTTGTTCTTCTTTCTCTAGTTCCTTTAGGTGTAAGGTTAGATTGTTTATTTGAGATTTTTCTTGTTTCTTGAAGTAGGCTTGTATAGCTATAAACTTCCCTCTTAGAACTGCTTTTGCTGCATCCCATAGGTTTTGGATCGTCGTGTTTTCATTGTCATTTGTCTCTAGGTATTTTTTGATTTCCTCTTTGATTTCTTCAGTGATCGCTTGGTTATTTAGTAACATATTGTTTAGCCGCCATGTGTTTGTGTTTTTTATGTTCTTTTCCCTGTAATTCATTTCTAATCTCATAGCATTGTGGTCAGATAAGATGCGTGATATGATTTCAATTTTCTTAAATTTACTGAGGCTTGATTTGTGACCTAACGTGTGATCTGTCCTGGAGAATGTTCCGTGCGCACTTGAGAAGAAAGTGTAATCTGCTGTTTTTGGATGACATGTCTTATAAATATCAATTAAATCTATCTGGTCTGTTGTGTCATTTAAAGCTTCTGTTTCCTTATTTATTTTCATTTTGGATGATCTGTCCATTGGTGTAAGTGAGGTGTTAAGGTCCCCCACTATTATTGTGTTACTGTCAATTTCCTCTTTTATAGCTGTTAGCAGTTGCGTTATGTATTGAGGTGCTCCTATATTGGGTGCATATATATTTATAATTGTTATATCTTCTTCTTGGATTGATCCCTTGATCATGATGTAGTGTCCTTCCTTGTCTCTTGTAACATTCTTTGTTTTAAAGTCTATATTATCTGATATGAGTGTAGCTACTTCAGCTTCCTTTTGATTTCCATTTGCATGGAATATCTTTTTCCATCCCCTCACTTTCAGTCTGTATGTGTCCCTAGGTCTGAAGTGGGTCTCTTGTAGACAGCATATAGATGGGTATTGTTTTTGTATCCATTCAGCAAGCCTGTGTCCTTTGGTTGGAGCATTTAATCCGTTCATGTTTAAGGTAATTATCCATATGTATGTTCCTATGGCCATTTTCTTAATTGTTTTGGGTTTGTTTTTGTAGATCCTTTTCTTCTCTTGTGTTTCTTGTCTAGAGAAGTTCCTTTTGCATTTGTTGTAGAGCTGGTTTGGTGGTGCTGAATTCTCTTAGCTTTTGCTTATCTGTAAAGCTTTTGATTTCTCCATCAAATCTGAATGAGATCCTTGCCAGGTAGAGTAATCTTGGTTGTAGGTTCTTCCCTTTCATCT